TCGATCTGGCAAGAATGATCAGGATGACAGGTATGGATTCCGCTCTCGAGTCAATCGCTAAAGCAAAGTAACTGACTGACTCGGATAGTCACATCAAAACAATTCGCAGCATCGGCCGGAAGTTGACATTCCGGAAATGATCGCTTTGCTTCATCTTCACTGCACTATATCCCCCTTTTCTTTTTCGCCGTTGCTATTTTGCCTAATACCTCTACGCCCTTTTAAAAATTACTGTGATCCTTTGTACACCACCACCTTATTTCTACCAGGCCCCTCGTGTCTCCTAGATACCCTCTACCTGCATCGGGCCGTACATAGGCGTTTCGTGTGTTTCATATTTTTTCGGTGTGTCTATGGCGGGGAGAAATTTCGTGTTTTGATTACCTGGGCTGTCTGAGGACACTGCCATAGAGCGAGAGGGGTCTTTCCGTTTCTCTTATAATCTTTTTTAGTATTATCCTTTTGATGCCGACATCTTGTTTCCTGCTGGGACAGGTGGCTATTGATCTTCTTTATACATGTATTCACCGGTGGCTTTCCCTTGCCCACGATATAGACTACGGGAGAAATTTAAGTGTTCTACTAGTCTAGACCAATGTTATATATTCAACTAAATACCTTCTTACTCATGAATACTCAGATAAAAAGGAAACCGAACTTCCCTGACGTCGTAGGCTAATATCATTTCCGAAGATCCCCACTGATCGGCAAGCGTTTGATCAAAGAATGACAGCGGGGAGAAATTTAAATCGGGGTGTAACAGCAATATACTCTTTTGTGGGGAGATATTCCTTCTATCAATGTATGTAGTGTTCCATTCATTCTGACCCTTTAAGCAACCGCGTTCACCAGCTTGGCGATAAAATCAGCCTTTGTGAAATCGACAATCTTCCGGAGTGTGGAGACGAGGTTCATCGCCGACGAACTATTCCCAGTGAAGCCAGAAAGACCAGGTAGGGGCCCCCAGACATTCTGCAGAGTGACTGTAAGTATAGAATAAGCTGCACAGCATAATTCGGGATACATACCACCCGCACGAGGATGTCGACTTCATTTTTGTCATCCTTTTTACATTCCCCGAAGATAATATAAAACTCCCAGCACTCACCATGCACAGTACAACCTATCAATGGTGGAACATCGGTGTTTTTGTTGTGATGGCATATTACCCACGTCAAATAACCAGCCATCCAGACCCCAAGCTCTATCTAGGATTTGAGGATATCCGCAGCTACCTTCTTCACCCCAAAGCCCGGGCCTAGAAGTTTCCCACTAGTACGTATGTCGCTAATGTGGCTCATATCATTGCACTCTGCTCCTGCTGCTTTGTACTGAGATTTCCACAGTGCTGTGGGAAACTCTAGAACAATATCGATGCTATAGTCTATAACTTGTTGTACGATATGAAGCAGATAAAGGGGCTTGATTATCTTTCCTCCACTAGAGATCCAGTAGCAGAAACCAAATTGAAGCAATTGTAAACCATCGGAAATACCATAGCAAGGCTTCTAATGGAGCGTCACCGATAGCCACTCTTAATAAGGGCAAAACGACCCGATCGATCCACCAAACAGAACTGCCACCCTCGGTTTTGCCATCGAAGGAAACTTGACTGATTTGAGTAATCTTCTCCTTGTCGGAAGGACTGAGGGGGAGCAGAAATATTTGGACGTAAATCCTCCAGCAGTTGGGTTGCCGGAATCGACCCTGGGCCCTCAGTACCAGGAATAAACCGTATCAAAGGTGTTGTAGAATAACTAAGGCCTTTTTTTAATATCCTGTGGGCTCTTTTCTACCCACGGGATCGGGACAGACTTTGCATGAGATTGAGACTGAATCGATAAGATGCTGATGGGAGCGGGGTTGGTAGACCATGGTCAATATACTGGAAGTATCTCTGAGAGATCTTTTGATATTTTGAGTGGGTATTGGCTCTGAGCTTGCTCTTTTGCGTTTGGTTGAGGATTCCGAGAGACTTTGACCGGATCTTTGTACTTTGTCGGACACTGTCAACCCAGTGTTCGACTGAGCAATCTTTGACATGCTCCATTCCCGTCACACCTCTAGGTGGAGGGTGTGAGTGTAGCAAGGCTGTTGGCGTCAGATTGACTAGGAACGGGGCTTCAGCGGATTTTCGGGGACTTTTCGCACAGTATGCTCTTTCTCTAGAGGAAGGAAAACAGGTCAAGGTTGCAGTTGGATTTTAGATAAAACAATAACAAACCTCCATTCTTCCCAGACAATAAACATAGGGTATCTATATACAACGAGTCTAGCCTGCGCAGCGGAGTAAAACCCAAACAAGGTCAAAATCTATAAAAGCCCTCTCCCAAAATGCATTTTCACGTGCAACCAAAAAGAGCAAAAAGGAACATATTCATCAATCATACATATTACACGGATAATTTCTCCGTGGATGGTTCGGCAGTTGGACTGCCAATAGTTGCTCCATCATAAGTTCCATCGGTAACGTGAGAACCCTCACGAGGGGCACTGCTGGAGGCATCATTAGAAACATCATGAGCTCCATCGGAGACTCCGCTGGGGACATTATCGGGCACTTTCTCGGGATGGTCGGATGATGTCGAGGGGGGGCTTTGATTATCACGAGTCCAGGGCCAGACATTGGCCTGGACGGACGCGAAACGGGTACGTGCAGTGGGAGCGCTGATATCGTCAACCCAACGGATGCCGCCTTGTCCACGATTTTCTGCCCACGCCTTCTTCTCACGACGTAGATCACTCTGAACCCAGGGGATTGTGATCAAAGTCCAAATAATAGCCCAGGCAAACGGAAGGGTCCAGCCCAACTGTATGGCAGGTTAGCCTGAATGAAATTTGAGATTGAATTGATTACCGCTTACCGTGAATGCAACGTTTTCCTGAACCGTGAAAACAACCGCAGTAATGGCGGCCGCACATATGATAGATCCTCCACTCCAGAAACAGTTCATTTCGAAGAGCATACGGCGGAAATAAGGACTCGATAGGTATCGGGTTCGAAGGGCATATCGATATATCTGACCACCACCACCGTCAACTGCCACCACATCCTCAATAAGCGCGTACAATGCAGTCGGCATAACGGAGCCTTTGGGCGTGGAAGAAATTCGGAACGGAGCCTTGAAGCCCATCATACGGAAAATGTCGAGGGAAAGGTAGACGATGCCGAAGTAGAACATGACGGTTGGTAGGACCATGGCGATAAGGCGCACTGTTCGAGCGGTCAGTATGAGGCAATTGCGCGAAATCTTATAATGGGTTGATCTAACCATATGGTTCTTCAGGTACCGATCCACTGCAGATTTGTTAGCTCATTGTTCATCCTTGTACTATGGCATAGCGTTAGACTTACACGACTAATTCGACGGCCAGAATTAACCACACAATTGTGAAGTTGATTTGGAAGAAATCCAGCTACCGAGAGGTATCAGTTAATAGTCCATGATCAATCCTAGGTCGAAACCTACCCATGATACGCGGGAGTTTAGGGGTCGGGCGCGCGATTTTTTGCGGAATAAATTATGAAGGCGGTAGAAGTATTCAAAGACCGAGACTCCACCAAGTGAGGCAGTGACGATCGAGAAGACTGAATATCCAAATTAGCAACCTGAACAGGTGTATTTGTACCACCGCGCAAGACATACCCAAGTTGGGTGAAAGATCGGTGAGATACCAAAGACACCAATACAGAATCAACGGTTGAGCCAAAGTATCAATCACAAAGATAGTCCAGAAAAAGGCGATTGACTTCTTCCTTGTATGTAACGAGTATGGGAGCGGAGGAGGCTCGGAGGGTGTTGGGCCGGTTCCTTCTTCCATCGGTGTGGCGATAATGGCGATAATGGCGGGTTACTGTTGTTGATAGGTTCGGGGGGACACGCGATAAAGGGGTTGATGAAGGAATAAGGGGTTATTAGGACATGGCGTGAATGTAATGATAAATCCGAATGGATTTCCAGAGAGAAAGAAACCAAGAAAATAAAGTGAAGAAGAGGCGAATATGTAAATTGAAAGTCGGGAAATTTTGGCCGGAAACAACGGAGTCAGGTACATCCGTTGCCATACTAATTTGGCTGGGACGGGAGGTACCTGACATAAGGCCTTCTGATGTCATTCCAAACACACACTCTTGGCTTATCTTGGCTTGAATCAAACCACGTTGGGCGGATTTTTATGTCTTACTTGGTATACTTCGTATTGCCTGTCTTATTTACTTGTACAAAATATGAGTTATTTGTGCAGTAGTCATGTGGTAGATATGGCATCTCATGCAAAAGGAAACTGGGACCGATATCAGTATGTAGTAAACATGTCGACATTCATAATATAAGTCAGAGTGTAAATATGCACAAATATGCTGAAAACAAGGAAGGAAACCGGAGTCATGTCGGTCCCCCTAAATGCCGATCCCGACACTGGGGCCGTTGACCTCGGGAGTTTATGCTTGTTCATAAATGCACTATATATAGCACAATGTACGGAGTACAACATAGGTACATCGCATGTTGTACAACACAACTACTATATTGTCCATACAACGTTAAATGAATATTCGCATAGACTTGCTCACCTTGCTTTCAAAATGAGGCATGGGGATTTGAAAAAAACGTACATTGGCTTCGGCAGAAGTAGAGTGGCAAGAAAAACTTAGGATGGATATCTGCTTCTATAATATATCTTGAATTCGGAGTTAAAGGGTAATGGAAATGTCTTTAATAGTACTTGTCAAAAATGGAATTGTCATAATCACAAAGTATTCATTTGTTGGTTATAAAATAGACACTGGATCATTTAGCTTGCCTTACAAACAAGGCATCAATTACGATAGAGCAAGATAAGGTCACGTGACGTGACAATCGCATTGCAAAAATTGGAAGTTCGGCGTTCGAGTCCCCCCCTTCAAAAAATTTCTATCCTGCTTTAATTCTCCCACACCCATCACCTTTCTTTTACCATTTTTACTCTACTCTTTCTATTCATAAAAACGCTATGTAGCCATGCCTGGCGTACAACATCTTATCGACTTCGTGCTGAACGAAGTCGCGCTCTGCGGCAATCAAGGTGTGTATAGTCTCTTCACTAAGACCCACTTTTCCTCACCCCGGAGACGCATGTCATGTCGCATGTGGATTTTTCAACGTCATCGAAATGATGCCGAAAGCCCCTGGGCTAAGGAATCTATTGAATTCCTGTTATATTTTCCCTCTCTGGACTTTTTCATGACAGGTTTGAGTCTGCATTCTTGTGACGCGGACCCAATATCGATCTATATCTCCACCTCAAGCCCTGATTGGGCGCTTTTATTTTTATACACACTTTGATAAACAGAATGCTGACAGACACCAAGGCGCAAAGTTGTCCGATCTACTCCAAGCCATTGATGATTTCCATACTCAACTTCAGGATGTGACTGAAATAAAACAAAACATTGACCATCGTTTTAAAGCCAAAGTCTGGTCCTGGCTCACGACAAACCCAGAGGTTTCTATTGGCCAGCACAATGAATGGAACCATCTCACCTTGAATGAAGCTGAGAAGCTTGACTCACGAACAACGGAGAACAATGATTCCAAGGTCAACGATGCCGCCGATCAGAATCCCGATTTACCGCCGCTTCGAATCTATGTCTCAGACGAGAGAGCCTGGGTTGCCATAACTGGCCATCCACCAGATGAGTCGAAGGTACTACCTCTTGAATTCGCCTTACTGTCGGTGATCGCTTCACGCAAGTCAAAGGGTATTGTGCAGCCGGACCTGGTGAAGCTCAGTGGCCAGGACAAACGGTCTGTTCCGAAGCGTACCGATGCTTTGCAAAAGAAGGGCTACATCGACAAGCGGCCTGTTCAAACAAAAACGGCCCGAACTAGCCTCTGTACACTACAGCGGTTCTACCGCCACACCACCGGTGATCAAAAAAAGGAGGAACCACAATCGAAGAACATGATTGATTTCGACAGCTTCAACACCAGTTTGTTTGACATTCTCCGAGAGCACCAACTCATTGCACGCAACGATTTGAAACGACTTTTGGGCTTTGATGATCATTGGCGTTGGAAAGTCTTGTCCCGTGCCCTTCGCAAGTGGGAGCGGATAGGTGTGGTCCAACGTGTGAGAGCCGAATCACAATACGAAAGAATGCATCCTTGTGTGAAGCTTTTACGAGATCCCACGGAGCAAGATCTGGCCCTTTTCCATGAATTTAACTTCGATGTCTTGAACAAGCATGGGGTGCGAGCTAAAGGAAACAAACTTACTCCAGACCAAGACCAAGACATGGAAATGGCGGGCCCAAGCAAAAGATCTCCTAGTCCGGGGGAGGGTAGGATGGATATGATCAAGGAGCATGTTGGAGATTCTGCCCGCATTGTACCATCTTGGACGCCAGATCGTAACCTCAACAACCAAATCTTTGACATCATTGAAAGAACAGGCACAACAGGCATCACGAACCAGGTAAGCGCCTTACTCGCAAAAATGAAGATTTTCTTAGCTAACAAAAATTAATCCAGGCCCTCAACTGGACCTGCTTTGGGTCCTTCTACAAGAGACCTGCTGAAAGTATGGTTCATCGCTTGGTTGACCTATGGCAAGTGGCCCAGCCACTTCACCTCCGCCATTACGCCATCGTTCGAGATATGGCAATGAAAAAGACCATCATGTTTTATGTCCACTATGCGGCAAACAACTTCGCAAAGCTTGTTGAAGCCGGCCAGGCATCATGGGAAGCCGTTGAAATTCCAGCCAAGAAAGCTAAATCGCTAAAGATCGTGGCACCCCCTTTTGGTGTTCTTCCTCAGCTTGATGAGTATGGATTCCTCAAGAAGGAATTCCCAAAGAACATGTTGAAGGACCCAAATGCAACTCTCCTCGACGGGATTATGGCTGTCAAACCGCCCAACTATCTTCTTTCTTCGAGCGATCCGTTTGTTGTTGAACTTCCAAACGGTCAACATGGTATGATTGCCCTGATCTCCTTTGTTTCAACAAGAGAAATTATCATGAGTCTAACACTAAGCCGCAGTGATCCGTACACGTACCGATAAACTCCCACCTGGCTCTAAGCAGCAGTATGAGCCCCGTTTTCGACCTAAGGGACGACCGAAAGGCAGACTGAACCGCGCGACTCTGGAAAAGCGTGCCAGAGAATCCGAAGCCAGAGAATCCAAGGCCAAAGAACCCAAAGCCAAAGAATCCAAGGCCAAAGAACCCACAGTCACAGATCCCACAGTCACAGAATCTGAAGCCAGAGAACCCGAAGCTAGCGGATCAGTCACAGAATCTGAAGCCAGAGAACCCGAAGCTAGCGGATCCGAACCTAGACAATCTCAAGCCATGGAATCCCAAGTTGAACCAAAGCTGGAGCTGAGCCAAGGTTATGGCTGGGAATATGTCGAGGAATCCCCGCGAGCCAAGAGAGCTAAGATTAAGCATGACAACCTTAAGGGATTATCAAAACAAGAGAAGTTTGAAGCGCTTGGTATGGATGAGAGTTGGACTGAATATAAAGCTCTTGTCATGGACAAGCCTACTCCTGGTGTGTATGTGACTCCCCGCGGCCGAAGAAGACCAGCCGGTAAGGCCCGAGGTCGCCCGAAACAGAGCCGAATTGCGATCTTCAAATCACCGAACTTAGCGTCGATACCTTGGTTTGTTAAGGACATGGACGACTCGAGTGATGATGACAAGGTACAAGATGCTGCTACTAGCACTCGAGCATCCGAGAGCCTTGCGCCTGAAGCTGCACATTCAGTTATCAACTCCGAGGGGCCTGCCATAACCCCTACCCCGACAACTTCAAGGGGGGTCAAGAGAACTCTACCTGACCAGTCAGCGGACTCACCCGCACCATCAACGAGCTTCAAGGTCAACGAAAAGAAAAGAGGGAGACCCCCCAAACGATCTCGCCTTCACAAGGCCCAAAATGAAAGTAATGAAGGACCCTTGAAAGATGCCAACGAGATATTGCCCGAAGCTGTAGTTCCGGCACCCCAAGAGAGTTCAATCAAAGCGAGTACACCACGCCATCGCGATAAGAGTGCTAGCGTTCATATACTTGAAGATGAACAAGTTGGAACTCCATCAAAGAGACGCCGCGTTGCATCCTCTGATCGCAGTGGTAACGACCCCACGACTCTACAATCCCCGACACCCCGTCCATCCGATATTCCGACACCACGATCTGGTTCAATGGGCCCCCAGAAATTCAATTTCAGCGCCCATGGCACCAAGCCTGCAAAAAAACCACGTGTTCGGAACAGAATCAACATCAGAACCATGCAGATTTCAGAAGAGGGAGAATCGGGACCCCTTAAACCTTTGGTGATCGGGAGAGGCGGATCTATCAGTGTCCTTCGGAGAAAACTCATCATGGAAATCATGGAAAAGGCTGATGGTGTATACCCCGCGGGCACTGCAATGTGGTATCCTTTTGTCACTGCATGGATGAAGTTTCATCCCAATGAAAAACCAGACATGCGAACTATCAATACTGCGTGCAAGCAATTGATCGATGCTGGCCAGCTTCGGCAGCTGACTTTCAGCGGCCGAGACACGAGGAAAGTGATGGTAACAAGAACGTTGTTGTTGAAGCCTGACATATCACCAGACGATCCATTGGTGAAAGAGATGCAGAGCAAGATTCTGGCTACTGATTTCCACGAGTCACGGCCCTTCTTTGCGGCTAATGTCGAGGTGGATCCAAATTTGACCAGAAATAGTGGTCGACCACACGGTGCACCTCCCCGAGCCCAGAGATTCTCCTTCCCGGTCGAAGAAGGAGCCCATGTTCACTTGCAACAAAAGCCCATTTCCATTGTGAACTTAGAGGCAAGAAGAAGGAGACAGGCTCAGGCGAATTTCATTAAACGCCTGGAAGCCCAAGCCAAGGCTGTTAAGGCTGCTGAAGAAGAGTATGAACTGCCTGATCTGCCCGGAGTTCAACGACTCATGACACTTGCACGCCCCCCTGAATTGGACCTTGATGCTCATCCGCACACATCGATTATTCGTCCGTATGTTCGAACAGGTACACGTGGTCCTGGCAAGCACCCAAAGTCTATCATACATCCTAAGCGAATGATGAAACCAATTTCAGCCATTGGAGCGTATGCCATGTTGATGAATCCGATGCAACAATTTGATTCAACTACTGGGACTTTCTCCACAGGGTCGTGCTCCAAACGCAGAAGGGGGAGACCACCAATGGGAACAAGACCGCCGGTTTCGAACGTTGAGGAATCTGTCGATGAGTTATCTAGACTGGCTCATGACGAACCAGATTTACCGGAAATGCCCAAGGCTGTTAAAGACCAGGTCTTACTTTCGAGGTTCAATCAAAAGACCAAAAGGATTCTCAAATGGGAGCTACATCATCCAGTTGTCTTTGAAGCAAAACTTGAAGGTCAGGAGTTTATCAGGCAAACCATTCAGGATGGTTTCAAGCCAGCACCGATCCTGGGTGATATTCGTTTTGATATTGACATGCCCCCTCCCCCTCCGAAACAACTTCAAATAGAACCGGAATTACCAGCACGGCGTAGCGAGGTCCGTCGCCAGCGTGAGTCTCTACCTCAGCCTCCTCCGACACCTACTCCGATACCTACTCCGAAAGACGAGACACCTAAACGGATACCAAAACCGAGAAGGACACGGGCTCCTCGGGCCTCGCGTGCGCCTGTTACGGACCGCCGTCTGGCAAAACTTGATGACACTGCAACAGCCGACAAAGAAGCACAGTCCGCGACCCCCAAACGCGTTCGCCGACAGCGATTCGTGCGCCCCATTTCCGAGGATCTCAAACAAAAGTTGGTGGTTGCTCTTGTCGTCGTTCGTGTGCTTGCAGGCGGAGCAGAATCAAGAGTGATCGATTGGGCTCTAGTGATAAAAGCTTTCCCAGATCAAGACGCGGCTTTCATTGAAGCACGAGCACGTCAAATACTCAACAAGAATCGTTTGCAGATTACGAAGATGCATCGAGATTTCCAAGAGTGCTTCCTCGAGGCGTATGAAAAGGACGAAGTTCCACGCATTGACTATTCCGATTTGGACGGCTATGACTGGCCTGCTCTGGTTGAGTGGGCAAGCACTAGGCTCGATGTTTCTCCATCGGAACAGGCTCCGGACCTTCCAGCAACACGGGAGCAATTCAACAGTGTTTTCGAACTACGTGAAGATGCGCTTACGGCAGGTGACGAACTGTACCAGGCTGTGCACGGTGTCACTATCAACCACAAACGCAACTTAATGGCGCGCAATCCATTCGCTGTACCCGTCGATGATGAAACACGCACCCAGCTAGCTTCACGGAAGGCTGCTGCGGCACAAATCGAGGCTGCGAAAACATGGGTTCGTGCAAACATCGTCACCGCAGAAGAAACCTATCGACCCAATGAGTCAAGCGATATCCTGCAGCGCTTTGGCGATCGACTTATCACCACTGCGACGCAGACACTGATCAACGAACGTGTCATCAGCTCTACAACCCGTGGCCGCATCACTCCGGGTCGCAACTACGATATCTCAGAGTATTTCCTGCAGACACTGAGCCGCAAACGTGCTGTCGAAAGCACCCAGCTGCGTCGTGCCGCCCATTTCAAGACAAATATGCTAGATCTCCAATTCCGAACCACTGGTTCGTCCGACGTCGAGTACACCGCGGAAGACGGAGATATCCTCGCATTGATCAACCTCTACGCTGCGGGTGCTATTCAAATGCGACCTCGCGATGCCCCCCGCGCTAAGTTTGGTCTCACTGATGGTGGATATGAAACTCGGCAGATGGACAAGAAACGCTTCCGTTTCCCTATCGAGGTTACTCCCACCGCAGCATACCGCTACGGTAACCCCGTCCATGGCAAAGCTGCAGCCACGATCCTTCCGCCGGCGCCTTCATCATCAGATACAAAAATGCCGCCTAGAAACCCCCTTTGGTACGACATCAATGGAGAATTCGTACGTCGTCTCTGGGATCTGGTGCTTGGCCCTGTCCTCGGGTGCCTGGTGATGCGACCCGGTATCAAGGCCGGTAACATTTCTAACATGATCAAACCCACCATGGGTACATGGGAGACTGTGTTGATGCTGCAATGGTTGGAGGAAGTTGGCATCGTCAAGTCAGATGGCGAGGGAGAGACAGCTTGTTGGAGATTACAGGAGTCTTGGTGGATGATTCTATCTTGATTGTCCATCCTCGGCTGAAATACTCATTTGCGAACAAATTCGAATGTAACTTATGTATGAACATAGTCGCTAACCATACTTCTCAAGAAAAGTTAAGCAAAATAAAAAAAGAACAAGTGGATGGTTTACTACAATGATGATGTGTACTTGATTTCAAAAACTATCTAGAGGTATACCATGGATCAACTCCTGTAATGTAATCCCAAACGCCCGCATAGCCGCCAAAAGAAAGAAAATGCTTAACATAAAACCCCAAAGTCCTTTACAAATCGTCGACGTTCGCCACTCGGCGCAATATCAACAAGACAAGAGCAACGACGACACCAATGATAGCCCGGTCCAGCCAGACACTTTCAGATGGAGACTCCGTCGAATCCAGTTGAGAGGAGCTTGTCCGCGTAGGAATAACAGCTGCAGCCGGTGCTTGTATAGTAGATAGCTGTGCCTGTGCCTGTACTTGCGCCGCGGGCACCGGTGCAGACGCAGAAGGACCCGGAACAGATTCCGCAGGCGGAGCACTCTCTCCAGCACCATCCCCTCGATCCTGGTCCTCATTACCAGAATTCCGACTCGAAGACGCAGCCGGAGCATCAGTCTCAGCCTCAACCATCTCCCGCTGGCCCTCGACACCAGCATTAGCACCAACACCAACACCCCCATCAACAGCAGCAACCTCACCCTCAACCTCAACGCCACGCTCCCGACAAACCCCCCACAATTCCCTCATAGCCTCTAAATTCCCAACCCCACACTCCCGACAAGACCAGCCAAGCGATAGTCGCGCATACTCCCGCCGCAGCTCGTCACTCCCCTCCATCCCCCCAACCTGACCCTGACTCTCGGAACCAAAGATCTCAGAGCGGATGCCTAGCAGTGCAGTGCGCACACCCCAAGCCGGCTGCCATGTCTCCTCGTGGTGGCCGGAGATGCTGAGACAGATTTCGCGGTTGACTTCGAAGCGGCCGGAGGGCGTGAGGAAGCGGAAGGACGGAGGGCGGAGTGGGTATGTGGCTGGGAAGGTTATGCGGCCGTGGTAGAGGCCCTGGGCGTAGGGGGATGGGGAGGGGGGTCCGGCGAGGGTGAAGTGCCAGTCGTGGAGGTTTGTGTCGCTTATTGGGGCGGCTGTGAAGTATGGGCTTGGGTTTTTGTGTAGGTCGGTGCTTTCTTTTAGGAGGCGGCGGGTTGAGGGGGAGGACATTTTGGGGTTTGCGCTTTTGTATGGGATTGGAATTGGAGTTTGGAGTTGGGAATATGTTCGGAGGTTGAATTGGACCTCGGGGTTGTTGGAGGGAGAAGATGACAGTTGTTCCGGTTTTGCGGGGATGATGTTATTGGGCAGTGGTACATAGTTATGCTGCAAATCACTTTGTATATAATAGTAGTTAAGTATTTAGTTCAGTAGTTATGGAAGTAGCGAGTACAACATATACTGTCCTAGTGGTCAAAAAGCCTTAATATGGTATATCCATACTAAAGCTGTGGATACGCTTTATAGATGCCAAATAATTTCACAATGATACACATACAACGCCTTCAACATGCTACATAGAAATGCTACACACAATGACTTAGTTTTAATCCCAGTCCCGCCATTCATCAGTGTTACGACGTGCAGCCTGCTGGCGGCCAGCGCCCGGATCCAACAACCCGCCCCCTTCCACGTCATCGCCATAATCACTATCGCCAGGCCTCGGTCTCGGCGACCGGGGTGCGAGAGTCTGCATCGACACAGAGGTCGGAGGCCGATCAGGCGTGCTACCGCGATTTGGCACCCGTTGCGGCTGTGCAGCGCCTTCCCTCCAACTATTACTGTTGTCTAAATTGCGCTGGTACAACTCGCGGTAGTACTGCTGCTCCTCGGTAGATTCTTGTTCTCGACGCTGTCGCATGCGTTCACGCGCTTCTAGGAATTCAGCACTGGGCTCCCAGCGCCAACCGTCGCCGGTGGTGTTGCAAATGGGCAGAGCCCAGAGGAGCGGTCGGTCGCCGAAAAGGTGGAGCAGGTTACGCCGCCAGCCGTGGTCAAACGCGCTGGGCATTTTCTCGTTGTCTTCGTCGTTTTGGTACTCCTCGTATCGGGAGTGCTCGCGCTGTCGCTCCATTTCGGCGTATGAACGGGTCAACGCTTGCTGCGCTGGCGTGAGGCCGTTGCCTGAGCCGTCAGGGGGCCCTGATGGGCGCGGCACAGGATACATGTCCTCTTCGCCCTCTTCGGCTCGGGTCACTCCTGGGATTGCATTGGCGTGGGCATCGATTATCTGATTCCCATATCCTTGCAGTCGGGTGGATATGCTTTCCTCGCCCGGCTCGCCCCAATAGTTGTTGTTGGGAGCCTGTTCATTCCGGTGTCTGTCTAGTGCTTTGCGCAATGGCGACACATATCGGGTCCTTTCCAAACATTCAATGGTGGTGGTACCCCGTATAGCGAGACTGATATGCCAGGCTGTGAATCCGCTCAGCACCAGTCCAATGATGCCGCCTAGGATAGCCAGAAGAACTACATTGACTGGGAGAATAGTATCCATGTACTGGGTATCGTTCAGGATCTCAGTCCAGACCCAAACGGACGCAATGCCAAAAACAACCCAACAGAATATCGAGGTGTAGATCAAAAACAGCAGGAATGCCTTGTAATTATGCAGCCCAACACAGGTTGCCAACCAGGGACAATGGTGGTCCATCTTGAGGACGCATCGTTTGCATGTCGAGCAGTGGTGCGCACGGTCCGGCTTCGGACACTGACATTTTTTGCAGTACCTTGATTCACCAGTCGAGGTGACAGTATATGATGTGAACTCCGGGTGCTCGGAAGGAGGAAGGGCGCTGTACTCGTGACGGTCGGCCCCGCGAGATGTAGAGAGCGGTGACCCCGGATCAGTGAAGACGGCAACGGTATATGAGAAGTTGAGGATGGCGTAGAGGGAAAATGCGACGATGGAGCTTGGGACCCCTGCCGACACGTTAGTATACCCGGATACGTAGGCCCGTCCGAGTTCGAGTCCGGGCGATATCCTGCATACCAATCCAGTCACTCCGTGAGGGCCTGATGCCAATGCTGACAGCAACGTATACTGCCCAGGTGGTGATGCCGTAGACAAAGGCGAGCGGAAAGCAGCTTGCTGCTGCACAGCAGTATCGTTCGCAGCGGAGGGCCCATGCTCGAGGGCGTCGTTTGGGCCACGAGGGCGAGGTCGGGGGTGACGAGGCCAAGGTGGCCATGACTGATAGTTTATGACACAGGGGAAAAAAGGTTGTACATGGAGGAGTTTGAGGGGATCGATCCCATTATTGACAAAGCATTGGAAAGCGTAAGACAAGTCTCACAGAATTGAGTTACCTACAGTATGCGATGAGACGAGGCTATCAGGTGAGATGTACGGTAAATCGAGTACGGTAATTTTGACATGCTCCGCCACAACCCCAGCCACCAGGGGACACGAAGTATAGCGTCACGATAATACAAGAATAATCGCTTATACGGCCTTATGATGTCTTTCTAGCTGGTTTTATTAAAAAAACCATACTTTGTACAAGTGACTTTTCTATGTATAACCAGTGATCTATGCTATTTCCTGTATGCATTTTTAGGGACAGGGGATATCACTAAATTGTAGGATACTACATATTTTTCTATATACATATTGGTATCGATGTGAATATATCAATTTTATTTACAATCATAATGCTAACAGATTCATCGAAGCTCTGATTTAAATGGAATACCTCGAACGTCGGGTAACAAGAAAAAAGCCAAATCAAGGCAGGTTGTTCTGATCACACCAGCCATTGACAGGCAGACAACTCAACCGGTAGCACCAGGAGCAATTCGAGGAGGGGTATTTATAAAAATTGACAATCAACATAATGAAACCGACGAGGACCGCAACCAGGGCGCCGGCACGGACCACCCACCACAGCCACCAAAGAGGCTTGCGGCCCTTGAAGAAGTTGAGCGGGCCATTTGTAGAGCCGGGTGTTTCTGTCGAGTTGGAGGTGAGGCCTCGCTTGCCTTTGAAGAAATCAATCAAGGAGGTAGTCTTTTGCTCGGGGCCAGCTTGGCCAGCTCCGCCGCTCATAGCAACATATGGCTGTCGTGCTAGACCAATCCGTTCGCGAAGAGCATTAGGTGACCGCATAATAGTCATGCCAATGGCGAGACCCATGATGAAGCCACCAATGTGGGAGAAGTTGTCCAATCCTGGGAGAAGACCAAGAACGAAGGAGACACCCACTCCGAAGAGCATGATGATAAGCTCAACCACCGGAGATTCACGCTGGGGCCAGTCATACAGCAAGTCAAGAAGGTAAAGTGCAAGGATACCGAATAGGGCGCCCGAGCAGCCATCACTGGGATCGAGCTGCGCGGCATAGTTTCCACCCAAAACGAACCCGAAAATGCCACTGGCAAAGTAGGTCAAGGTATAGCGCCACATGCCAACCATGCGCTCCATGTCCGCGCCCATGGTCAGCTGAACCAACAGGTTGAATCCAATATGGATGAATCCTCCGTGCATGAAGATGGGGACGATGAATCTGTACCACTGGTTGGGGGACGGCTGATCATCGGTCGACCCTCCAACGTGGGGGTTGGGAACACCGCTAAAGCCACACACGTCAGATAGTGAACACCCTGTTCCCGTCACTGTGGTCGACGTAGCATTTGGACAGAGCCACGCCAGGGTATGATTTGAATTCTGGATGCCCTCAACGTTCTTCATGCACGGATTATAGCGTGCGCCCATGTAGATCTGAACGTACGGCGAGGGACCGATCATCGGGTTGAAGGTGGGTTTCGTCTCAATGACTGATCCTGTCAACTGGGCTGGAGCAGAAGGATTTTGTTAGTTGATCCGAAATGCTAGAGTAGTATCGAGGCAGGAACAGAACTCACCATTCTTCACCAGTTCGATAATAAATACGATGATCTGAGCTAATGTCAAGATGTATGTCACCCAGGCGATCTTCTTGCTGAAAAATCCCTTCTTCTTTCGGATATCACGCTGTCGGCTATCCTCAAGACCCCCCGGTGATGGAGGGTACTGCGTTTGTTGGCGCATCCAATCTGGATTATTTCCATACTGGGTGTTGGTCTTCAAAGGTATGTTTTCTGCGTAATTGTCGCCGTCCGTTGCCCGTCCGGCTGTCTGGTAGTGTCCATTGTCCGATGCAAGTGACTGTTGACTTTCTCGGTTGTGATAAGGGGTTGAGGGATCGTCGTGGTTGGAACTGTGGCTTGCGTAGCCAACTCCAGGAACTGTTTGTGGCGTTTGATCTGTCTTCCCGGGTATGGCTTGATCGTAGCTGGGGGGTTGTGGGATATTCGTGTGATAGTATTCGTTGGAGGCCATGCTGCCTGGGGTTGAGTCTTTGTTTTAGTTTCGGGAGCGAGAAGGCGGATCCATGAAACTGTCGAAAGTGTTGTAGGGAGCTTAAACGATAAAGCGTTATATAACAAAGAGTAAACAAGAGATGAAAGAAAGGTGAAGCAGTCAGGCAGTCACATTGGCAAAGTTATTTTTGGGCCGATCTACGCAATCCTAGCAATGCCAGCCGCGCGGCTGGGGCTTTTCCGCTCCGCCCCTAGCAGTGGAACCTTGAGTGCCGAGTGGCTGATGAGGGGGCTACAAAGTACATGCATATCTCATGACCTCATTGATTTTTACTCCGTACATAGTACTTTTTTTTTATGAAGGTAAAATGAATCTCAAAGGGTGTGCCTGATTTTTTAAAACCTGCTTAGATAATACATAGTAAACAACGAGTCTACCCAATTAGGTTTAGTCGCCCTGGATTTGAGAAACTCTCTTTCCACAGTGGAGTAAAACACGTGACTTCTGTATTTCTATTGGCTTGATGGCTTGATTCGGTTATAGACCCAGAATGAGCTTATGTTGTATATCCTACAACATACAAAAATGAGGGTTGCATATTCACCATCCGCTAATCCATTGACTTTGATGAGGTGTGACTGTATGGAAAATTTTGCTACTGTGGGGTAGAGGAATACGTACGCCACAAGAAGATATTCTAAGGTGGGGAGTCACTATTCTGATCTACTACGTATTACATCTTGTGTTTAAAGCACCCATAGAATTTGTGCATGATTCTTCCCGCCTAATCCTAGTTCTCGCTGCAGATTGACATCGCTTCTTCAATGTAATTGTATTGACTTATTGATACTATCACTCCACCGCATTGTTGGCACGGATACTTAGAAACTTATCATCTTACCCACTTTGCCTATACAAGGAATCTTAACAGATGCAACAGTGTTTACCTTCAAACTCCCAGCTGAAGACAGAAAAGAAAGAGAAAATAACTGAGGGGGTGCTAAGGTACCAGGAAATGCACAAAACTAGTCCCACTCTTATATTGTGGAAATAGTGTTCAAGTGTCCCTTTTCGGGAGTATTTTTTGGTATAATTAATTGAAAAGAAATTCCCTAACTGGCAGAGCTGGAATGGGTGTGAAAAAATAGGTAAAATTAAAGTGTTGAATCAAAGTGCTGCATCCCACATCATATATCGCATATTGTTGCATTTTCTACACCCAGATAGAAGCCAACAGGGTCAGAAGCAGCCCAACAACGCCTCCCGAAAGCTTGTTTGCTGCCGAGTCTGGTGCCGTAGTAGAGGTTGCGATGGGCGTATTGCCCGAGTTTGTAGCGTGGGTAACGCCAGTTGTGTCCGTGTGACCAGAAGATATACTGCTGACATTGGTATGACTTGAGCTTGACGCGGTGGTAGCGGTGATTGCTCTAGTTCGGTTCACAGAACTAGAAGATATCGCGGCGGCATTGGTAATTGCCACAGCCGGGCCTCCGAGAGTCAATGTTTGCCCGCTGTAGACGGCTTTAATAGGCGCAGTTGTACCGTAAACGGAGGTAATGGTGATTCCAGTGTCGAGGTTGACAATCACAAGCCCGCCTGCTCCAAGACTGACTACCTGATTAGAGGTTGTCGATCCTGTAGCATCGGCAGCACCAGTTTGGCTTGCGGCATCAGGAGATGCGCTGACGACGTTGGTAACTGTCACAGCCGAGCCTCCGAGAGTCAACGTTTGTCCATTGTAGATAGCGGTAGTAGGTACCGTGCTACCATAGGCAGAGGTTACTGTTACTCCAGTATCAGGGTTGACAACCACGAGACCGCCTGCTCCGAGACTGACTACCTGTGTAGAGGTTGTCGACACAGCCCCACCGTTGGCGCCCGCGCCTGCAGCGTCGGTAGCGCCAGTTGGCCCGGCAAGACCAGGAGACACCACAACGACAACATTGGTAACCGTCGCGGCTGAGCCTCCTAGAGTCAACGTTTGTCCGTTGTAGACGGCTGTAGTGACAGGCACTTTGTCACCGTAGGCTGAGGTAATTGTTACTCCTGTGTCGGGGTTGATGACCTCAAGACCGCCTGCTCCAAGACTAACTACCTGTGTAGAGGTTGTCGACATGACGCCGCCCGTGTAGTCGGTCGGGTTGAATTGGCCCTCGGCTCCCGTCACGGTTGTGTAGGGTAGATTGGCAGTAGCAGTTGGCTGAGAGTTATCGCCGCCCACTGCAGCACCTGTGGAAATTTGGGAATCACCGGTGTTGGCTGCAGCAGTATCTGTGTTTCCTGGATTGGAGACAACAGTATCTCCACCGACCGAGTTGCTGGCATCATTGGTACTGGTGCTCTCTGGACTTTCTGGATCGGCAGTAGCAGACTCAGTTGTCTCGGGGCTGGAATCACTGGAGCTGGTGTTGACTGGGTCGGCTGTGGCAGTAGCGTCCGCTGTGGTAGCAGACTCAGTGGCCTCAGCATTCGTTGGAGCTGTTGCCTTAGTGGATGCAGAGGCGGCGGCTGTGGTGTTCTCAGTCTCCGAGTCGGTGGTAGCCGTTGTTGTTGTGGGTATCAACTCATCGGTTGGAGGTATCGCATATGGAGGGTCAAACAGACCAAACTTGTTGTTAGCAACGCCGCAGTGCAACCGGTACGGGTATCCAAATTGCTTGACAGCCGCAGGAACCACGAGAAAGGGGTTGCATCGCGTATCATCGGATTTCATCGGGTGTGTTTGAGTCGCAAGTTCCGTCTTGTTGTACTCGGTCGAACATTTGACGCCCAAATCGCTGAGGTAGAGCTGTCTAGTTGCTCGTCTGGCAGTTTCCGTCAAGGCAGTGTATGGAACAAGCGTGGAAACTTCAGTCAGGTCAAAGGCAAAGACCTCTCTGCTGGTCGAGGGCCCCAACAAGCCACAAGGATTCCAGCCATATAATGTGCTGACAACCATGTACACCGACGGCGACGAGCTGTTCCTTGTTAGCAAAGGCTTATGCACAAACCTAGATTCGATACGTACTATGTGTAATCATGTTTGTGGTCGTAGAAAGTTGACGGGTATGAGTTGTTGTCGGTAGGCCAGTAGACCAAGTCAACCATTCCAGCGTACCTAAATCAAGTCAGAACTGCAGATGTAAAGTCGATGGTGATTGAAACTCACATGCTGCACCAAGGATCGTTCCATAAAGTCCGCGATTCGGTTTCATTGTAGTAAGAGCAAGTGTTAATGGGGACTGGACTGGTTGTGACAGGTCCTGTGGTAATGGTTGATGGCACAGCAATGCTAGAGCTTGTAGCGGTGGTTGAGCTTTTAATGAGCGGAGTGGATGAGCTTCTCAAAGCGTGAATACCAATAGCTGAGCAGTTGTTAGTGCATTCGCTCCGAGCGAGATATTGGTTTCCCCATACCTTCACCACACGAGCTCGTTGCCCAGAAAGCGAGCAGAATGAAGAGTAACATTATCGCGAACGGAATGCATAAACAAGCTTAAGGAGTGACTCAAACAAAAATCAAAGGCTTAAACTCAGGGGATTGTGGATCGCCGCTGGGGATTTTGTTCAATTGCCAGAACGCAGAGCCTCGAGGAAAGGGATTCGTATTATTGACTTGGAAGAATACTCCAGAATGAGAATACGCCATCGTGGCTAGCTTCGCCTTAGGCCTTGACAAGTTCAGCGCTAGTGAGTTTTTTTTGGGTTCTGCTCAATAAATACAACGACTACAACATACTGTACTCTAGTGCCATGCCATGACACCTACCCTATTTCCTATTTAGGCAATAATCACCACCTAAATAGGAGAAAAAAAATGTGCCTCGCCTTCAAAAGTTCGCTTACTACAACATTATGCAGTATCTTCGGAGATAACACCTGACATAGACCAATTATGGGTTGAGGCTGAGATGACAGGGCATTTAGGTCACTCCTACTCGTCACTTGATATCCACAGTTCTACCGTAATTAGACTTTTCGCGTGTTTTGTGGAGATTGTTAGATCGCCAAGTACGGAGTACCATAGCCATGATACATCAGATTACTGTTAATCTGATAGTTAATCAATACACGTCCTTCTACATTGTCGTTCCAGGCACAGGCGAAATTACTCCGTACAGACCTTGGGATTAGCACAACATTGAAGGTTTGAGAAATTTTTGAAAATATGCATACAAAAGCCTCAACGGCAAAACGACTCACGAGGTCTATTATGGAAAAGGACAGGCACGAGATAGACGGGGATTTAGTTAATGGGAACCTTGGAATGCTCGGCTCGGCTCGTTCTACCAATACCTTTAGCATAACCCTCTTTCTCGTGAATTGAATTGAATTGAATAAGTGTTTGTTTTCTAATTCAAATGAGAAATAATAGCCAAAATGCTTGGAACAGAGGTAAAACGATTTCTCTAGCACTCCGTACAAGGTTCTGCTTATATTCTACTAACAAGCATGCGTTCTCTAAGAGATTAGCTATCTGACAGCTCTCAATCACTTTGTCCCAATATGACGCCTTCAACGTTTCAAAATCCTAGCGGTATATTAAATCCGTATTTTTCACGATCCGTTTCTTGACAGCGTTTGGCCAAATCCTCGGACCGCTAAGGAATACTCCGCACAGAGTGTGGTCCCATTATGAATATCGCTTGCACCTTTCTAAAGGAAATATGTTAAACAATAGGTCAATGCGTACAAAATCTTCGTATTGGGCGGGCTATTATCTCCTGGGCTAAGCCTTCGCTGAAAAATGGGCCGGTCAAAACTACTAAACAGGAGCGGCTACCCCGTAGTGTGAGGCTCTTGTCATCCATTGGTGTCCCTCCGGGGCTAAATTGTTTACCCCTATTTCCCAGGTCTTACTACGTATGGAGTAGTTCGGATACTATTATTACCAAAATTTGGATACGGCTTCGACAGCCCCGCTCCCTGGTCAAGCCCACTCCCCCAGGAAGACCTTTTTTCTGGGCTGTCTATAGGAGGACTGTCCTCTGTACAGCTTGAATATGGGCTTCGATCGGTATTCTTTCATACTTGTGGCAGAAGTTGTGCTATGTTTGGTCACAGCATGTCGAGCGTCTTCTTCGGCTCTTGTGATTCCACCCAGCCAGTATTTGTTAGACTCGCCCCGTAAGTCGTCAATTAGAAGTCTGTTACTAACGTAACTCCTAGCGAGGGTAATGATGGGCCATGGAGTAGCTTCAACGTTCGAGTTGGCAGCCCAGAACAGGACGCTCGAGTCCTTGTATCTACAGCCTCCCCGGCAACATTGGTTGTCCTATCACAATATGGCTGCTCGGAGGCAGTGATGAAAAATGTGCCGTCGGATTGCGCTGTTTCGAGAGGTCTTATGTTCACACCGAACGAGACCTCGACGTGGGGTCAATTAGGGACCTTTGAACTCACCGGTGGAGAGTCTGGTTTCGAAGCGAACCTTGGATATGTGCAGCCAGCTCTGTTTGGCTTGGATACCCTTGGGATCGGGCTTGTCGATGGATCTGGGGGACATACGCTTAAGAATCAGACAATTGGTGGGTTTGCTACAGCGTACCCCTTCTATTTGTAAGGAGGCATTTCAATTGGCACTGCTTTCGCGGCTTGCTCACTGAATTCTAGAGGAATCTTCGGTATCAACACGCAGCCATTGAATTTTACCTCATTGGGAAACTTCTCTTCCCCTTCATACATCACAACATTGAAGGAGAATAACGTTATTCCCAGCCTGAGTTGGAGTTACACCGCGGGAGCTATATACCGTAAGTATCCCATCCGACTGCAAGAATATTCACTTTCGAATTAGAAGTTAACTAATAGACACAGGGCTGAAGAAGGTTTATGGCCAACTCATTTTCTCTGGCTACGACACGTCTCGCTTCACCGATAATTCGGTCACTTTCACAATGGCGGACGATGTCACACGCGACCTGGTGGTGGCCCTTCAAGCCATAACCTACAGCGGAGAGAACACAGAGTCTCTCTTGTCTTCCCCAATTAACATATACATCGACTCCACGGATCCCAATATTTGGCTTCCAGACACCGCCGTGGACGCTTTTGAGTCTGCCTTTGGTCTCACGCTGGACAGCACCACTGGTCTATATCTCGTTAACAGCTCCCATCAATCTGTGCTTCTCGAGACAAACGCACAAGTATCCTTTCGATTATCTGATGTTTTAGATGGCGGTGACACGGCTACGATTACTCTCCCCTATAATGCGTTCAACCTCCAGGCAGAGTATCCATTGGTCGAAAATTCGAGCTACTACTTCCCCCTCAAGTGTGCCGCAAACGAATCACAATACACACTGGGCAGAACGTTTCTCCAAGAAGCGTGAGCTCCCTAAATTCACAAAAGAAGAATATGGAACACACTGACTGACTGGTGGGATAGATACCTCTCAGCCGATTATGAGCGCCGGGTTTTCAATGTCTCGCAGTGTACTTGGAATGAAGGCGCGGAAGAGAGCATCGTCACCATTCTTGCAAGTTCAGCCACCACTACCAGCGAATCTACCAAGAGTCCAACGTCGTCCTCGTCCAGTGATTCTGATACCTCTTCGAGTGGCTCTTCTCTTAGCACCGGTGCCATTGTCGGCATTGTAATCGGTGCAGTGGCTGCCATTACATTGATTGCCTTAGGTGTCTTCTTCTTTCTTCGCCGGAGGAAGCAGGATCCTGGCAATGAACCTGAACAAAGCATTCTTCAGTTTCCCGCATCTCAGAGTGTCTCAGACCTTGAATTTAAGCATGCGGACGAAAATGCGTTTGCCATAGCTCCAATAATGCATGGAGAACTCTCTGGAAACGATACTCAGATTCACCAGTTGCATGCAAACTCTGGACTGAGGCCGATCAGGGGTAGGTCTGAGATATACGAGCTGTCAGGCAGGGGGATAATGCAGCCTGCTGAGTTGTCAGATCGTGACACTGAATCTCCGGCCGCATCGGCAATGTCTCTGGTATCGCCCGATGTGTCTTTCCCATCCCCAGATGTAATGTCTCTGATGTCCCCTGATGGGTCTTTACCGTCACCCGATGTAAGCCGGACTTCAACACAACGGTTATAGTAATATGATTTCTCTTGTTCCGAGCCACCTACCTGACCACAAGTACCACACCGACCACAAAGCACCACAACTATACTCACAACGTAACCATAACCGACAACCTCTTATGCCAATCAACTGCAATCCGGAGCCGGATATCCCTATCCTCAACTCACAAGCTTTGGTTATGGCCCATTTCTGCCGGTTTGATCTATCATCAAAAGTTATGCATAGGAAGTCTCTTACACAAAGTATTCTTTTTTTTACCGCCGTTATATACATATAAAAAGGCATCACAAGGCCGCGTAAGCAGCCGACCATTCTTGAGCCTACTAATTTGCCGACTTGTATATCAATCTAAAGGAAGCACAATGTATCGACTTACGAGAGAAGTAATTGACATTACAAAATCGATTCATATCTAAATCCATATGTCAAATGACATGTGTATTGAGAATGCCTAATTACCTAAGGATATAATCTTCCAAGGTTCCTTCCCTACATAAATGTAGTTGATCTTACCTCCTCCCTCTCTCCCCCCACAGCACAGCTCACCAGGGTTTCTTTTCCACCTTGCATTCTTTGCAAATTATGATTTGTTCCAAGTGCCCATTTAGAAACGTACTGGGGGAATATCTCGATATCACTCCAGCGCGTATCACACAATTACATCATTTTTGACATCAGCACACCATGTCGCGCACTGTTCCGTCCTTCGATGAGGCTACCTTCGATAAGACACAACTCGCATCCCCATGGGTTTACTACCGTCAATCGGGTAAACATAAGTTGCATCGTTTTATTTTCGTCAAAAAAAGAAATACTTTCTTCACGTTTCCAAATGGCCGATAACCGACCAGGCCAGACTGGTAGGGGTGACAAACCCCAAGATATTTAAGGTAGGGCCACCAAGGCCCTGACCCCAGCTACAATCGGCGCAAAGAAGCGTCGCCGCCGCCAGCGGCGAGAACAAGTTAGTACTACTATATAACAAGATATGACACAAGACTGATAAAACATGAACAGGAAGAGATTACTGCCCGTCGGCAGCAACCTCAAGCAAAATTGCTCGATATTTCCTTAGAGGTACGAGTCGAGCGATAACTCGCTGGAAGGTATCATACCCCATATTACCCCTATCTCTTCATCGGACAGAGAGAAGTTAACATGGACTTCAGCAAGAGTTCACCGCAATGGCTAGCGCGCTCGTCCCGTTCGTCGCCCCCATCAAGCCGCCCCAACAGGCGGCTGCCCAACCCACTCGGCCTGCCGAGGCCGCGGCGTCGCCTGTTGGGGTGGCTCATCAGCCCACCGCTGGGCCGGTTGGTAATTAGATGTGGCCTGCGCCGCAATATAACCACAAGGCCACTAACACTGTCTTACGACATGGAGAACGTGGAAATTCGCCCGGCGCCTTGTTTTTGTTATCTTTTGTTGTTCTTGTTTCATGTTGTCTTACTGTTTAGATTTATTGATGGTTTTCTCGTTATTCTTTATGATTTTACAAATTAGATCATTATATTGTTGCCACCATCACCCATATTAACTGTCTCTCTTTCTCTTCATAAATCTTGTAAAAGAGAACCTATTCACTGCCAGAAATCCCGTTAGTAATATGTGAGTTAGACAAGTCCATACCCACCAGATTGGATGTTGGGTCAGGAGTATAGGTTTTGTTGAACGGAAGGAAATCGAGTCTTTTTAGACTTGTGGCGCCTGGGTTGTGCAGCAATGTATGGTATAGATGACAGATATGTATGACTCTATCTAGCTAGGTAGGTAACTAACTAAAATAGACAAATCTTATTAGATAGAAGCACATATAAAGGATTTTCTTGCAGCTTAGAAAGAAGTTTCTCTGAGCTGTCTAGGACATCTGGCGAACAAAATTAGGTTTATCAGTCAAACCGAGCACACGACAACATGGCCGAGTGGTTATGGCGCCTGGTGAGTTATAATTTTCTTACAGGTCTGCCAACATACTAACCATGCCTTAGACTTAAGCATCACTATTCTTAGTGACGATTTCAGGTCCCGAGAGGGTCGAGGGTTCGAACCCCTCTGTTGTCATGTCTTCTATTTTTTTGCGTCCCGAGTATAGCCGCTCTTTTTTAATATTCGAAAATACTTGTCGCTATGTTACAATACATGGTTGAAAACCGAGTCAAAACCCTCGGGAAATAAATGGATGCAATATTCTTAGTCATTGATGTCCACAGCCGTGAACAGATTGTGAAATACCTACATATCTGTCATCCATACCATACATTGTTGTTCACCTTGATTTCTGTCAATGGTGTTAAATTAAATGTAATGTATAGACAAATAAAGCCTTTAGCCTAGTACTAGGTAGATACTCTCCCGCTCTTAAAACCTTGGTAATGGTAAATTAACAGAAAAAGAAAAAAGCAGAACAAACCTTTGACAGAAGGGCCATGTCCGAGGAACTCCTGAAAGGGGTTAGGGTATTTTCAGTCACGCGGGGTTCTAGGTTCTAGATAGAAACATCTCCCATTCTTATCGAATTCGAAAGCGCAACAAATACAGATCAGCATCCCTGGATTTACCAGAGCTGGAAAAGACCAATGTGTTCAAATGAGTAGTCCATAGTTCGGAGATGTGATCGGCCCGTGTTTCTTCGGGGGATTCTGCCGCTGATGTCATTGCCATGTTTCATCTTCCCCGCGCCTGCAACATCAAATTGTCAACACCACCACCATGGAGGACCCTCTGATTCAAGCATTGCCTCCGGCTACAGACTATCTGACCTATCTCACTCTGCTAGAGTATCAGTTAACCCCAGAACGTTTGCCGCTTTTGCACACTCTCCTGCAGGATGAGAAGCTTACGACGAACATCGGCTGGGACTTGGTCAAGCTGCTCCTGCCCATGCTACCGGCGTCCACAGAATGCCTACAGGATGTGGCTCGACTAGGCAATCCCCGAGAAGTGATCTTGCGCGTCTCTGAGTCACTGATGCAACTTCAGCCGGAAGACGAGGATGAAGATGAGAAGGCTGATCAGGGACTCCCCCTGCACATTTTACAGTTTAATTGCCTTCTCGGCATGCTATCAGTACTCCACACACGGATCCAGACGAAAGTACCAAGTCGTTTCATCGCAACCTCCCTCCAAGCAGCACTGGAAGCGTACACCACAATGGCAACCAACGAGACCACCCTGGCCTTCCTTGAGTTCTTCCGGGAAGTGTCTCCCTCCAAGCGGCCCGCGCCACCTCCTAGAGCCGCTAGCGAGTCGAGCGTGCTGAGGGTTGCCGCTGCCTCAGCCCCAGACCCCGAAGCCGAGGTATCCTCGCCCTCTCCGTCTGCTGATAATGAGACCCTCCTTGTTCGGAAATTCATACAATTCGGCTTGCTTGAACTGCTGAAGTCCTATCTCTTGAGTTTTTCCAGTCCCATGGATCCTGGAATGTCGTGGACCATTCGAATGCAGGAACACCTGCATCCGGATCTGCGGCTACCTGCTGCCCAATCGCAGACTGAGGCATATGGATCGACCAAGGAGCTCAAGGAGCGCGATATGATCATGGGAAAGCTTATGGTAAGTGAGATCAAATCATCGACAGAATTATGTCAATATCCGAGGACGATTAATCTGACCTTTCTTTTGCTCAGGCTTTGTCGCGAGACGTCGGAATTGACAACGAGGAACTCCTTTCAATCATATCCGGATCCCCTACAGATCAAACCGCGCAACTTGATTTCGATGATCCACCAACAAACCCCGGTCAGATTCCGCTAGAACGCCATGGTTCACTCCTACTACTGGCAGCTCGGGCTGCAGGCACAACCCTCTTTGCCTCTGGGCAACAGCCCCGTCGGGTTTCTATCTTCCCTGAGCTGGCTCAGATATTCAACAATTTTGTTGGCGGCCAAACCAATCTCGATGAAGTGGCTTTTGGTCAACCACATGCGCTGCTTGACTCCCTGTTGGCTTTAACCGTCTACGCTTCCCAACAGCCCATCAAAACCCCATCAAACGATACCGAGTTCAAGGATTTCGTCGTCATCTTGACTGCATGCACAGCACGCCAAACACACGGTATCGTTCGCCAGATCCCGGCTGCCATTGTTCAGAGCCATCCCGCACCCGAGACGCGGTTCAAGCTCATATACAAGATCTTGGAGGATGACCACCTTGCCTCGGTGCGGGATAGCGCCATTGCATGGCTGAAGGATGAACTACTCCGCAGCCCCACCCAATCTTCCGACAATATATTCCAAGATCCGCTCTACTTCTGGGCTCTATTCCCAGCTCTTTTCAAACCAGTCACTGCCGCCAACTCAGCATCCGATCTCGTTGCTAGCTGGTCTCGTCTGACCCAGACTCAAGGCCCACCGCTTCATTCCGCATTGAACTTGTACTACTTGCTACTTTCCTCGCCATCGCTACGCGACCAGCTCCATCTCGAAAAGACAGTCAAGTTCTTCCGTGGCCATGTCCTGAACCCTCTCCGGCAAGTATTCCGGAGATTCGAGGACGATCTCACCGCAAAAGGAGGTGAGGGTGTGATCGAAGCTGCGGTTGGAGAGGAAATGTGCCAGATTGGGAACGCACGGTCTGTGGGACTTATTGGTCTTACACTGGATCAAATTGAAGAGACAGCCAGTGATGCATTTGGCTCCGATGAAGCGGATCTGGGTGAATATTCCGACGCCGAGGAGGCTAAGGCGTCTGAGATTCGGAAGAAGATAGATGCCTGGAACTGAGTATAGATTCGGGTTACTTGTACAGAATTTTAGTAGATAGGTTACTACGAATGAACGCTTTATCATCTTGTTCATAAACATGCACCGAAAGGGTCTAAATTAGGCTATGCGGGTGTGGATATAATGTTATTAGTCCAACGTATGGAAACATTCTTAATAGGAAGGTAGTTCACTACAGACATTTTCCTCTCGTTGTTTTGCGCTACAAGAAATATCCAAGGAGAAATGATTCTTTGAGGCAATGATCCATTCCTATCAACTACCATGACCGATTCTAACTAAGAAATAAAGCCCTCTCCACCCAAACCACCCACCAGACAAGAAACCAGAGGAACCTGCACCACAGTGAAAAAAAGAAACACAATCAACCGATTTGAAGTATGTAATGGAAATCCCTCGAATGTAGCTGAAGGAACAGAAGAAAAGTCCCTTTCTAAGAAATTGTTGTCACCCGGATCGTCCACGAAGGGTTCGAAAGAGACAAGTCAGAGTCGACAGCCGAGAAGACCGCCGAAAGAAATGAACTGTTCTCGTCGAAGAAAGAATGAACTGGACAGACAGACTCGCAAAGAGTCTTCACAAAAGCAAAAGCAAAGCTGAGAGGTCATGTTTCGAGGGATTGATATTTTTGGTTGAAAAGTTGAAAGTGTTCTCAAGAGTCCGCGGCAAAGATCGTCGAATTAATGCGTTTCAATGTCAACCATAGCGACCAACGAGACAGGTCAAGCCATGGTGGCTGATGGAATGTTGGAATTGGGGGCGCTCATGGAGGGTATTTAGAACTCAGCGGCTATTCAAGACATATTAGTATATCAGTTGTTATCTTTGAGAGTAGATGGCACTCACTGTTCATGATGACACAGCCACCACCGGGAGACCGCTTCATGATGTCGCAGACCGAGGGGGTTCGGGTGACGGCGCAGCCGTTGGGGGTTGGAGACTTCATGACGACACAGCCACCACCGGGGGACTTCATGACGACGCAGCCACCACCGGGAGACTTCATGACAACGCAGCCACCGCCGGGGGCTATCAGAGATGATGTGTTAGTATATCGATGTATAGAAGAGATGATGAAGCAGTGTATGCTTTGGAAGGCTACGCACATCGCTTCTGGACCTGAGCACGAGACATTTCGAAGATTGGGAAGAGCTTAAAAAGCGGAAGCTTGAAAAGATTGAAAGATTGTTTGGAATGATCGAATTGTGAGCGGGTGGTGGAGAGAATTACTGAAACTGGGTGCACGAGTTGGTATTTATATTCGACGAGGGAGTATTCTTCGAACTATCAATATGATCGAGATCACTCCGGGAGAGTGGAAGTCAATGCAAATGTCACATTGAATTGCTGACTTGAATGCATTGGGCATTGACGAAGGCGTAGAATCAATCTAGAATGCATGGGGTTGGGATTGCGGTGGACGCCCATTGCGGAGCCATTTGATATTGTTCTCGAGTTCATGAATGTAGCCGTTGTTACCTCGGAGATTTTCTCTTTGTTTTCATATGCAGCCAGTGAGTTCATCAAGGGATGTTGGTATTGGCCGCATCACATATCCTCCGAGGCCTCTGTGGCTAGGCCGGGGTTGTCTTTCATGAAGGAACGCCACAGAGATGGCCGAGGGGCCTCTGTCTCAGGCACGTGTAGTTAACCCATTCATAAGTCTTTCATGGGGATAAGAACAATATTAAGCCGGGGTCTCAAATTGTAAAAGAACATTTCGGAGTATGTGGTTGACTTGGCCCAATGGGGATTGCATCGCAAACAAAGGAAGCTGGGATTGACCAATTACCACAATCACATTCCGCCTACGATTGTTCTTCAAGAACAATATCATCTCAGACTTGGCATCACACAAATTTAAATCATCTGTTTGATTGCACGGGTTGACTATCGGGGTCATTCTCACTCGGGGACATGAAAGGGAGCAGTGCTCGCCGAACAGCGCTACGAAAGAAAGAAGTAAGACTTCGCTTAGGCACAACAATTTAGCTAATGGGAATGCTTGGATTCGAGAATAAACGAAATGATCAATGATAAGTCCCAACTTGGCAAATACAATCTCCCCCTTAGGTGTAGAGTGGCTCGGTCAAGTCATTCAAAGTCAATCCTTCCTTGGCGATATCTTCCTCGATCAGGAACATCAAAGGCATCTCAACCAGAGTACCCTTGACTTGGCTAAGCAGCTCTTTGACCTGCTTCGCCCCCTCTGCACCAGGCGCAAAGTCATCGCTGACAACGTGGCCCCATTGGAATCGCGCCGGACGTGCAGCTCCTTCCAACCCCTCGGCTTTCTTCTCAGTCTTGTGGAAATAGTACTCATAGAACTCCTTGTACTCGGACCAGTTGCGGACTGAGTCGTCCGGAACAGCGTGGAATACCTTCCGGAAGACCTCACTATTTGTGTGTGCCCGCGAGTTCCAAAGACTCTGGGCAGTGTCGGAAAGCGGATCGGCAACGACTTTGCTCTCAGGGCAGTCAAAGTCGAATTGATTGGGAACCCCAACGGGCTCAAAGTTCGCATCCGGTCGTTGATAGTCTTGCGGTGGCAAAAGACCTAGGTGCTTCCGGAACAACTGGCGGCGGAGCGATGAAGCAAAGCGGCTGGCAGTCCATGGCTTACCATTCATGCTGGATGACACAGGCGTGAAGTCCTCGATGATTACTGCAATCTCAGAGTCATGGTCACCCAGTTGAGAACGGTCGTTCAGGTTTGCAGATCCGCAAACAACTACACGATCGTCGGCGATCATCACCTAATGCTTTTGTTAGAGGTTTGTATCATCATTAAATCTGGGGGAAACGAACCTTCGAATGAACATAAAGTTCTTCGCTCACGAACGCATTTATTTCTGCATCGGGGTGGCCATCCCACGGCACTTTGCGAATGTCCTCTCCGCCGAGCATATAGCACTCGCTCACACTGTCCCACCGGTTCGAGGAAGCCTGACTTCCCTGTACCTGGTGTGCAGCCTGCTGGTACTTCTGGAATGGCGCGCTGGTATCAAAAGCACTACGGGCAGTGCTTGGAGCGTAGCCACCGGGGCCTGCAGTGTTCAAATCGTACTGTCTGCGGGCATCCTCGTAGTTGACACCACTCTGCTGTTCAGCTGCAGCCATAATGCTACCATTGTTAATCCGATCATAATTGCGAAGGTTGTAGAAGCGGATGTACTCCATAGGGTTGAATCCTTCCTTGGCAATCATCTCCATGATACTGTGACCTCCGCGGTTGATGGAGTTGTACTGGAACTCCATAATCGCGCGTGTTCCGAGGGTCTCGTCATCTCGCAAATCACCGGCGAAGCAAGGAACGGATGGAATGACCACAATGATCTTATATTTCTGACCAGCACGGGCAGCACGTAAAATCCTCTCCACAATTGCGGCACCAATCTGGTTTTTCACTGGACGCTGTGAATCACCGGTCGCAGTGATAAAGAACTGGTTTTCGATGTAGATAAAGTGCTCACTGTTTCGGATAATGGCGCAATATGCGTCTGCAATGGAATGCTCAAGTTGGCTGCCGTTGCTCCATTTCGCACAACTGCGCACAATCTGGCATGACATATTTCCCCGGCCTTGCGAGGAGGAAGGGCGGCCATATGTGGTCAGTCGATCCTGATATTGATGAATTTGCCCAGCGAGCTGACCACGAAGGGAGCTTCCATATTGGGTCAGGTCCTCTCGGAGACGACGGGGCGCCAAAGAACCTCGTTCCCGATCACCTCCATGCTGGTAGTCATCAATTCCACGGGTGTTGGAGTGTGATGATTCCTGGCCTGGTGGCGGTGGGAAATATGGCGTCTGTTCCTGTTGATGGCCTTGTTGCTGGCCCTGTTGGTAGCCTTGTTGCTGGCCCTGTTGGTAGGGCTGATACGAGGCGTTGGCAGGGGACTGCGCTGGAGGGGGTCCAGGCGGGGGAGGAGGGAATGAGTTCCCAGTGTAGCTATACTGGCTTGGATCATGACTTGGGGTCTGAGCAGACTGAGATTGATGGCCTAGAGGGCTTTGGCTTGGTGGTGGGGGGTAGGTCGAAGCATTCTCGGGGTTGTACGAGGTAGATGTGCTCTGCTGCTGATATTGGTGCTGATTTGAGGAGGTCTGAGCCGGCGGTGGCGGATAATTTGAAGTGCTAGCACTGTTGTAGGGCTGATATGCGCCGGCAGATTGTTGCTGCTGAGGCTGGGACTGCGACTGTGACTGCGACGGACTCGACGATGTCTGACCTGGCGGCGGCGGGTAGGTAGGCGATGCGACTCCACTGGGTTTAGTCTGCCAGGATGGCGCAGGTGGCTGACCCTGTGGGCTTGCCTGGCCCGAGGGGTACAAGTTGGGTTGCGGAGAGCCAGCCTGTTGTTGGCCAGTCGAGGGGCCAGTCGAGGGGCCAGTCGAGGAAGCGGGTCTTCCATGGAGTGCCAGTCTTGCGTACCTAGTATCACTCCGAACCTTGTATTTCAAATCATAGATGAAGTTCCATCGCTCCACAAAGTGGCGCCGCAAATCTTCCACGGCTGCACCATGCAGGCTCACGGATATATCAGACCATCCCATGCGAGACATGGTCTTTCTATCCAGCTGGTTATTCTCCCAGTGAACGACATCTTGGAAATCAAGGACGCGAGAATTGTTGTAGTCCTGGCCAGGGAACACTGTTTGACTGACATCGGAGGGATGTAGATCCGAGAGCTCATGTTGGTTTGTGTCCCAGCGACCGAAGCACATGTCCAAACCGCCCATGAATGCAATGCGACCATCGATCAAGCAAAGCTTCTCGTGATGAGCCCAATACAGAATGACATCATCGTTCATTCCATACAGTCCCTTCAGTGTGTCCTTTGACATTTTACTCAAACTTGCCGAGTCGAGTGACATGTTCTGGAAGGTCGACGCGATGTTAGCTGCCAGCTCTTGGCGGTCAGGCAGGTGGTCAGGGTGACGGAAGACAGCAATATTGGGGTGCAAATTTTCCAGGGCATGCTTGGTGTGAGAAGAAGATACTGGAGGGATTGTCAGTTGAGTTCGTTTCAATATTCAAGGATCATAGACATACGAGTGAGCGCCTGCGTAACCTCCTTATAAACGATAACATTGACGCGCACGCCCCGCTGGGCTGCAGCTTGCAGCATGCGATCCAATCGGTATTGTTCATTCTTCGCCGGTGGCCTTCTGAGATAAAGTTCGGGAGATAACCACCCTACGTCAAGTTAGCCGCATGCAATGAAAATCCGGGGAAGATTGAAACTCACAATCCAGAATCCAAATCGACTCTCGGGCATTTTCCAAAGCTCGAGACACAGCCCAGAAATAGCTGCATCCATCAACATACCACTTCGCATCGTTATGTTCCCGGGGAGGAGCGAAGCTGCCGAATCGATGCTCTGTGTTGGGCTTACTGGGACCGTACTCGGCATACGCCTGTGGATCGATGGTGGTACCGATCTTCTGCGCAAATTCCGAACCTAGCTCGGTCACAGTACCTTGAAGTTTCCCCAAGAAACCGGCCAGTTTGTCTTCCTTCTGAGGTTTTCCATGATAGTTAGGGTTTTGGTGCTGTCCACTTGTGTTTTGGCTTTGCTGATCATATCCGTATTGTGGTTCGGTCTGGGTTGGGTAACTCTGCTGTGAGAGCCGGTTAGTAAATTTCAAGGCTGAAGGAGGGTAACGCCTACGCCTTGATAACCACTTGGGTTATATGTCTGATTCGCCTGACCATGTGAAGATCCATGGTTCTTGTAGGTGTCGCGGAGCTTCTTGAAGGTATCGCCTAGACCGCGGGATCCGTCTCCGGACCCACGTTCCGCGCCCTGGTAGTAACCACCATAGGCCAGATCATCCTGCTTGGACATTCTGACGGTCAAAGTAGGCTGTAGATAAAATAGAAGAGCGTTTGTACAAGACGAAAGAAAGTTAGAAAAGTTCAAGAAACAAGGGTGCCTGCAGAGCGGGGTGCGACTGTTTTTAAATCCGATGAAGGCCCCGCTACCCCAGCCACGATGGGAACGTGGTGAGTGTGGCGGTGTACTTGTACTCTGTCCACGGATACAACATAAGCTGACACGATTATCTTCCTAAGTTGGGATATTCTTGCGATATTCTTGGACATAGGCAATAGAATAGGTGAGGCAGTGTCAGATATCTATTTCACTACGTGGTATTGGCCTGAGTAAATCAACATATATCAAACGTTATGCATGGAAAAGCTGTTTCTTAATATATTCTACCTACGACACTATTAAGGGGGAAAATTCAAATAAGAATAACCGTAAAAAGACATAGAAAATGACTACTAAAATAACACGTCACAAGGCTGAAAATGCGGCCGACTATTTTTGTATTGATGTATATTAACACACCTTCCTACGTCTAAATTGTGCCGTTTGATGGCCAAAAAAAAAAAAAAATACAATTAACCCATGTATTCATAAAACTATCAATAAATACCGCATGTAAATTAGTAATGAAGTGCAAGTTCAAACATGAGGTCAAGTACTCTGTACTTCTGCCCTTGAAAATGCGGGCTTGGCATTCCGACATGTGGAACCCAGGAATCTCCTGACATCTCCCGAGGTTTACTGGTGAACCTCCATATCCTCTCCATATCCTCCAATTGTACTGCGATGCCCACAGTCCAAGTAAAAAAAAGCTCTCTGGGGCGACCCCGAAAGCCAGCTGAAGATGCGAAATCTGTGAGGCCCCTTTCTACAAGTAAAGATAATACCTCGGTCTCACCTCTGGCATAGATGAGACGCGCCCAGGTCCGCCAAGCGCAACAGGCATATCGATCTCGCCAACAATCCCAACTCTCTTCACTGAAAGCTCGTGTAGAGCAACTGGAAGATGCATTTGATCATCTAAGCCAGACCATGCATGCATTCGATGAGCAAGTGATCCGGAATGGGTCGCAGTGGTCTCAACCTGAACTTTTCCGGACAGTCCAGTTGCTGCGGGATGATATAGTATCCCATTTTAAGCTGGCTGATATTCATTTTCAAGAACCTCAAAAGAGCCAAACTTCAATACCACCGCAGGCTGTCGTTGGGCAACCCCACGCGCAGGTCGCGTCCGAGGTGCCAATGGGCAGCTTAAAAGATCACACTTTGGAGTCTGACTTTTGGAAATTGTTTTTGGGCTCGTCCGCTGGCATGATTCCATCGAATAATACCCAGAACCTGGATAACCAACCAAATGACTTGGCTTCCATTCCTATGACAGTATCTATTGCTGAAACGCACACCATCCAATACGCCACCACACCCTTCACTCAACGACTTTTCCGCGGTTGCGCTGAAAGTGGACATCGATTCCTGTCGAATCTTTCATATAAAGATGAAGATATGTGGGAGTTTGGACTACTGTTACAAAGAATGCCGCGAGCAGAGATCCGAGATTATTTCGCACGTGTCATCAAACTGGAACCTTGTCAACCCATCGTCGATGCTCGATTCCCATATGTCAGCCTCGGTGGTGCAGGAACACATTTTTTACAGCCTTACAGTGACGATTTTTCAGATAGCTTTGGTCTCTTCCGAACAACAAATGGCGTGTCTCATGTTCCTGCAGATGAAGACTGGTTTGACGTGCATGATGTTGAGAGATACCTGCTCAACCAAGGAATTGGCATAGGCGAGTTTCCTTCGTCCGCCCTTACGATAGGCTATCCATCTAGTCCAGCCGCCGGGAATTCGAACTTAGAGCCTCCCCAAGGCGAATTGTCCAACAGTATGATGATGGTCGTCGACGAGTATAAATTGATCAACAGTACGCTTACACTGTTATTCTCGGCGCCAAATATAATGATAAAAGCTAACCTAGCCAGGACTGAGCCAGCTCCCAGTTGCTCTAGGCTGCGTGGCCGGCTTTCGCCGGTCTGATATCGAGAGGGTAGTATCCCACAATGTGAGGTGGGTCCCAGTTGGAGTGACTAGCTCTCCAGGGTAGCCTTGTGTGCATTTATGTATTTCAGCCTGCGGAATATCACAATACCCCATCTTCTTTATATACACAGACGCAATACCCAATGAATAAGACATAATCTTGTTTGGAACTATCTACACACCCTTGTATCGTCCCAGTCTTGAGTGTTTCCTGTGACCTCTCTTCCTTAATCATATGGCCTTTAAATGCCAAATTCGCAGCCCCAAGGATTCCCAGTTGAGCTAAAGACCCGGACCATGCCGGCGGAAAGATGTTCGACTCATAACCTCCTCCCGCCAATACCACACAGCTGCTACAGTCGCACCCGGTCCAATTGCCAGAGAACCCAGGATCAAACCGACCAGTGCCACCTGCCAGGAGAAATTCGAAACCCCAATGCGATATAGATCCCACACGCTCGCTAGACACCATAGGAGAGTTGCTGCTGTAATAAGCAGGAAGTCGTTCTGGAAAAATATGAAGACTCCATCCGCAATTGTCGTCACCTGTGCGAAAGCCTCAGATGGTATGAAGGTCTTGGTGATAAAATTTGTTCCCAAGGCAGCCCAGCTCAACAACAAGGCCATATGGAAACAAGCAGCTATACCACCGACCACAGCGTAGAGGGTTTGCAAGTAAGGGATATCACGGTTAGGTTTGCTCTCCGCTGTGGCGCTATCGGTATTGGTTATTGTGCTCGAACTGATCGACTTGATGACACGGGAGAATATTTGAGTCAAGATGACCACATATACCGGAGCGGGCTGCCACAGCGCAATGAAGACCTGTCGCGTGTTCAGGGCATCAGCCAATGGGAAGAATAGCATGATTGTGGGCACGACGAATCCCAATATCAATGCAGGCAGTAACGCCCGAGCGGTGGACTCAGGAAGTGTGCGGGTATTTGGGGAGAAGTATGCTATCCCAGAGGAAACAAATGTGCTCGATATGAAATAGAGCGGTGCAATTAGCCCAATTCCGCGCAACTGATACAGAACCCCCCATAGACTCGGAGTTGCAAGAAGGGTCCATTTGTTCCTTGGTCGGAACCCTTCAACCGTCCAGATAGAGATAATCGGCATCATCGAAGTCAGGAAGTACAGAACTTGCAATGGCTGCTCTGGTGTAGAGAAGTTGGAGACCGCAGGCATGAATATTGTTACGACGACTTTTAAAATGAGGTCAACAGGTCCGAGCCCTGTGTACACCTGGCGAAGGGGAGCTTCAACTCCTCCTGGGAGTACAACCGACTGGCTCTGGATTGCTTGACGGACTAACGCCATTGTTCCATTCGCTCTGAGTGCTGCTGACAATTGGCGATACCCTAACCAGGTTAAGAGGAAGTACGCAGCGTACAACAAGATGCTCACCACACCTCGAGGTGACGGTGTTCTGAAGCGCTCGTCGAAATATGCAATTTCTCGAGGCCTGTGCGGCAGCGGAAGCATGTCCAAGGACACCGCGGGAGCATACGTGTTGATCCATTTGCCGAGGATAACGGATTTCGGGAATCGTGGCACCACGTATTTTACCATGAACTTCAAAAACGGCGTTTCCAGACACTCTAGGCGTTGCCGGGCATGGGCTGCTTTGACCAATCCCCACGCGCGGTCTTCACGCTGCTGCTGAACGCTCTCGAAGACTTTGGAAATATCTGCCGACGATAGCGTGTCTGACTGGCAGTTTTTGAGAGCCGCAACGAGATGATTCGTCAGGGATGCAGCGGTTTCCATTGCGTTATTGCCTCCCTGGCCTGTCAAAGGTTCAAACTATTGGAAGGAACATTGGTCAGTCTTCGCATGATCTTGTTCTCGTTGGTAACTGATCTCACCTTGTGACTGGCATCGCCAATAGTAATAATTCTCTGGAAATGCCATCTTTTATAAACGTATTCTTGCAGGGGAGAGTATGCTGAGGCAACTTTGCTCTTGTACAGAGCGGAAAATTGAAGTGTAGGAGTGATCTGGTCTTCGAAATGTTCCGTTGCAAATGCCTCCTCCTCCTCCTTGGTGAAACGAGGGATATCTTCACCATAGTACGTCTTTCCCATATTCCGCACCAGAAACCAGTAGGTGAGGTCTCCCGGTCCGCTGGGAACAAGATACGAAAAATGCTCATTGAACACCGAGTTCAGCGTGCCTTTCTCGATTCCCTCCACGCCTTTAGAAATGCCGAAGATGCATGCGTAAGTCGCAGGCAGTGCTTTCATAATAGTTAGTTGATGATTCTCAATTGCTTAGGTTTGATTTTTATACCAGATTTCTCGGCAGGATCTATCCATGTGGGATCTATCTTTTCAGCCGCTTTCCACATCTCTTGACGAACTTTGGAATGGATTCCGTCTGCTCCGACCACAATATTTCCGGTGTATGTTTGACCAGTGGTTGTGGTAACCGTAGAACTCGAAGTACCAGTCTCAATACTCTGGACCCGGTGAGAAGTAAGGACTTTGGACTTGTCCTGGATCTTGTCATAGAGGACTTGTATCAACATTCGTCGATCGAGGAAGATGATAGGATAACCATGACTGAAGGTACTGTCAGTTGGTTCTCTTGTTTTCAATATTGGAATGTAAAATTGAATGGTGACAAACCTTCTGATGGACGTGTCTTCGAGCTTGTCGAATGTCCGGAATGGTTGTCCTTGCGAATCACGGAAGTGAAGTGTGTCAACGGGGTATTCCGCCATCTTTAGAACTGAATCATAACAACCCAGCTGGTCAAGAATGCGCAACCCGTTGGGCAAAACGCCAAAACTAGCGCCGACCTGGGGTGCAATGCTGCCGTACGCTTCGAGGACGACGAAATCGATTCCATTCCTCTCCAGCATCAAGGCTAGCGAAAGCCCAGCAACGCTACCACCCACAATGACGACTTTGAATGACTTTTGATCCATGATGTTGTTGCCCGTACGGATTTACTTACCGTGAGAGATTTAAAAAATGAAAGACCCCTTGATTGATATGCGGGGCCGGAATTTATATAGGGGCCTAATTGTTGCTGCACCCCTGAAATATTCTGCACTAATCTGCAATAGAAAGCCGACGCTCTCAAACATCCTATTGAACTGCCTAAATCGGAGGGAAATCACACCGTGATGATTGATCAACCTGTTAACCGGATGAATTATTTGAATGATCAATAATCGGACCAATAGGAGCCCGTCGGAACCAACTTAGGCCCCGGCAGATCCACTATGTGAATTATTCTATGATCCTATTGGCTACATACATCGATGATCTACATCTCTACAATAATATAGTCAGAAAGAACCAATGTATCACTAAACTGTACACATGTCAGTGCCCAAGAGGGCTGAGTCAAACAGCTGTCTTACTTTTCATACTTCACTTCGTGTTTAGAGGCAATAAGAGCTCTAATATATGGAGCAATGTACTATGACTGATTGAAATCCACGCTTGAAACAGGTACCCTAAGCGGCTTTGAAAATTCACACAGATTGCCAACAGGTCTGCATAATCCCTGCAATTGTGGTGCCAAATCTACATGTGTAGGTATAGCTGCATAAGCACACGTTTCCATGCATTGCATAGTTAGCATCATCTATTGTATCGCTCATCAATGCCAATAATGTCCACCAGCGGCCCTCAACCTTCAAACGACGCCAAGCAATTTGTGTAGGTTGATCCTGGCACTGTTACTGAAATAGACAGGTCTCTGGTGGTTTAACTTGTTGGATATGGTAATATAGCCCGGGTGAACATCCAGCCGTTTAGTTTCCAATATTCTTTAAACATGAAAGAATGATAATTCATTGTTTACTATCTGGATCTGTGAAAGAAAAGATTTGCTGCATTTTTCTCTTTACCAGACAATTTCCTTTGGTCCCCTCACTGGATAATGCCGATAGAAAGGACAACTATCCAAGAAACTCTCAGTTGCCCAACAGTACTTTCGCGGGGGAGCTTTCAGTATACCGCGCGATATAGCCTGATGCAGGTAGATAGGCTGCTTCAACATCCATACCTGGCGAATTTTGTAACCGTATGTGAATTGCTTGCTGCCTGTGTTGGATCCAGCCCCGTCTTGTGATATACACACTACATATTCAATATACTGTAGTGGAGCGGTGGTGTAGAACCAGATGCGACGAACGGTGGCTGGGAGGGGATAGCTGCGATATACATTGGTTTTCCTACCGCGTGCAATCTCTAATGCGTCTTCAGGTGGGATGCTCATGAAAACATCTGTAGTGGACTTTTTTTCCATGGCGAGAACAGTTGATGAACTTGACAGTGGCCGATTAATCATATAGTGGGATCTTTCTTTATATACAACCGATAGCCAGTGATTAGCACTTAGCTCTTCTTCTTTCATGTGCTCTTTGTCCCGATGCTAGCTGATATAAAGCCTTTGTGTAATATCAGCCCAATCAAAGAGACAGGAAGTCTAACACACAGATTTGTTGAAACGGCGTTTGGACACTATAATAAAGCCCGTGTGAAGACTAAAAGATCCTATGGTCAGGTTTGAATCATTGTAATAACCCAACCATCCATGGAAGTGTTATTCAGAGAACCCTAAAGACTTGATCCAGGCTTCCTTACTACCCAAAAAACCATGGATTCTTTCCGTAAAATATTTGTCCAAGATGGTCTACCTATCTTCAAAGCCTCTACCGGTCTCGCATGATGGATATCAGTGGAGTTCCTAGCCCACGAAATTGAGCTCGCTGATGAGGACTTGATGAATATTCTGATTCAATTTCTTGAAAATGGGTTGTTTAAAATCACCAAAGGTATTGCTATGCACCATCAGCATAATCTATGTGTCGCTTTCGGTGGTTCTAAGCCTTCCCATGAACGATTGGGCTGCCCTTGCCATCAGATACGTGAAACACTATAGGTAAGATATAATTGCTGACTGTTTTTCTATTGATTGAGAATATATTTTGGTCTAAGGCGATTTGGTAGCCTTTGATACACTTTTCTTCATGTATTATTTTATGCCTTAGTCCCGGATCCAATATCTATTCGGACCTTCAACGACAGCTTGTTTTGTATTATATCATCGTGTTTTTACTATATAGTAGTAGTCTGTAAACGTGATATTCAGGTGTGATACAATTAATAATGGAGGATAGAACAGCATGTATTGCCAAATGTGTCAAGACTAATTCTTGCTAGAATCAGGAGGGATCTAGGGGGTCCCTAAACCGACAAGAAGGCAAAGACTGCCGCCCGCTGCTCACCAGAGAGAAAGCTTTCATCCGCAACAATATCCCTGCTCAGTGGGAGGGGGAGTGAAAACTAATAGATCTGCATCGTAGACCTACTATCTATATAGGTCTTTTGCTACTCTACACGACTTTGCGAGAGAAGTCTGATTTGCTAACATTGCTTGCATATTCCATACTCGCAACTAGCTAGGGGACGCCAATATGCAAGTAGAAAGCCCCAAAGTAATACTTGAATTAGGGAAGGTTGCCACAAGAATGACACAGATAGTTAGATTGATAAGATAAATCAATTCATATATTCTGCAAGAACATTGACCTAGGTACACGCATATGTTGGCCAAAATCATAGAACTAGCCTATGTAGCGCTTGCAAACTTGGCTTTTCTACACCTTACGGCTCTCATCGTCGCCATCGTAGCGCTTCACCTTACGGCTCTCATCTTCGCCGTCGTAGCGCTTGGCGATGTTCAGAGCAGGGTGCAGTGCCAAGCCATCTTGGAGGGTATTAGCAAAGGCTAGCTTGCTCCTATAACACAGAACTGACATACCCGAAGCTGGAATAGCCACCGCAGTAGTTATTGTGGCCAAGAAAATGCCAACAAGGAGCTGGGAGTAGCGCATGACGAAAGACACGTACGTCGGGGAAAAATCACAATACTAATGGTAACGTGATGGAAAATTAGACACAGGTATCTGGTATCTTCCAAGCCAAGATTTCCCAGACCTGCTGGAGGGTTTATATAGGCAGTTTTTTCATAACCCCTGGGACGCTAATGGGCCTGCCTTACGAGAGAGGGGTAGTATCAACAATATTGGGCTAAGGTGAATCATCGTGCATAAACTCGAGATAAGGGGTGCGTTTGTATCCAAAGCACGCGTTACGTACTATGATTGTTTGTCTCGACAAAATTAAATTCCCCGCCGGCCCCCGGAGTGCGTTTGCCTCCAAGTCGACTGGGAATCACCCTTTCCCCGCTCGTACTTTGGTGTTTCGTATAACGAGAGGCTTCTTGCTATACTCTGTAGATGCCTTGATACTCAATAAATACTCGTCAAGACTCCGAACTCCTGCCACACGCACAGTCCGACATGTCTGAAATACAGGAGCCTTTCGAGGGCTCTCGTGCCCTGGAAAATGGAGTGCCACGGTTTAGAACCTCTCCATCAAGAATACTTCATGTAATGTGTCAAATTGTGAAAGTATTCTCAAGTATCGCAGTTGCCTTCCTGCCATCCTGGCTGCAGCCTCCCAAGGACGAATACAGTTTACACAACAAGCCTCACCCCACAGCATACCTCGATGGCCTCAGAGGTCTGGTTGCTGTTCTAGTCTTTGTAAGACACTTTGCTCTGCCGTGGCAACAACATCTTGATTATGGATATGGCCACGATGGCTTCTATGGATTTCTCCGACTCCCATACTTGAGACTTTTTTTCTCTGGGCCTCTGGTCCCCATCTTCTTCATAATCTCCGGATACGTGCTCTCCGCAAAATCATTAAAGCTCTCTCGATCCAAGTCATTGGAAGCTATTTTGATAGCGCTCTCGGGCTCAATATTTCGAAGGGCAATCCGGCTGTTTCTTCCGCCAATCATTTCCACATTCTTCGTCATGATTGTGGCCTACCTCGGCTTCTTCTCTTTTCCATATGAGGATATGCCTGGAAGAATTCCTGTTCATCCCGAAGCTTTACAATCTCTCTGGGTCCAGATCATACAGTGGGGTGACTTTTCGTTCAACGAACTGACAAATCCTTGGCGATTAGACGTCCCACTTCTGCTGTACGGGCCACATTTATGGACGATCCCAATCTCGTTCAGGGGATCTATGGTCGTGTTTCTTGCTTGCTTGTGTCTCATCCGCACAAGAAGCTATATCCGGATCGGAATGCTTGTACTAGTGATACTCACTGCTCTACCACACGAAAGATGGGATATGGCTTCATTCCTGAGTGGCATCCTACTCTGTGAGATGGATATCAACCGAAAGCTACCGTTGCAGGCTACAGCTGAGAAGGCCCGAAATTCGTTTATACAAAAATATATTGGCAAGGCTTTAACGGGCCTGTGCTTCTTCCTCGGCTTGTACCTGGGTTCATTTCCGCGATACAACCAGCGCGGGGAATCCTGCGTAATCGGGTACCAATGGTGCTGCCGCATTGGGTGGAACTATCGTTACTGGCACGGGGTTGGGGCTTATTTGTTCATGTTGGCCCTATCCCGGAGTTCGGTCTTCCGCCGACCCCTAGAGTCGGCGCTACTGCAGTATTTGGGAAGGATCTCGTTCTCGATATATATCGTACACGAGCCATTCCTGCACATTTTCGCCTTCCATACCGTACCGCTCCTTTGGACGGTAACAGGCAAGGAGACTATAGTGGGGTACCAGGTTGGATTTCTCATAGCCATGTCCGTTAGCGCATTTCTCCTAGTCTGGCTAGCTGATCTGTTTGAGTTGTACGTGAAGACGCCCTGTGATAAATTCTCTAGCTGGCTGGAATCCATATGTTTCACTTGAAACACCTATCACGAACAGAAAGGTGATATTTTATTGCTAAGAATAGACATATTCAGCATCCGAAATCAATATTATCAATTTATTTTCTCGGTATTGTCATGGTTTATTACTTAAGGTAGGCAGCCCATCAACCAGGTAAAGAGAGATACGATAGAGATTCGCCCGGGAAAACAGAGTAGACTCTTAATTCAAATGTGAGTATATGCACATGCGGGGATGTGTCGCCCCAAAAATAGGTTGAGATTATGCATGGGCATCGATCCGGAACCTATACGCAAGGTATCTTGCGACCTGTCACCTCGGTGCGCCTTGATCAAGTACCCGTGGACTTTTGTCCGACGGCAGCCGACGGCGCCCCGCAGCGGCCCGTGGAGACCAAGCAATGCCTACGCACTGCAGGGGACCTGAATAGGCAAGGGGTGGAGGGGTTGTGGTGCTTAGCGGTGCTTAGCGGTGCTTAGCCCACCTTATCTCAGCCGGGTGGAGGTGGAGGCGAAGGAAAGGACCATACAACCCTGGTCACACTATACGCTATACGCCATACGCCATACGGAGGAAGGTATTGCTCACTCTCAGGTTCAGACTAAACCGCATATAGCTTAGATATCCTTTTTGTTTTGGTACAACATATTCTATTCAACACTCTGGATAGCAGTATATGGTATTTATAATAAAATACATGAAAAATAAGAATTCCTGAATTCTTCCATCCTTCAAAAGACATAGACATTGTCGAGACTTCTATACTTCTCATAATTCCACGTATACGCAGTCACCTAGGGATGTTTGAAACTTTAAAACATTACTTCCCACTTTTGAGGGGCTCTAATGTGAAATGCCTACGCCTATACTCTAGCGTTTCACAAGAGGAACAAGATCCTGGTCCCGGACAGTCTATCCATCTTGCCCCGAGGAAACAAAGACCTTTTCATACGGCCATATATATTTACCTTGGAATAGCGACTCTAATCGCTGTCCTGGGGATTGGAACTGGAGTTGTTGCTATCTTGTTGATATATCGACCGCAACAAGAGGCATTTGAGATGGACCAGGGTGCACACTCTACGTCCATTTTGCCATCGGGTAAGCTTTCGCTGTCAACTAAACACAATTGTTCTACGTTTAACTTGGAGCTCACCTCGATCATCAGTTCCGTCGAACGAACGAGTTGTATTTCAGCCAGACCTCCTTTACTGGAACATGACCAACCTGGATTCTGCCAATGCATGGGCTGCCCTTGGTGAGTCAGAGAGTATTTTCCTCCGTTCGGACAGATTAGGCTGAGCATCCTTCAGGCCGCAATGGGTCTATCCTGGTGAAAAATCCAGAACAGTACGGGCTCCTACCGGGTATCGAAAACGAGAACGGCTATGACGTATTTCCTGTGTCAGTTTTTCACCAATTACACTGTCTGGTAAGCATTATACTGAAAATACGTAAGACTAAATGCGGGATGGCACTGATTTGATATATTTAGAGAATTTTGCGGGAGGGCTTTGTGGCATTATTAGAAGGAAAGCAGAGGCACGATCACGTTGCTAGCCATCCGGATCACTGTTTTGACTACCTTCGCCAGGCCATAATTTGCTCTGCAGACCTCACCCTTGAGAAAGCGAGAGTTGATGACGATGGCCATCGTCGTGCAACAGATGGTTGGGGAACCGAGCACAATTGTAAGAAGTGGAATAAGGTGGAGCAGGTTAAGCTTGAATACCAGTCGAAATACGCATTTTAACCATGTACATACCATACTAGATCTGAAACAATGGTAGTTACAGTTTTACGACTACGTAAGGACCGGTCACGCACCTCAGGAGACAAGATACAACATAGTGGATCTTGACTTGACCAAGAACAGAGGGTCACTCTGACCCCGCTCCATTATTAACAATGGCATCTGAGAAAGAAATTTACATACACATCCGAATTCCTTTCTCGTTGAAAACATAGAGAGACCCAAGAAGAGAGATATTATTCATCCAATAGTACCATGGATCCAAATCAATATATCGCTGAGGTTGAGCTGGGAGATGTTGAAGAGCAAGAAACACTTTTGCCGTCCGACCAGCGAATAAGCTTTGACACGATCTCCACGAAACACCGCTCCATTCAGCACTATTCCGCTGTACTTGCTGGGATATTTTTCCTCTTATCAAGTTTCGCTGTTGTTGAGATTTGGCGTAAACCCTCTGAGGCGAAATGTGTCAAAAGGCTCAACGGTTGGTGTAAGTACTGAACAGTCCCTTTCAGGGACCTTCTACTGGACATGCAGCGACTGATAGTTAAAAGCACCGATGTTGGACGCAGTGCAGTATCAGCGTGTGGACTTCAAAGACGAATCAAATGTATCATTTATGGGAATACCAACAGCACATCTGGAAAAAAAGTGGGATGATCTCTGGAGATGTAATCTTCCCAAAGTGACTTATCCCTCTATTACCGTTCAGAAGCTAATTAGAACAGTTGGATCGCTAGGAATTCCGGAGACCTATCTACCATATCTCAACAAATCTGTCTCAGAATACGATTGGCACCATCTTCCTTCAGAGCTAGGTGGAGGCATTCAAGCATACTTTGAAGGGTTTCACCAAATCCATTGCCTGGTAAGATTGCCATATTTCCAAACTGCAATAGCTTTACAAGTGCTTAAATGTTGCAGAACCTCGTACGGCAGTACACATACCGACATGAGTACGACTACAGCCATGTCCATGCATTCGTCAACCCACATATCGATATACTAGAGCACGTCGAACACTGCCTAGAAATCTTACGGACAAAGATCATGTGTGAGGCGGACACTACGCTATACTCAGCAGCTCATGATCTTGAACGAGGGGTACTAGTTGATCGCAGGTCTATACGGAATTGCCGCAACTTTTCGAAGATAGTCGAATGGGCCAATTCACACATTTTACAGCCGGTGGACGAGGAGTGAGGAAAGTAAGCTAGATTAGCTAGTATTGGAATCATTATTTTCTAGCTTATGAAGAAACTTGACTGATTCCCCGCCCCTGAAATGAAGTTTTGGCTTCCCCAGTCCATGATCTTGTCGTAATCTCTACAATAGTGAGTGTTTCCGATGACCGGAGCAAACCCTCGAATAGCCTCTGGATCATCCGCAATGAGATATGGCGTAGTGTCACAATCACAAAGCAGTTCCTCCCGAAGAGTCTCTATGCACTCGTCGACTAAATCTCTCGAAGGTGGGGTAAACAAAGTCTGATTTGTTTCCCGATAGACGTATTGGCGAATGAGTCTCTAAAAATATCTATTAGATGATGTGTAAATGGACTCTTTGGGATATTAGAACCCCCACCAAGCAATTGATATGTAAAATAACCCCTGGGACAGCAAGCATTCTATTTTTCGAATCTCCTGACAAGGGATCTGAATGTCTTTCTAGGTCAATGGGTGAAGTTGACAGAGATCCTGTAGAAACATTGACGACACCGACTGGAAGATGATTAAAACCCAAATATAGCTATCAAAATTGGCCACTCACAGGGAGACAGCGCATCCCACATTGTTTCTCGTTCTGCTGTTGGCGGGCCTCGGTAAATCGACCGAGGAACATAATGGTCGCGAAAGTTCACCCATTTGTATTCAATGGACTCCTTTGCCGCAGCTGAGAAAGGATCATCAGAGCCGAATCACATACCATTGGCTTTAGCCTCAAGTCTAACTCACAGGACGGGAAAATAATTTCAACACATGCAGCTGTTGTTGGTAATTGTCGCGACATCACCGCGAAGAACGTAATGGAGGCCCCAAAAGATAGCACAGAGAGCATCAAAAGGTACACTCCCGGGCCTAGATAATGTTCCCGCCCTTGCCAACTTGCACTTTTGCTCGAATAGCATGAGCTTTGTTTGGCGGCCATGACTTTTGCATGTAAGGGGAAGAAAAAGAGCTCCGGGATTCTGAAAGCCACTGCGCTATCGATCTTCCGCCTCTTCTGTGATATAGATATGTCCGTATAATGCGGCTAGTTAAATACTGATAGGAGATAGTGCATACAGAGCGATGTAACATTTCCCCACATCCGAGCTTTGAAACGTCACAATAATCCGATAATTTCAAATGCAGATCAACCTAAAATGGGGGTTGTTAGCAGCACGCTACTGCAGGACAGGTGCCTTATCACACAGATATTACAGGGGCCTACGGCACGGTGATTTTGCTACTAGTAACAATACTCGGAACTTCGCTTAGTGGTATTGTATCCCATTTGACACTAACTATTCTCTTGACCAAATGCCTGCTATCTTTAGCGAATGGAATCCCTGTACCTTGCGAAGCAAGAAAAAACGAGGGGGGCTTAGCATATATGCAAGGCCACGCAATCACTTGACCCATCCGTCTATATGGACGAAAGAGTTGTGGAGAGCTTCTTCGCCATTTACCAGGTACATCGCAATTCTGCCTTAGTCAGAATTACAAATATCCATGGATAAAGGCAGGCTCAATAAATGTGGTAGGCGGTCCACCGCATGTGGCAGCCTGGACTGATAGTCAACCCTTAGGTTTCATCAACACCTCGAATACATCTCGCGTAATTGTTCTCTCTCCTTCTCTCACTAATAAAATCTTCAATTGTGAAAGCTCAAGACGGCTTCATTCGACCATGAAGACCACAACAGAACACTTTGTGATCCACGAACCGCCGATCTTCGACTCAACTCCACAGTCACTGAAAGAAGAGGCACTGAAAATCATCAATGCCACCACCTTGACATGGAATTTGGTGGTAGCCGGAGTCCAAATTGCCGAAGCCTCCTTTGAAAACACAATCTGGCCAATTATCCAGGACGAAAACGCCAAGTTTGAGAAGCAACGCCTCCTACTCTTCTACGGATCAACCTTTCCAGTCAAAGACGTGCGAGATGCATCAAACGAAGTTTCCAACATGCTTACTGATGCCGAGGTCGAACTATTTTCCCGACGTGACATGTTCCTCCTGGTTGACAGCGTAGTGACCAAAGCAAAAACCCAAGGATCCGCTCAGGACGACGAGTCCCGTTATTACCTGCAAAAGCTCCATCGACGCTTCCTTCAAACTGGATGTGGTATTACCGGCGATGCACCTAGGAACGAATTCAAAGCAAAGATGAAGAGATTGAGTCACCTTGAGAGAGATTGCAACCGGAATCTTAATGAGGAGACCACGGGTATCTGGCTGACTCCGAACGAGCTAGATGGCTTGCCCGATGCTGTCTTAGGTCGACTAAAAGAAGGTGAGGGCAGTCAGGCTGGCCAACTGTGGCTCCCCACCAAGACTCCTTTTAGCGCCCCGGCCATGAAGAACGTGAAGAAGGAGTCGACGAGGAAGAAGATTTATTATGCCGTCCAAAACAGGATGGCAGGTAGCGTCCCTCTCTTCCAAGAACTTGTTCTTCTCCGCGATGAGACAGCCAGGATGCTTGGGTATCCAAACCATTTCGCGCGAAAAACGAGCGACAAGATGGTTCAAGGCCCTCAAGTGGTGGCTGATCTGCTATCAGAAATTCGTGAGACTGTGGCTCCTCTGGCTACGAGCGATGCAGAGGAGCTTCTTCAACTTAAGAAGCAGGAGGCAGCCGCCTTTGTAGAAACCGCAAACAGGCTATTTCACTGGGATATCTCGTACTTCACAGAACGACGCATTGAACAGACCGAGACGCGGGAGTCAGCCCTGTCCGAATACTTCGAACTCCAAATGACGCTTCAAAAACTGCTTCAAATGTTCCAACATCTGCTCGGAGCAGAACTCCGAAGAGTTGATACTGCGGACCGCGAAAATCTCATCTGGCACGAAGATGTGCAGATGTATACGGCCTGGAAGGTTGATGGCGTGACTGATGAATTCCTCGGTTACGCCTATCTGGATCTTTTCCCTCGAGATGGGAAGTACAGCCATGCCGGACACTATCCATTGCAGTTTGTACGCATTTCATCACCGGCAACATTCCGAGCTCTGCTTGATTGCCAATTTCTTTCCATCTTGAAGAGACAAAACAAGGACTAATTGCTACAATAGGGCTACCAGCGGCCTGACGGGGGTCGTTTCTACCCATCCTCGGCCTTGGTCATGAACTACGTTAGACCATTGCCCGATCAACCCACTCTTCTCAGCATGGACGATGTTCGAAAATTGTTTCACGAACTTGGACACTTATTCCATGCACTGTTCACAAGGATTAAACATGCAGGCCTCTCCCCAGTGGATCGCGACTTTGTTGAGGCCCCAAGCATAATGTTGGAGCAATTTTTCTGGATCGAGCGTCATATCAAAGACATCTCTTATCATTATTCATATATCAGTCCATCAATGATGTCCGCTTGGATGACTATTAATGGAAAGTCTCCCGATAAAAAACCCCCGCAGATACCACCCGTTCAACTCGATGATGATCAAGCGGCAGCTCTATCCCAAAGAAACAAAGGTGTAAAGGTCCGAGCCCAGCTGAATAACTTATTCTTCGCCACATACGATATGCTTATTCATAGCCCTGCTTCGAGGGAAGAGTTGCTGCGGACTAATCTCACGGAGCTGTTCAACAAGACACGCTCGAGCATCTCCGGGACTCATGGAGGGGAGATACTAGGGGAGGGATGGGAATGGGGCCATGGCCAGACAGTTTTCCGAAACGTGATTAACAAGTATGATGCTGGATACTACAGCTACCTATTGTAAGTCTGTCCTGCGTGCTTTTTCCCAGCTTGATTTGGCTTCAGAAAACTGATGACATACTCAGAGGCACGGTATTTGCGTTTGATATTTTCGAGACTGGATTTCGCCAGGACACAATGAGCAAAGAGGCCGGACGACGATACCGTGACATGATTCTCCGCGTAGGCGGAAGCCAGCCTGAGATGAAGACTTTGAGAGATTATCTAGGCCGTGAGCCAACTACCAGACCCTATCTTGAGTGGCTAGGAGCTAAACCTCGGGATATATAATCATTCATCTCTAAGAATCACACAATGTTCGGAAGATTGCTGGTAATCTTTATATGCGCCAAGCCATAGAGAGTGGGCTTAATATTCTTTCCCCATTAAAAGAGCTATCCGGCTTATGAAAATAACGACTGGAATGACACATCATAAAATTGGCATACCAACAGGATTATCATAATCAATATTAGCCTCCATACTCTCGATGCGGGGACTGCATGTTCCAAAGACTCGATCCCACACTCGTGTTTGCTTGCCATAGTTATGACTCTTCTTCCATCCCCGACGATGATGCAAATCATGGTCTTCAATCACCAACTCAGCATCAAACATCCGCATCAACCATGTGACAGGGTTTGGTGGTGATGCGTGAAGACGGAGACCGCTATGTCCAGCCAGCTCTGCAAATATAACGTACATCTGGCAAACGTGCCATTCGTAGAATCCCATTGGCATCCCCATGAGTTTCATCGTAAACCATGTCATCAACGGAATGCCAGCAATGTCAAAGAATTCTTGTTCAGAGTCCGCGTATATTGTGAGCAGCGGATTCGGGTGTTTCGTGAGATGGTGGGTGCGATGGAACTTCCAGAGACTATTCACATCATGCATGACACGGTGGTACCAATAGAACCAAAAATCAAGAATAATACCATAAAGACTGATCTCGACAAACAACCAAGCCCAGCTGAGTGAGGCGGGTGGTTTATTTGCATCGTAGGTGAGCCATACTGTCATCAGTGGGCGCACAAGACCGGCCAACAAAACCGAGATCAGGGCTTTTGAAACACCCACATCGGGCACACCATCTCGCTCGTGTTTGTCGCCGTCTAGGAACCCGTAGGTATGGCCGAGTTCTCGGAGAAGCCGCAGCTCACGTGTCGTGAACAGTCTCGAAGCCTGGTAGTAGTATAAGAAGGCGATGATCGGGTGGAAGTTGTATCCGGTGAAGTAGGTAAAAGCCTGGTGGGCCAAAAGGGGAACTCCTGAATGGACAAGAACCCAGCGGTTTAAAGACCAGTCGGATACGTATGGTATTTTGTCTTCCTTGGGATGGATTGGGACATCCCTGTTGAGCTCGATATGGTATACGTTGACGTGCTCGAAGATTTTGTGGGGGAGTTTCCACTGGTCTCGGTCCCATGTGCGCCATGTGGATTTCATATTATCCATTGGATTTCGAGATGTGGCCATCATGAACAGTGGTAAGTCTTCCTCTTGGTTCTAACTTCCAAGAACAAACCTATTCGGAGGATATAGAGGATCTGTATCATCTTGCTCATAATTATATGTATGGCAGAGACCGAGGTTGCCTGCAAATTGCGCATGTGGTAAAGTGTAAGTCGAAAGTTTTGTCGATACCTTCCACTACTGTCCTTTGATCGATGCTATCAATCAGGCAAGTGGGGGCACACTTGGCCATACTCATTCTTGATTGGCTACTCGCAGTGGTTTCCTAAAAGGGTTTAGTATAGTGGGGACGATGATCGACGTAAGTGTGATTCCGAGGTCCTGGGATGATATTGTGCATCTACGAAAGTTGTCTTGATAAATATTTACATCTCGTATTGAGTTAATCTCTGTTAACTTATATGTCAGGCGTTCCGTGGCCATCCATACAAAGTAGTCAAAGCATTCCATGTGATTTCCACGCCAAATCACACGATGGTCGACGCCTAAATTTATGCTTATATTTAGCTCGGATTCATTCCATATATTTATATATTTGATTCAAATATATGGAGATGTAAGTGGAAAAGTGTCGGATGGTATTCAGGACACAAGATGAATGTAACTACATACATTTATTGCGAAAAACCTAGGAATACAATGAATGAATCATACACATTGCATCAGAACCTGTTTCCCCGCAGTACATCTGTACCAAAGTACCTCCATCTTCCGCAACAACCAACACTCAAGCATTACCACAAGAAATCAATCTTTCAGCAGTTGGAGATCATTTACCCAAATCAGTCCATCATGTCTCTCGCAACCTTAGATGTGAGAATGCCCGCCATCGACCCGCAACCCCGCTGACCCCATATCAGACCACAGAGCACCCCAACCTCCCCGCCGCATCTACAACGCTCTTCAGAGCCAAGGCAGCTCGCAAACTGACCTTCGAGAAGATTGGAGAGCATCTCGGTCGCAATGAAGTAGCTGCAGCTGCCATATTTTACGGCCAGGCCAAGGCGTCGCCCGAAGACATCGAAAAGCTGGCCGATCTGCTCCTCATCCCCCAGCAGCCTTTGGAGGAACAACTCAACGGCTTCCCTGATCGCGGTCGCTCCGTCGAAATGCCGCCCAAGGAGCCGCTTATCTACCGACTGTATGAGATTGTGCAGAACTATGGCTATGCATACAAGGCGGTTCTCAATGAGAAGTTTGGGGATGGGATTATGAGTGCTATCTCGTTTTCGACAAAGGTTGAGAAGGAGACTGATGAGGATGGTAATAACTGGGCTGTTATTACTCTTCGTGGGAAATGGTAAGAGTGTCTTTTCTGTCCCTGCTGAACAATGATCTAATAAATGAACAGGTTACCCTTCTCTCGATTCTAGGCCCGAGGATATTACTAGGAAATAGAAGAACTATCTTATTTACATGAATTGTGTGGCTTTATTCTTCGTATCTCATAAACAAGCCAAGTCTCTTCAAGCGTGACCTTGTAGTTTCACCTTCAATGATAGAAGTGCAAGATGGTAGGCATAATGTAGTGGCTATCACCCGACCAAAACTGGAATTTATATCTGATCCTGGTGGATAAACAAATCCATCTGAGATGTCATTCAATTATACACAGAAGCCTGTGTGGAGTTACCTGGGAAGTTACGCTCAGACGGCAGTTGCATTATAGCTCGAGCATCATGGTCCTGAAGGGCGAAGAGCATTAAGATAAGAAAGGAAGGGGAAGGAGAAGGAAGGAAGAAGGATGTGAGGAAGCATTACCAAATATCAACATCAAAAAAAAATCCCCATTAATCTAGACCGTTCCTAGACCTCAGGAGGGTATGGACAGAGTCTGGTCACTCGATGTACATGGTCCTCTCCTCCGGCCATTCCCCTATATGCCTCCACCCACCGTACTGACTACGGCCTCCCCCCTAAGTAACGGGGGACTGTACCCTTCCGCGGGGGGTTTGCCTAGCGTAGTGCTTCGGGAGAGCTTCAGCATATAAGAGTCCGACCAACAGTGGGGAGCAAGTAAAACCCGTTGCGACATCCTGGTGTGGGATGCCCCGGCCATAATACCGCTGGGCCACTGGGGGGGGGGCTGGTTACAGTATTAGTTCTTGTCTTCTTCAAATAGATCCAAAACTTAACGGCCAAGTCACTCGAAATCTTTAAGCTTCGATTTTCCTACCTTCCCAGAGCTTTATGAGTTTCAAATTTGGAGTCTCTCATCTAGGTATATGTAGCTATCTGTACTTTAGTTTATAAAGAAATCTGAATACCTCAAAGTGGTGGTTGGCGGGTACTTTGTACCTCGGGTACATGCATATTGAGTCAAAAATGAGGTTATTCAGACCCCCATTTTCGGAAGGAACGACGACGGTGAGAATCGGCTGAAATCTCAAAGCCAGGCGATCGAGTCCCAGCCTCATCAAAATAAATTGATGCTCTTTTTTGATTTCCTAGCTTTCTTTAATGTATTATAATATTCCCCAATATGAAATCCCCATTTTGATATGCCACTGGTTTGTCAAAGAGAAAGAAATCATTTTGTTTGTCTCCAGTGCTTTCAGACGTTATCAACAGCGGTTTCTTCCTCTTCCTCCCCCATCGATTTCCTAATATTCTCGTTAGCTTATTCCTTTCCTTCTCCAACTTTCTTGATACCCCATCCGTCCTTCGTTGATACGCGTCACTTCATCACCTTGATGACCCATCAAGGCTCTTCGCGATGGCTGAAGAACGGGAGGGCATACTTTGTACCTTCCAGGGCTGCAGACTTAGCTTCAGTTCTGTCAGTGAAATGCAACATCATAAGGCCAATGCGGACAGACATTCTTACTGCATGAAATGTGACCTTGACTTCCAGTCCCAGCAGACCCTTCATCTGCACAAGATTATGAGCGACCGTCACTTTGCTTGTCCCGAATGCTGTCTTGAACTCCGAAGCGAAGCTGGTCTAGAAGTTCATATGAGAAACGTGAGTCTTCTCCCTTCTGTGTGGTAATATCCCTACAAACAGGAAACACTGCTAACAAACTAACCACTTTTTAGAATCACCACGAATGTCATGAAATTGCTTGCAAGGGATGTGGTTGCAAGTACAAGTCTGCGGCTGCAGTCATGAAACATATCGAAGACAAGGAATGTCCCGTCCTGGCCCTGCCGGAAAAAGCCCGCGAGGGCGCCAACTATGACCTTCGCGGTGCATCAAGCGTTCTGACCATGGGAAGGGATTCACCGGGACCACAGTCCCCGCCCTCTGATAGCTCTAGTGAGGACCCAGATACGGATGGTGGCGTTCTTCTGGATCTCTCTACACCCCGCATGGAAGGAAAGCGCCCTACTCGTGGTACTGAGGATGCAACCAATCCTGATGATAACTGGCCCGAGCTAGGCGCCCTGACTCCATTCAAAGAAAAAGCAGGAAGTAGCTCCACTGAATCTCCAGGGGGTGTTCTCCTCAACGATATTTTCAATACTACAATGCGCCTCGGCAATCCTCTCCCGTCTACTCAGGGAGCTACCGAGGATTCGACCCAGGCAGGTCCTTCTGGATCGACTCTGGTTATCCAAGGAGCATGCCCTGCTCAGTATGGTCCTCCCACTCGCTGCAGAGCCACAGCTCACCGTAAGATTCAAGGTGTTGATCCTGAGAGCTTCTGGAATCACGAGAAAAGTCGCTACTTCTGCAACTGTGGTTCGTCTTTCTTGTATGTTACCACCTTTGAGTATCACTTGACGATGGAGGACGAAACAATCAACGAGTAAGTATCTTATTTTTATGTTCGTTTGCCTTGCGAGGAGATTCCTCTAACAATCTTTTTTATAGTTGCCCTCGATGCTTCAAACGATTCAGGACCCTCGCCGCACTCGTCGCTCACATGGAGGCTCGATATTCCAAGTGTGCTTTCCGTGTCACTACTGGCCAAATTGAACAGGAACTCAGTGAAGTTACTCGTGGCTTTGCTGATATCCCGCAGATGATCGGGGATGAAATGGAGCCCGGGGAGATTCCTTTCGATGTGAGCAGCCAGCCTGAGCATAACACTCCCGGGTCTTCGGATGCAGATATCGCATCTTTGAGCGCGGGTGACGTCTCTTCGAATCCGGGGCCCGTTTGTTCAAATACCGATGATGTCTCTTCCAATGCAGAGGCTTTATCCTCCAATGGAGATGACGTCTCTTCGAATGCAGAGGCTGTATCTTCGAACGCAGGCCCCGTGTCTTCTAATGCAGGTGCCATTCACTCAACTGTGGAATCCCTAGTGGATGATTTGGAGGGAATTGTCTTTTCCGATACGTACGACGAAGATTACGAGGAAGAACTCTGAGGGGGAGCTTTGAGATTGATCCCAGGGGGAGAGTTTCTGAGGGTGAACTCTGAGGACGGTACATGGGGTGAGCTTGGAGGGTGAGCTTCAAGATTATCTACCACGGTTCTATCAATTGAAAGTAATTCACATCAAGGAAGGATAGTAGGGAAATCTCTCCACTTTTACATAGTTCCATAGCACAAATAACCTTGAGTAATACCCAATCCACAGTAGAACCAGTATTCCTATTCCCATCCGGGCATGAAGCCTCTCAGATCCGGCTATAAAAATCAACAACTGATTAAAAATGAGACTGTATTTCAATTGACCCAACTAGAAAAGAATTTGGGTATGTAAAAGCTGGGTCCAGACTCCATTTTCACGCAAAGGCCCCGGAAACTAGCCAAGAGCGAGAGTCATACTCGCTAACGGGACACATTAAGGAAATAAAGTAGAGTAATAATACCCCTTGAGCCCGGCCAAACCCCATCTCTCGATATCCCCATCTCAAACCGCAACAAACGCGCAATCCCGTCAAGTATGGAGCAAAGTATTGAGGATATCGAGAGAACCAGGCCGACAGCGTGTTCAAACCACCACGCAATCAGCAGCAATTCTCACAGCACTCGAAGCAGAGAAGACCGGCGCAACTAGATGAATGTCAATTTAGTTTTTTGTTTTGTAGTTCGGAGTATTTGACTTACAGGCCGCAGCAGACATCACCAGCGCCGCCGCCACGCAGCTTCATCATATTCTCCTGGGAGTTCTGGGAGGATATTAGCTGGGCTTTGTTATAAGAGTTTGTGTCTTGTATTGCATACAGGCTGCTCGGTCACCATACGGTCGGTGGTGGGGGCCTTTGGGCTGATGGGTTGGTGGTTCTCGATGCTGGTAGCAATTGAGGTAGGGTTTGGAGTAGACTCCTTGGAGGAGAACCAGGAGATGAGACCGTTGGAAAACATCTTGATTGTGGGTTGAAAATGCAAGATGCAGTCAGATGGGGAATGGAAGTGGTGAGATAAAAAGTCAAAGGGGAAAGTAAGCTCTGGAGTTTATGTGTTGGATTTGGTAATTGTATAACGTCGACCTGAACACTAATAGGCTGGGATTGTCTACTCTGCCACTTACACACGAAGCTGAATTTAGATCTTTGTTCCTATCTGTAATATATTAGATATTTCAAATCCAATACTCCCTTGGAGATGACAATTCGGGCGATTTTAAATATAGCCTCATATAGATGATGTTTGTAGATCCAAGCGTAGTATGTACATGTAGTTGATATCGTGTTTTCCCCTTTGTACTGTAGCAAGAAAAGAGAAATTTCCTATATTCAAGGTAAAATAATTATTTTGGTCTTCTAGATCTATGTGAAATAGAGAACTAAAAAAAAAACAAGTAGCATAAGTACAAGAATGATCAAATAAGAATGATCAACCCGACCCTGCCAAGTATCCGCCAAGCCCAACCTTCCAACCATAAATTTTCCTCCGCAACCTCCGCATCATCGCCAATCAACCAAATCAAAAAAAGAACCAACAATGTCAACCCCCACAACCCCAGACCTAAACGCAACCCGCGAAGCAGACTACAAACGCTTCAAGAACTACGCGGCCTACACATTCCTAATCGGCGCACCAATCCTAATCGCCCTCCCACCACGCAAACTGGACCCTCTCACCGTCCTCGTCCTCTGCTCCTTCGGCGCCTCCGCAAACCACATCGTCCACGACCGCACAGGCCGCAGCATAGTCGACCGAATCGACGCGCGGATCTCACGCATGCAAGGGTCATTCTCTTCTCTACCGAGCGAGCGCGCGCAGGAGATCCAAGAACGCCTCCGGGCAGCGCGCGATGCGCAGCTCCGTCGTGCTGAGCATGAGCAGTTGAAGGCGCGGATTTTGTCGCTTTCGGATAAGCAGCGCATGGCGCCGGATCCGGTTTTGAAGGAGGAGATTGAGAAGCTTAAGGCGAGACAGGCGCAGGAGGAGGGTCTTGTGCAGCGGGTTTGGATGGGTGGGGAGTCGGAGGGGTGGAAGGAGAGGAGGTTGAGAGAAGAGCAGAAGGCGCTTAGTGAGGGGAAGGGATATGGGGATTTGATTCAGGAGCATATTTGGGATGTTTGGACTTGGGGTGGGAAGGATGGGAAGGCTGGTGAGGGGGTTACGGATGAGACTGTGGAGAAAAAGGATTGATTTCTCGATGTTGTGTCGGATGTTTCTCTCTGTTTGTGTCTCTTGTACAGCGTCTCTACCTCTCTCTCCCCCCCTTGTTGTATTATATTTTGCTCTGCTTTGCATTGGGATTAGGTGTTTGGTTGCATTTTTGAATTCCACCTGCCAGGAATTTATCACTTTGTTCGTGTTGGGGAGGCTGTTATTGCTATATCTATGTACAAAACATCCATTCGAACAAGCTGCGGTTGTCTACAATATTTCACGTAAAGATTGCAGTGTATACCTCCGAGGCTTGATGCTGTAAGGACGTCAGTGATCTCAATGGATCATCTTTCAGCTTCATGATCCTATTTGCAGTAGGTCTATGGTCTCTACAAGCTTACACAAGATGAAATCCAAATGGAGAATAATATTTCTTCATTTCAAAATACATCCAAATTGTTCCAAACCAAAGAGACTCTCGACGACCATGGCATCGCGAGAGACTCATTGATCGAGACGGTACATGACAAATCCTTCCAGTTATATCCCATCTGGAAAGCCGTGAGACCCTCAACGACCATGGCATCGCGAGAGACTCACAACCCAACCAAATTCAGTACATGCAAATTGTGACATATCCAATATCAAACCCAAGTATATCCTTCTCCAAGACTAATAAAACAAACATCCATGATATGCGAAAACGCCCCAAACAGATTTTATAAAATGGCAAGACCTCCCATTCGAGCCGTGGGATGAAGATGAGTGGATGGCTTTTCTTTTTCTTTTCTTTTTTTGTTGATGCTGGTGTTGATGCCAATGCCAATGTTGATGTAGATGTTGATGCCGATGTTGTCTGTCTTCACCCCAACGGGGCCATGGGAAAACCCGGCAAACTCCAATTGGGTGCTCGGTAAAAACCATGACCAGGACTGCAACTCTAAGTACAGGTTCCTTTGTTTGATTCCTCTATTGCACATGTTCCAATTTGTATCCTTTTCCTTCCCCGAGCTTCTTCTCGGTCTTGGATCTGGTCCTCCCTGTAGACGGGGCACGAGCCGCACCGTCAACACCAGGACCAGATGTGGTTTGTGGTTTGTGTTGTGTGTCGTCTGTCGATGGAGTCTTTGGGCCCTGCTCTAGGTGGGTTGTCACCCGTCACGGACGGTTCGTACCCGATTGAGGAACCCAGAGGTCTTGGGGCGGGTCCAGAGGTTGTTGGTGGATTGTAACCGATGTGGACATGGGTGTAACTCTGTTGTGGACGACAGGTTGATGACGACTTGTTGTGTTTCTCGTGAGGCGGCTAGATCAGGGTTGGCTAGGCCGCTGTCTAGTGGAGCTCAGTTGAGGACGTAGCTAGGGTCCAATTTGCTAGCTAGCCTGAGCATGGTCTCGGCCTGTTATTTTGTTAGATAAAGTAGTTACACTCAGCATTTCCTTGCAACTTTGGAGAACTGATGACCTTGGGATGGAAAACTGGAGGGTAGAAAGTTGGGGGACGGAAAGCAGAGGAATTGAAAGCAGAAGGTTGAACAGCAGGTTGTTTGAAAGCAAAAGGATTGAATTGGAAATGGAAAAGTGGGAGACTAACAATGTCTTTGACTGCAAGAACACCCATGGTGAAGGCTTCGATCCTCTGTAAAGAGGTTAGTGCATGTTGCAACCCATTTGCCGCTTCCCAGAGATCACTCACTGGATCAGAGAGAGGTGGTGCGTCTGGCATCTCGATGTCATTCTAAATTAATTGTTAGCAACTAATCTTGTACAAAATGGATGTGGATGTATCAACTTACTGGCTCATCGATTGGTGCCTCGGCCATCTGAACGTCCATGTCCTGATTGGACTGGTTCTGATTGGACTGGTTCCGATTATTGTAGTTGTTGTTGTTGTTGGACTGACGTTTCCGGCCGCTATTTCGGGCCTGACCCTATAGTATATTGTTAGTATCAAATCATAAATGCAAAATGAAGAGGAAGGGAGTACTTACAACATCGGCTGGTGCAGGACGAGAGAAGTTGGGGTTGTAATTCTTCCCCTTGTAGTTGGGGTTGAAGTTCTTGCCCTTGTAATTGGGATTGCCGTTTTGGTTCGCATTGCCCATGCCTTGATTGGTAGGGTTCACATTGCCAGTGTCATTTTGATGGTTGTTCCACTGGTTGTTTTGATTGTGATTGCCATTGCGATTGCCATTCCCATTGCCATTGCGAGGGCTCCATTGGTTGTTGCCGTTGCCGTTGCCGTTGCCATTGCCATTGCCATTGTAGTTGTTGGCACGGTTGTTTCGAGCACCCCCATTGCCCTGGTAAGGTTTGGACTCTTTGGGCACGAAATATGGGCTGTCATTGCGGTTGTTGTTGGCACGGTTGTTTCGAGCACCTCCATTGCCCTGGTAAGATCTGGGCCCATTGGGCACAAAAGACGAGTCGCCGTTGTAGCGATTCATGTTTTCGGAGTTCTGTATACCAAAGCTATGATGGGCGTTTGGAATACTGCAGCCGGTGTTTCTGGAAAGGCTTTGTGCAAGTGGGATCATTCGTTTGAACTTCCAAAGGTCGGATTTCAACTTCCAAGATGCCCAGCGAACCTCTGTTTTTGGCTTGTTTTTTTCCTTTGGCTGGGCTTGTTTCTTCTCGACCCGTTTGTTTACCAGTTTGGTTATTTTTGGTTTTTTAACCTTTTGTGGTGTTTTTTTGGGGAGGAATGTCTATGTCTATTGGTTTTTGCCTTCAGCTGGGATACTTCACCTCAAGAGGCCGGTGACTCTCTCCAAGTCCGACAATTAAAGACAACTCCCTGATCCTGGCAACTTGCCACAAAGTTGGCTGGCCGATTGAATGGAGTGGAATGTAGATCTTGTTCTTTGGGGGCAGGAGGGCCGAGTCTGTGTAGAGTACAGACGGCAAGGGCTGTCGAAAGGCTTTTTGTCGAAAGATTGTTTATTGATGGCCGTCGATGAGCAAGTGTATATGTCGGTTGGAGGAATGTATACCCAAAAGGGAAGGGTATAGACCTCAAGGAGAGGATCGGAGGCACTTGCGAGGCAAATGCCGGATGATGTGATGTGATTTTTGATGATTGTGATATTTCGATGACCCCAGGGTGAGGTGAAGAAGAAAGAAAAAAAGATGAGCCGAAGATGGGCGCAGGGGGTTTATAACACCAAGCTGGAGGTACGCTACTAAACCATTCTAGGAATTGTGCTGGCTTCGTTCGCGGAGAGAATATATTGAATTCCTTGGATTGGTATAAGTTAATGTCTGATTAAGGGCAAGTCGCTATTTCATCGTACTAAATCCCATGATATATGGGGGCCAAGCCGTTATATGTCGAGCCTAAAGGGGAGTCGGACGGAGAAGTAAAAGCAAACAATGGATCTTTGTTGGCTATAGGGGAGAACAAAGAAATTTGACTTCTTCAAACATGGCTCGACCATTTTGACAGAGGGCTTTGAGCATTTGGATCAGAGATCCGGAGCCTAAGATGGAATCGGCCTGTTGTCGAACTTGCTGCAGAGGGCACATGAACATCCAACCAATATGTTTAAGTGCCAGTACCATGCCTCGTCTGTAAAACCCAGACAAAGCAAAAGCTTCGAAGTGTCTTGTAATTTTGCTAAATTAAGTGATTTGCTATTAGAGAAAATACAGGAAGAATACTTGTGTCAGAGCACTCAATCGAGGTACTAGCAACGTTCTATCAGTGCAACATGAGCACACGTCGAGTCAAAGACAATAAAGTTGAAATGATTTCGGTCTTTGTTGAGCTTTCTTCCAACACACAAGGCCTTTGATATATAGTTTATACGACTATGCCTAATACGGAACATAATGTCATTGTGACCATACATCTCGAGACCTAAAAACATGTTAGATACATTTGTAGCTATAAAGCAATTCTTAACAGGAAAGAAAATATCAGGCCAGGAAACAAATCAAGAGAGAAAACTGTCTAAGCCAATCAAAATATATTTCGTTGGAACTATGAAATTGAGGGCTACAAGCATGTCTACAGCTCATTTGAAATAGGCTATGACCGCATATATTCCAATCAATTCTCATTCCGACACAGTTTTGGTGGATTTTTGCCTTCGCTCGTCGTTAGTTCTTATACATAAAGTCCAGGCCCCTTCTAAGATGAAAGTATGGCGAAGTCAATGAGAGACCAGAACTATATGCACTAACCCTTAATTACTAACAAGCTATACCCGATCTGGAATCGGCTTATGCCTCGTCGAGTGACGCCAGTATATCTACTACCTTTACAAAGGATTGGCAACTTGTTCGAATAAACGTCATTTTGTTATGCTCTCCCTAAGCCGTTTATCGTGACCGACCATGTCGCTATGAATACCGCTTAAGTTGACACGTGATATGTTATTGATTGCGCTCTCCTTTCACTCGACGATTCTTCGAGGGTTCGATTATTGCCATTCCGCTGGTTTATACCTCCAGTCTGCCCTGGCTCTACTCACATCAATCCCATGCCTTAATTTTCTGAGAAACGCCAGAAGAGGCTACCTGGAGGTGGTTGTAACTTCTTCATTATACCTGGACAGCGATCAACAGGACAGAAAATAGGAACTATAACTGAGCAGTTAGAATTTCTAAGAATAGTTTCAGTAAGAACTGTCCACAGTATTGCTCAATGCAAGCATCATTGCCTCTGCCCCGACATTTTTAAAATCCGCCAGTAGACGAACCGCAAGCCCCGATAGAAGCAAAAAGAAACCGAGTAATGGACCAGCATCACTTATGGTCTCCTTCAAAGCATTTGGTGTTAAGGCGATTTGCGTCGTTTCTTTTTCGGAGAATCCGCGTCATTATCCACCAAATCACCATATCTCTTATGCCCATTCTCCAGCCTAAGTCGTTTCTTCCGAGGCTTGGGTGCAATAGGTGATTCGCCTTCATTTGATGCAAGACTTTCGCGCTTGCGTTTATCCGCTTTGGGGTTTTCTTTCTTCAAACGTTGCTCTTCCTTGATTTTCAGCCGCCGCTGGACTTCAGCTGAGATATCCTCTGTTCCAAGTGACGTTGACGCGAATTGTCCATCCTGCTCGGGTGTTGGCTGGGAGGAAGAGTTGCAGTATCGTTTGGGAGCTCGCATTTCGTCCGTGGGGCCAGGACCAGGACGGACTGTGTCGTTGTCTCGAGAAATTCTGCGTCTTTTCTTGCGGGTGTTGGCCTCTGTGTCAGTGGACTGTGTGGGGTTGGAGGAGTTGGAGGAGTTGGAGGAGTTGGAGGTTGAGGGCGTAGCGGTTCCTAAGGCTGTCATGTCAGTTCCTGTCTTGGTGGTTTGGTAAAGTGGCGGTTTGGTAAAGGGTGGGGTAGGTTGCTTTCTTGCTTCCGGTAGGAGTTTGATAGGACATACTGCTCATCTAAAGAGATAACAGTCAATGATAAGACCAATGAAAAGGAATTTGAGCAGACTACTCACCATGTGCTTTCTAGCTATTTTCAACTGGTTCATCGCCAGCACTGTTTTGTTCACCATTGACGAGACGGTCTGGAAGCCATTGACCTCCGGAGCAATCTGATCCTTCACCATGCTCAGCATTTCGAGGTGAGAGCAGAGGACTGCCTCATGACGGGAGAAGATCTGGTCGTAAATAAAACGCCGGTCAGTTACAGCTCGCCGCAAAATGTCCATATTTTCAATTTGCGCCTTGCGCAACAGAAGCATACCTCCGACCATGGGACTGGGGGTTCGTTTGCATTGGGATTGGCATTTGGAGTGGCGTGGCCATCATCACTAACTTCCTCCACTGTAGGGTTCATGGTGGGCTTAGACTTTGGAGTCGTGGTGAAATTGAAGATCGGCAGCTACTCCGCGCCAAGAGTTCGGCTTCGCAGATGACGCGCTTCCGGGCTTTAACTACACGACAGAGGTTAAAAAAGAGTACGGAGTACAAAAGAGATATATACTTCGATATTTAATTGGGATATGTTATTCAATCTGGTTATTTTAGTCCGATGGTCTATTGTCCCTATTGTTTATCTGCTGTGTATTGTCCCTATTATTGAGGATATTTCTACTCGGTCTACGCACAGGCTCTAGATCTTGCTAACAGCCGAGGGCTGATCAAATAAACGGAAGATAGTATACCAAAGACTTTGGAAAAGATGCGAAAAGAAGCGAGCCGCTTCTTGTTATTATTTCAATCTCATTGTACATTATTTTCAAGCTCCAACGCCATTCATCCATGCTCAAGACCTAACCGTACCACCAAAAAAAGCTAGCTATTCAAGGAAAAAAAAGGACAAGTCATACAATGGAGAGCATTCTCTCATTACCAAGCACCAGCGTCGAAGTCGAATCGGGACAGGTCTTTCTGTGAATCTTCCACATCTTTCTTGGCTTTCATGCGCATGTAGAAAATCGGACAATCACGGGACGAGCAGATGACCTCACAGTGAAGACTTCCTTGGCATCGCTGACACTGAGTCCACAGGCGCCCGAATCGGACCTCTAGATCGGAGACCTTGGTGAGGGTCTTTGTGTAAAGCTCACCGAGGCGAGGACGGCAGTTCGAGCAGACGGCACCCTCCATCTCGTCCTTGCTGGAAAGGGGCTTCTTGCAGCCCATGCAGGTCTGGGTCTTCTTAGCGAACTTCATCAGTCCGCCCAGGTTCGACGCCGCTTTGGTGATAGACCGCGTGTGCTCACCAGTGAGCAACTGGCCTGCCTTCTTCTCACCCAAGATAGGTTCGAAGATACGGTTGAGTGGGTTTGTAAGCTGGTTGTCGAGGTAGTACTTAGTGTCAATGGGAATGTTGTTTTCCAGAACGAAGATGGGATCTTCTGCTCGTTCATAGCCCTTGGAATCACTGGCACCCTTGATCATGACGTAGGCCACACGATCACCAAGTGTTGGTGCGGAACCTGCATCACGCTTGTGCATGCGCTCAGCAAGTTCAACATGTGCCTGCTTACCAGCGTAGTCCTCTTTGCGTTTTGAAAGCGCTTTCGTGATGACGAGCTTCGACATATCGATCTTATTTTGGAGCAGATCCGAAATGGTGGCTTTGACGTAGCTAGATATTATGTTAGTTTCTTGATTGCATGGCCTAAGGGGTATCCCAACTTACTCTTGCGCACCATCAAGATCTCTGTCAATCAGGATTTTGTTCAGCACGGTTTCAATGACATTTTGAACCATCAAACAGTTATCACGTCGAACGGTCTCAATACCCTTCGTGTCCATCTTGTCATGTTTGTCCGGGTTCGTCCAGTACAGTCCAGCGTATCGCTTCTTGTTGATCAAGAGATAAGGGAAGTATACTTTCTCGAATTCAAGCTTGATGGGCGTAATGAACTTGGAAGAAACAAAGTCTGCTGCTTCTTGGCCAAGTTTCATTGCATCTGCGAGTTCGGTGACGCCGAATTTGACCATGACGGAATCAGTATCACCGTAGATAACTTCAGCATCATGAGAGTAACCGTTGGCGATGGTGTAGCGAGCTTCCACCTCTTGCTTTGTCTTTTCAATCATCTGACGGCCGTAACTCGTCGTACTACTGGCAATGGGAAGGCAAGGCAGTTTACCCACTGTGGCACCCGTCAGACCATAGACACTGTTTGCGCTGATCTTCAAAGCGAGTTGACGACCGTTCAGCACTGCCTTTTTGAAAGAATCAGTCTCGGTAGCCAACTCCTTCTTAGCGCGTTTTCTTGCCGACAGCAGCTCTTCGAGAATCTGGGACAAAAGACCTTTGCGAACTTTGGTCGTGCAAAACATGTCTCCATTTGGAGTGACGATGTAATCGTCATCCTTCTTCAGGTTCAACTTCTCAATACTGCTCTTGTTAAGCAAGGTGGTGTAGCAGAGGTTGTGTGCTTGAATGATCGAGGGGTACAGTGATGCGAAATCGAGGGTTGCAACGGGCACTCCATAGTATCCTCGCTTCGGCTCGATGACAGTGGCACCTTCATAGTCCTGCTCGTCCTGGGGTTTGGAATTGGGAATAACGAGTTGCTGCTCTCGGGCTTTCCGGAACAATTGGCTGATGAACTTGACTTGTTGTCCTCGAGATAAGAGGAAATTAAACGGCACACCCGTGACTCTTGCCATTTCTGTGTAGTTGACCAGACACATCAATTTGTCCATTAATCGTTGTGGCAGATATGCATCTTTCAGACAGTATACTGCGAGTCGTCGTCTCGAATCAGGTGTACCGTTGAACAGCTCAGTAATCATCGTGTGGTGAACGTCTTCCTTTTGCTCCTTCAAAAACTCGTAGGATACGGAATTGAGAGTGTAACTTCTCAACTGGTGATCTCTCTGGACCAATTGGAGAAGATCAAGCTGAATTCTGCCGTTTGTGTTTGTCGCTTTTGTGTCTCGATTGCCCATTTGCTTGCTCGAAAAATTTGCATCCTTGGCCTCTGTCTTGAAACCCTTCAATCTGGTCCAATAGGGGAACCCAGTGCATTTCAAGTGCTTGGCGCGATCGAGTAGGTATGGGAAATCGAAGTTGGCAATGTTGTATCCGATAATAACGTCAGGGTCCACCTTTTCCACGAAATCGCGCCAGGCATCGAGCATCTTCTCTTCCTTTTCAAATTCCAGGATTTGGGTATTGACGATCAGACTACAGGTATCGAGGACAAAGACGTTTCGGATAAATGGTTTCGTCTCTCCGTATCGAGTAACGACGTTGGCGATTTGGATTACGGGGTCCATGTTGGGCTCCGGGAAGATGCCTTTCCGTCCGGCACACTCGATATCAAAGGAGAGGACGCGAAGAGGTGCCATTTTAGCCCATTCTCCATTTGGTGGATGTGCTACCATGTTGTTATAGTCCACACAAGCTTCGATTTGGCAGTTGGACAATCGTTGACTCTGTCCAAGAAGACGATATTTCCCAGCCATCGCCTCGACCCAAGCCATTCCAGCCAGGCCAGTATCAATCATAAAGCGCAAAAGGTATTGAATATTGTCAAATGTGAGGATTCCATCTGCGCCACTCCACATACCCTTGTAGTTCATGCTTCCACTGCCAGTCTCCAACGCACTTCGCAATCGAGCGGCCAATTTTGGCTCAGTGACCGTAATCTTAATATAATAACTCTTTTGATTTCCTTGGAAGCCGTAGATGTTCTCGCGCATTGTGAGCTGTACGGATGAGATTGCGGGGAAGCTCTGACCTAGCTTTTGCTCGAGGAAATGCTTATAAGGGTCGCAATCTGCTTTGGTGAAGCTGACGGGAGCGGCGATGTAGAGGTAATGTTCAAAGCCGGTGACATGAAGGCAGACCGATTGTCCGGCCTATGAGTATTGTTAGATACGAAAACCCAGCGAATAACAAAGATATTTACCTCGGTGACACCGAAAAGACGAATGGCAGGCTTGCCCATCAGCATGGCTTCTTCCGCGTCAATCTGTTGGAAACAGATGTTTTCCTTGGTTTCATCAAAGTCACCGAGCGCAGGGCGCTCCCATTGCTGGTCCTTCTCTGAGTTGTTCTCCTTCAAGTCGCCGATATCCTGCGTCAACTTTTCGAGCACCTCCTCCTCAAATTGACTTTTCTGTGGTTGAGTGGAGCCAATCTTTCGCCGAGCGGCCTGCGAGGATGGCGTAAACTGCACAGAGGATTCATTGTCGAGTTTTCGTTTTTTGAGGGCACTAGCAGATTTCAAGATACCGTTGGAATTATTGGCCGCGTCCCCAAGCACCCGCTTTTGGGGGGGGATAATAGCTTCAGGCATGACGGCAACTCCTAGGCTGAGGTTCACGGAGTCACAGTCAGGTTTGTGATGGAAATGATATGAATGAGGGTGGGCTCGTAAACTTCAGAATGTGCTGAGCGGGCAACTCCTTGTGCAAGTCGCGCTGTCGCGCTTTCGACGTGACGTTTACGCGTGGGAATCACGTGCGATAAGATAAGCTAAATTGAAACAAAGATTTGGGGTGATCTGATTGGTCAAAGGTTCGAGATCATATTTAGCTCTATATTCTTTTTTTTCTACTTCTCATATAGATAACAGAGCTACTATTGAATGCAAAATATGTATCTACATAGTTATGAATACCCTCATTGAGTAAATAGGCAGAGCTTTTCCTCATACATACACCTTCGAGACCCACAAAGTCCTCGGGTTCGGAAACGGATGACTCGCCTCCCTGGGCTTGGCATCGAATGACTCTATCCTAAAGGCCAAGTCTTTGTCTACTTCTTCATTACGTCTATTTACAGATTTTCTTGGATGTTCAGTCTCGGATTCTACCCCAGACGTCGTTAATTATTTTGCCAAGAGCCGCATGCCCCACGCCCTTGCGAGAGACAATCTAGTAGAACCCGATGGAAGCTTGAGACAATCATCGCCCCGCTAGTCTTCTGTGATATGTTTACATCTTTTTGATCTCAATAACAACGTGGCATCTCCGTCCAAGGGATATTTGACCCCTGTTCATTTCTTTCTTCGTTCAGTTTTGCGTCATTGTCCTTGATAAAAGAGCTCTCATCTTTTTACTGCGGGGCAAAAATCAGCCCAAGTTCCCGGAAGGCATCACGATTTATATCGACTTGTGGCCCTGGCTTTCTCTTCCTTCATCTTCTTCTTTTCATGAAATCGAACTTTGTACTTCGCCTCTCATCGCCAATGGCGCCGACACAGCACTAATTCAAGTCTTCATTGCGTGTGCTATCTGGATAAAAAGTGTATCAATATGTCGTCAATGTTCCGATCAGCAGCAGAAATACCATCGGACTCGGATTCTGACTCAGGTTCAGAAGCAGGTCAAATCCAGGAATCTGGATCATCAACTCCTCGACATGCTGCAGAGAATCAATCCCGCAGCCCGAAGAAGGGCAAGACTAAGCAAGTCCCGAAAGACTCGAGTTCTACAGATGCAGACTCTTCGATCTCCTTCGGCGATAGATCAGCATTACCACAGGATCTAGCTGGTGTAAATGTTGATCAACATGCAAATATTATGACAGCTGCCCTCTTGGAATTTTACTGCCAGAGTCGAGCAGCAGACATTCTCAATGCTCAACGTGGCTCAAATAAACCCTTCAATCGACACAGCCCTGAGGCTCAGTATCTTGGCAAGAAACTCTACAAATTCAAATCACAGTTTTTGTCCACTCACGGTATCTTAGCCGACGGCATTGACAGAGAGGAAATGGGGCCAAGTAGGCAGAGCTATCGGGATAACCTCGACTTGCTTAGTATATCTGCCCTCGAGGAGATGAATTTCCATGAATCCGATGCACGGTCGCCGATACTTGGCTCTGGCGAGGACCGCGCCTTAGTCACAAAGCCTTCGACAAGGAGACCCAGCATTGAGGACGTGGATAGTCCTACTCTGTTCCGGCGGAACACGGAACCCACTTCATCATTTAGGAAACAGCTTCCTGCTAAAAAGGTGGATTTCCTTCCAACCGTTCCCCATGGGCCAATGAACTTCCCCAACCCCTCCATACCCCTGTTTGGCAGTTCGCCTGTAGGGGTTCCTCTTTTCCATTCTCCAACTGCCCCGCCATACAATCAGCTGTCAAGATATTCCGTTGAATTCCAGGAACTCAAGATCTTGGGTCGCGGGTCCTTTGGCGAAGTTTACCACGTCACAAACCACATCGACGGACAAGACTACGCAGTAAAGAAAATTCCACTCAGCCAAAGGCGACTTGAGCAGCTGCAATTTGGAGGTCAAAATCAGCTCGAGGTTATCATGAAGGAAATTCGAACACTTGCCCGCCTTGAGCATACAAATATTGTTCGATACTATGGGGCATGGGTCGAGCAGGCTCATCACTCTCACCCGCCTTCAGCCGAGTACCACCCTTCTCATGCAGACTATGACAAGTCGGAAAACAACTTGCCTTCTCCAGATAGTCCAAACGAGTCAAGCATGGGAATTGTCTTCGGACATTCTGAAAATTCAAACCCCGAGTCCCAGTCAAGCTCTCTGCGTGAAGATCATAGCTTCACTGAGAGCGTTCATCGCTGGGACAGCCACGGAACTGCCTCATCTCATCAGTCAAAGAAAAGTTCACGAAAAGGATTGGATGAGGAAGATGATGACATTGAATCCATTCCCCGTACCTTCGATGGGAACACTTCACTTGGACAAACATCCACTTTCGGGGATACTGACGACATCTTTACTGATGGTCTGAGCCAAGATCAGTCTAAACTTCAAGTTCAACCCCGCTACCGGCCTGGTCAGCAACCCCCCGCGGTCATTCTTCACATCCAAATGTCACTCCATCCTATTTCACTTGGCGCATATTTAAACCCCCAAGCCGCTCCAAAATATGATGATTGCTCACTCGCCAGGCGCCATTGCTTCCACCTACTGCCCTCACTGAAGCTCGTGATGGACATTGTTTCGGGTGTTGAGTACCTGCACTCAAAAGGAATTGTGCATCGTGATTTGAAACCTGCAAATATCTTCCTGTGTGCACCAGAGAGCAGCACAGCAGACATATGCGTCACGTGTAGCTCCAGCGAAGCTTCTCCCACCCAGTTCTGTCGTCCTCGCATTGGGGACTTTGGTCTCGTGGCAGACATCTCTCACATCAATGAGCCCTCACAGGGCACCATGACACCATACCGAGAGGGTCCAAAAATACAGCGGGTAGTTGGAACCGAATTCTATCGCCCTCCGGCCAATATATCTGCGCCTTCAAGTGACCCAAGCTCACCAGTGGATTACTTTGATGAATATAAGATCGACGAAAAGCTCGATGTGTACGCGCTTGGCGTCATTCTATTCGAGACTGTTTATCGGTTGAATACGAAGATGGAGAGACAATTCGTCTTGAGTGATCTGACTCGCGGGTCAGGCCAGGATCCGTCCGAGCGCACCATTTTCCCTGCAGACTTCGCTGCCAAGATCGATTATGGCTCGACCGTGCTGGACGATGGGATCTCAGTCGCGGATTCTCTGATGACGTGCATCAAAAGCATGTTGGAACCCAAATCCGACAAGCGGTGGAACTGCCAGGAGGTCAAGGAGCATTTGCGGGCGATGAAGAAAGCCGTTCGCCGGTTCGAGGAAACGCAGAAATAAGTCTGACACAAAGACAAGGACCAATGAGCTCGGACTCTAATACCATATACCCAAATAATAACGACAGAAATGCATAACTCCCCTCTATGAAACACAAAATGAAGATCAGCATTTAGGCCTCAGTCAAGTAATTCCACACTCTTCATAGTCGAACGAGCTTACCTAGGTAGTCTTCCCCACATTAAACCGCCTTGTACTTCCCATCATCAAATAGTCAAATACAACCATATTACTTCTTTAGCTACCTATCCATCTCCCCATAACACTAAACACAACTTTTTAATTTGACCCTATGAAGAGAGCAATCAACACAATTATAGGTTCAACCTTCATCGATATATCAATCCCTTTGTGACTCATTCTATTGAGGCTCCTGCCTTATCAAGAGACCAGTGCCCAGGTCTAAGCTTAAAGTCCTAATTTTGCCTACTCCTTCCTACTGGGCCGTCTACTATTTTGGGCGCGGCTACATCAACTGCTTGGCATACGTACAAAGTAGACGGGGTATATATGGATGTCATTAGCCTTCAAATTGCAATACCCACATACCCACATACCCACATCCGACGTATTTCATACATTTGCGCAACTGATCTCTCTCCAAAATGTTTTCCTGGATGCTCATCCCCATTTTTGAGAAAATTAAGGCCAAGCTAGAAAAGAGTGGCGATTTCGATGCCTTGCAAAATTTCCGCCTTTCGGTTGTCGGTTATTATCTCAAGCACGATCCAAGACTTAAGCACTTTAACCTTGGAGAAATTGCTAAGGGAGTTTTCGCATTCGACCTAACGCTTCGATATTTTGTGCAACGGGAGGAGTCTTTGAAGCAGAAATGCCACGCATTGAAGATGAAGAAAAAACCCAAGGCGATGAAAAACAGCTTGAACACTACCTCTCCCTTCTGGAGATTTGTTCGAGGGGTTATTGGTGTGATGAACGAAGACTTTATAAATTGGAATCCGCGCTTCCAGCCGGGCCATTTCGTGGGCTTATGATACCAACCGGTCGAATTCTAAATGGTATCTCCATCCTGATCTCAGGAACGACTGCGCAGGAAGAGGTGGATGCTGCGGCCGTCAGTGCGGTTGCTGTGAAAAACGCGAACCAACCCCCGAAAGACCCAGGGGTATTGGCCACTGCACTATAGAATGCAGTTGTTGCGCCAACGCCCGGGGATTTGAGATACAGCCATCGGACACTGACAAAACATGGTTCGAAGTTACCATGGGGCTGGTGGATGGATTGAGAGATCCTGGCAATAAGACCTGGTATGCTCAACATATGCGGGCTTTCTTTATCGGTATTCGGCCGGAGAGGGACCAAGGACCCAAATGGATATGGTGACGGCCCTAGAGAGGCTAAAGCTGTATCGTGATTGAATATGGTATACCCGTAGATCGGGTATAGTTTTGCTGGACACGCCAGAATTTGATTCTGTTTCAGACCTCAGCTAAGTAAATTAGCTACAATTTTACATGTCTCAATTAACCGGTATCCAGTTCTTCTTTCCCTTAATTCTCCATGAGACATCTCTAAGCAAATTCTTTGTTGGGGCTTTATAGCATTATGATCAAGAGAATCTTTATGGATTTACAAAATAGCCTTAGGTATATATAGAGAATTATATATATGGTTTCTTTTTTTACTATGTTTGCACATGTATATTGTCTTAGAGTGATAAGTCCGAAATTAATGCCTACTCCGCAGTATTATTCCCATTCCTGGTGGCACTATACTGTCATATATAACCGCGGAGGCAGGCCTGGATAAGGTTCTTAGAAACAGCTATCTCGGGGGAAACTGGCTGCCATACTGATTCTTCCCCTTGTCATTCTCCCTCTCTACCCACGTACTTGCACGACCAGTTCCATCCACAAGAACAATCCGCATCGAGAAGCCAGATATAAAGATGTAGTGAGGAGCGCTGATATTTCCCTTTATTTCATATAGTAGACTGCGGAATGCACCACAGCGGCGACACCAAACAAACATAAACACATTTTCCCATGTAGTTCCAGACACCAGAGCAACGGCACCACCCCAACCATTCGCACCGCCTCCTGTGCTTTTAGCGGACCTCTATTAACCTCAAAGATCTCCCCAACCCGTCTACCCCGCCGCTGCGGTGTCGACGCAAAGACTAGCGTTTCGCAGGCAGGCGGCAGAAGACTGGCCTGAACCAGAATTAACACTATGTAAGAAGGAAGGAGGAGAAACAGATGGGCGAAAAGCATGAAGCCGGCTATCAGGATATCGGATCCCACAATGTACGACAGTCCCGCTATCGCGATTTCCTCGTCCGATAGGGCGAGGTCGCTGTCAAATAGAGCCGGCACATGCATCATCACCGCATCGGCCATGGCATAGACCAGAGTAGGAATCACCAGGGCTTTCCATCTCTGGCGGTCACGGGATTCGGACACGAGGTGTAGCTGGTCGCGCGGAAGGATGATGCGCGCAGTCCACAAGAAACGAGTCTCGGCTAACAGGACTGATGCAACGATATACGCGACCGGACTTGGAAGTAGAATACTGGATAGCTTTGCCACCGAGGAGTGTATCACCCAGTAGGTACAGGCGGAACCGATGCCATTGAAGAGAAGACGGAGGCCGCCTTTGCGGTAGAGGACGGCAATGGTTCGGAATAGTTTGCGACTGGAGGGCGGCTTCTTGTTCCCGAGCTCAGAACCATTGGCTTGCTTCTCCACAGTTTCAAGGATTAATATGGACATTAAGACATGGCCAATAACATATCGGATCTGCGGCCTGTTAGCCCCTGCGGGGGGAAAGGATCTCTTTGTTAGTCGCTTACTAGGTTGTCAAGGATAATTCCTAGAGCAATCGGTACTAATAGTAAAAAATTATTGGATGGGGCAGGTTCTTTTTGTAAGATTCTATGAGCTCGCGCAAGTATAGGACCATCCCCTGAGGAATGGATGAAGGTATTGAAGAGTTGGTAAAAGAGGGTTAACCAAAAGTGTGGGGATCCCATCGTGGGTATATAGTGAGGATAAGCGGGAAGTTGAAGTTCGCTTTCCTTCTGTAGAATGTGGTTAAGTCTGATTGTCATTTGCTGACAAAGTGTTTATCTCATGTTGCCCAGGTGGCTTTTTGTCGACTCATCTTTGAGTGGATACCTTCCTTGGAAGGTTCCAAGGTTGGAACTTCCGGAACGGCCCGTTTGGGTACCACCTGGGCATGCAACGTTATCTTACGCATATTTGTTTAAACTCGCTCTTGGCAAGGCTATTGGAAGAACCGTCGAATCCGAAATGAATGAATTGAAAAAGACTAGCATATCCCAGAAACCATGCAATGAATAGAGATAAAGATAAGGATATAAGGATATGTATTTTCAAAAAACGCCAAAGAAGTCCAAGCCCCAAGCAGACGTTCTGCCAAACCTACTGGATAGTATAAGGCTTCGCATTGATACCAAAGATCAAATGAGGCCTCTCAGCAGCAATCTTGAGAACAGTTTGCGCGAAGACCGAGTTCGCCCACGAAAACCAGGGACGGGTATAGTCCTTGATGTTGTTGACATTGATAGATTCGTGAACAAGCCCAAGCAAGCTAGAGTTACGAACGAGGTTGAGGTTTCCAATGATCTCAGCGTCGTCGTCAGAGGTCATAGCTTGGACAAGTAGAGACATGGGCCAGGCGTTTTCAAGACCGATATGTGGGCCACCGATGCCATGGAACTGCGGGCCCACTAGGTAGTATGGATTGGAGGCCTTGTCGGTGATCATTTTGCGTGTATTCTGGTAGACTGGGTCTGATTTGTCCAGAAAGCTGAGGTAGGGCAACGAGAGCAGTGAGGGGATGTTGGCATCGTCCATGAGAATACGTGACCCGTACCCGTCGACTTCAAATGCGTAGACATCTCCATATTTGGGGTGTTGGACAATACCGTGGTCCCGAACTGCCTTGGCTAGCTTGGTGCCGCGCTCCTGCAGGTCTGCAACGAGACTTTCAGGTCCACCGGCTGCCTTGATGACTTTTGCCGTCTTTTGGAGCTGTACGGACATCATAGCGTTGGGCGGGATGAAGAAGCCTAGGATCGTAGCATCATCACTAGGCCGGAATGCGCTGCGAATAAGACCAGTGTCGCTGTTTAGCGGGTTACCAACACCAGCTAGGTTGAGGGTCTCAGTGCCAATGGTAGTCTCTCGCTGGAACGTGTACTGATTTTGGACGAACTGGCCCTGGGTATTGAATGTAGGCTGAGACTCCGCATCGATGGTTCCCAGCACAGTTTGTAGCGCTTTGTACCATCGGTCGGTCAAGAACTCAGTTGAACCAGTATTCTCATAGAACTCGGTGCCTAGCTGTAGGAAATGGGCCAGAGAGTCAAGTTCATACTTGCACTCAAATACAAAAGACTCGTCGTAGGCAGGATGCACAGTATCTTTTTGGCTGCTAGCTTCCGGCTTGATACCGCTGAGAGCCGGTGGCTGGAACGCATTGCAATAGGGCGACTGGATGACGAACTCGGACTGTGTGTTTATAGCACCCAGGATGAGTGAATAAAGACTCTTATCCTTAGCAGCCAGTTTCTGGTAGTTTGTGAGCTGGTTTGTTGAGTCACGTAGCCACTCGGCGTTGATATCGCCGGTCACGACGAAGGTCTGCACGCCGGTCCATTGCGCGCCGTCCCGCCTGGCATTGGTGCCGGATGATGTCGACCCGTTGGTATGCCACCGAATTGTTGTGTCTAGGGTATTTGGAAATGCATTTCGGAAGAGCTGGGCCAAATCCTTGTCTACCAAGCGCGAGGTGATATCGTCAATGACTTTCTCCACGGCGGGCGATGAGAATGTCCGACATGGTTCCGCAGGTCGCTGAAAGGGAAGGTTCAAGGGACCACCACTATAGGGAGCGCTGTGATGTTGATTCCTCGTTTAGCAAATGTTTAGTACATCCAATGGGATTTTAGACACTCACTGTGGTGTTGATGCATAGGAGGTGTAGTCTGGGCAGGCGCGTCGCAAGATGGCTGGGTCATCTCTATCTGGGAGGGCGCCAGCCTGGAGACCCAGCAGAGCGACTGCAAGCACGGCAGGATGGGTCATGGCGTAGGTATCAGGTCGGAGAAAAGTGAAGGACAGACTTGTACTGCTACGGGGAAGAAGGCTGGGGTAAATAAGAGGGGAGGTATGTCGATCTCAACCGGACAGGGATGCATTCCACTGCGCGCATATAATTTCTCCGTGATATTCACGAGTACATTTTGAGCTATATAGCCTGGTATAGGAACCTCAAGGTAATTACCTCGGAGGAATACAAGTTACACCGAACTCGAGGTGACATCGGTCAAGGCACGATGACACTCTTCCCCACATAAAGTGCGGAGAAGATCGACATCGCCGAATTTCCTTTTCGGGCTGATATACTTGACACGAGGGGAATGAGCTGGATATATGCTTTGGTATTAGATATCTATGCTTTTAGAAATTCATTGGACACCTCAATAATACTACATCACTTCTTCCCAAAGAAAGACATGATATTTCCCTGCCCCGCAGCTTTGCCAGCCTTCGCCTTGGGAACATTGACCGCGGGCTTCTTCTTAGGCACCGGCTCATCCTCGGAGAAAGACTCCCACGTCGCTTCTTCCCGGGTAACTGCAATAAATTAGTATGTCTCGCCAAACGAACGGGCCTCAACAAGATGCACGGACCTAAGTATCCTTCTTCGTCCTTAACCGTCTTCTTCTTCATAACTTGCCGCTTGCCTCGCCGCCGCCCGCCCTGTACGGTCACTTCTTCTTTAAGTTCAACTGGCTTGGATGGTGGTGCTTGTTCGACAGGCGTGGGCTCCCGTGGCTCCTCGTCGGCATCGGGCATTTCTTCGTCTGGATCAATGTCAGTTGGTTGCTTTCAGGTCAGTGTGTGAGGGTCAGGGCATACCGTCAGCCTCGTCATCATCATCATCGTCCATCATCTTCTTGAGCCTTTCCTCGCGCTCTTTCCTGTTTTCGCGGTTTGATGTCGCTGCTTTCTCGGTGCTATCAGGGAACAATTCTTCTGCCTCTTCTTCAGATGCATCGTCAAGCACAACTAGAGCATGTTAGCTAATGTATCGAAGCCAAGTGGAGATAACTAACCATCTTCTGCACTGGGTGCGGCCTGTAGTCAAAGTTAGTGAAACAAGATCGTAATAGGGGGGAAATGGAGCACGAGTAATCGCACGAACCGGTTCTGCGGGAGCAGATGCTTTTGTCTTTGGCTTTGCCTTGGCAAAAGAGGTAAAAAGATTGCCTTTCTGCTTGGCTGGCGCTGCTTTACCCGAAGGCTTCGAAGATGCCTGGGAGTTGGTAACAGAGGATGGCTCAGACTTCGGTTCGTCGGACTTGGTAGCTTCTGTCTTCGCTGAGGATGCTTCTTTTTGCAGCGGCCGTTTAGCAGGGACCGTCGACTCAATGGAGGGCTTCAATGACTTCGCAGCCGGCGCCTTCACAGCTGGAGCTGCAGGTGGCGGTGGGCGTGCGCCAGTCCTCCGCTAGAGCATATAAATATTAGACCACGATAGACTTATCGAAGCAACAAACGACCTACCTTGACATTCCGATTTTGGATCATACCCCATTGCTTCCCGCACTCCAATGGATCCTCCTGCCCGTGTGTACTCGCAATCTCCCGAGTGGCATCAACCAACACATTCAAATCCGGCAGAGCTGTAGGCTCAAGACTGTAGACATGGATTGTAGATATCGACTGGAATGTTGATTTCGCATCTGCTCGACTCATTCAGTAATCAGTCCATCACCAAGATCCATGAATATGTGATACCTTCCAAGTCTTCCTCGCGTGCCAACACGATGGAGGTAGTGCGAATCGAGTCCGAGGATGCATCCTGGTTCGGCATTGAGCTGGGCAAGTAGGGGCTACTCTGCATCATCGCATCTTCATCGTCCGCATGGCCGTTCGTAGGGGCCGGCTCGGGCGCTCTCTGGATACCGGAGATGACGTAGGTTGCGTGGACGGTCTGTGGCTTTTTTGCGTTCTCATTGCGGTGGAATTCAAAAAGAATGCTATTCAACAGATCGTCAGTGTCAATTCCACATCCAATTTCTGCTGCTGCGAACACAGAACATACTGTTTGGCTCGGTTGACGTGCACTTTGAGCGCGCGGCTCAGTAAGCGATATGTGACCTATTCCTGGTAAGCTCCTGCTTGTCAAAAGGGCGTAATAAAATCATACAGGGCGCCGCTCATTGAGAACATTCTCAGCCAGATACAACTTCGAGTCCATGGTTGCTGTTGAAGTGCAAGTTGCTCCGACGCGTGCTCAACCACTTAACGCGTATCAGTCAGCGGGTCTTGGCATTTGCGGTCTCTTGCACAGGCGGCTCTCCACTCACATTCTCTTTTGTTAGCTATCGCCGGGCGACTCCGGTTGGAATTTTTACAGAAAAGAGCTCTCGAGCTCAGGGATTAGGTCTCAATTCAATGGATCAGTCATTCGAGCTCGCCGACTCCACCGATTGGTTGGAAACGCCACTTTCACTGCTCGCGCCGTTCGAATCCTCATTACGATGTCAAGTATGCAAAGACTTCTTTGATAACCCCGTCATTACTTCCTGCAGTCATACGTTTTGCTCGTTATGTATTCGCCGTTGCCTCAGCGCCGAAGGCAAGTGTCCGGCGTGTCGGAGCTCCGACCAAGAGCTCAAACTGCGTCGCAATTGGGCAGTACAGGAACTCGTCGACGCGTTTAAATTGGCACGACCTGGTGTACTCGATCTTGCAAGGAGGGAAAATACGCGCCTTACCAGGGGACAAGAAGAGATAGAGAAGCCGACCAAAAAGAAGCGGAAGGTCGATCAGGTGGAAGAGGAGCAGCTACAGGTCCCAGAAACAAGTTCGCAAGGCCGACGGACTCGCTCTCAAAGATCCATAAATAGCTCGGCAGAAGAGCGGACTGTTCCTCAGATCGTGCCCGAGGTCATTGAGGATAGTCAGGACGATGAAGAATATATTCCCGGTATGACACTTTTACCACACAGATACTAGACCCTTCTAATGGCTTCACAGAAGATGGGTTGGTTGCTTGCCCAATATGCTTTCGCAAAATGAAGGAGGAGGCAGTGTTTCCGCACCTGAACATACACCAACAGGAAGAAGAAGCGCCCAAGAAAACTCCTACAAAGCCAGCATCTTTCGGGTATGTTAATTCTATTGCACAGGTCTAAAACATGGCGCTAATTAGACGACAATCACAGCTCATTAAAAGGTGCACCCCAAAGAGGCCTTACCCTCGCCAGCAAACAGCCCGAGCGGCTTCCGGCCATAAACTATTCCATATTAAAGGATAACGCATTGCGGAAGAAGCTCCGGGATCTCGGAATACCCGACTGGGGACAAAAACAGCTGTTGCAGAGACGTCACACGGAGTGGATGAACCTGTGGAATGCAAACTGCGACTCCAAACACCCCAAGTCTAAGCGGATATTGCTCCAAGAACTGGAAATTTGGGAACGCACACAGGGTGGGCATGCGACGGCGCCGTCACCATTCACCACTTCCAATAATGTGATGCGCAAGGACTTCGATGCCAATGAGTGGTCAAATAACCACGATGACGATTTCAAGCGTTTGATCGCGAATGCGCGTAAAAAGAGTGAGGCCCAGGCACGATCAACCATTCCTGGAGAATCTTCGTCTTCATCTGAACATAGGGAACCACAACCCCAGCAAGGTGCTGGATTACTAGTGAATGGTGCAGGCGCTGAGTTCAGCCCAGATACCGATGCCAATCATGTCATTGATCTATCTAGGTGATCTCAAAACAAGTCACATTGAACTCGAATTGAAAAGCACCCAGAAGAGCAAATTGTTCTTTCACATAAGACAAATATCTCTCCCACAATTCGGAGAGTCTCAGTTTGCTTGCATTGGGCGGTCCTCGACAGACATGTTAGAGAGCCTGTCAATAATGTTATCTGCCAGCGCTGAGTCCGCATCTTCGGCCGCACGTGCTCGGCGGGAAGCCTCATCAGAGGCTTGCTTGATGCTGTCCAGTTCGGCAAGCCTGTTCTTGGTAATTGTTGCTTCCTCCTTCTCTCTCGCCTCTCTGTCGCTCTTCTCCATCTCCGCAAGCTCATCATCAATCTCTCCCTCGTCAATGACCGGGCCGGCCTCATTCATGATGCTTCCGACCTCATCCACCTTGGTCATCTCCTCTCGCAATTCCTCAACAATATCCTCAACCCTCTCGGCACCGCCGATCTGAGTATGCAGACCGCGAAGCACACCACTGCTTGCCTGCATGACCTGTACCATATCCACCTGGCCGGCAGCTTGCTCGATCTTGGAATAAACCTCCTCGAGCTGCATGAGGGTGTTAAACCTCTGCTGGAGGTTGTGTTCGGCCATCTTCTTAGAACGCAAAGCGGACAGCGCTGAGATGCGGTTCTTGTTTGCCAAGGCTGTCTTTGCAGACACAGTCAGCTCGGCGATCTTTGCTTCCAGGGTCGTGACCTGTTTTGACATGGTCGATAACAACGTCTTGATGGATGCAATTGTTGTGTCCTGTTGGGTGATCTCCGGCGATTCATCTGCCGATTTGAACTTGATTGTCTAGCCATCAATCGGTCAATATCAGGGTATTCTGGCCATATGTATATAGTCCAACTTACCTTGCCGTCATATGCAATAGCACTGCTATCGCGAGATAAATAAAGCAACAAAACATCAAAATCTGCATCTGATAACTCTGTAGCATCGTTCAGTATGGCCGCGAACTCTTCAACAAAGCTTTCCCTAGAGTAAATAAGGTCAAGCTTGGATGAGTTGCCGCCTGTGGCTTTCTTAACCGCTAGGTCTGCCGCTTCCTGTAGGTTCTCTACCAAAACCAACTCCTGCACCTGCAGCTTCGGTGCCGAATCGCTCTCAGAACCTACGACAAAGCCTTTGAGCTGCCGAGCTCCCCAGCTCATAACATTCCAAGGACTCAGAACCCCGGGATCAATTAGCCTCCACTGACTTTTCTTTTGCAAAAGCCCAGCAGTGGTCTTGTAAACTGGCAATGGAATCATTGAATTATTGCGCACTGCCTCGTCCTATAACACCCATGGTTAGTCCAACAGCTCTGCCATCTAAAATAAAGATAGTAGACCCACAAATACAGTACCCAGAGCTACGGGTCTCCCCCACTCTGGACTCTCTAAATCCCGGAGCAGCGACTCATCCGTTCGCAGAATCAGGTGGTCTGTTTTCTTTCGCTTCGCAGTTGCGGTTCCACTCTTAGCTGATATGGTCGAGCCAGAACGCACCCGTACACCGCGTGAAGAGGTATAGCCGCGCTTTGCGGCTCGGTTGAGTGCTTGTTCCCATGCTGCTACGTTAACAGCGTAGCCGTCGGGGTTTGTCTTCTTCTGAGGTGTGAAGTCGGAGTAGAGGGAGGGTAGACGATTTCTGAGGAAATGGTAGTGATGGTAAGCATGGTATTCCTCCTCTGTTTTGGTGGGCTTTATGGCTTCTCTTTGAGACTTGTTTCTTTACCTTCGAAATGCTTCCTCGTGAGTGAGGATATATTTCAGTAGGTCACTCATCGTGCAAGGGTGTGTTGAGGAGAAATGATATGCCTCACTCTCGACAAATAATAGGTCAAGTTATGTCTTTGAGAGTGGACCTTGCAGACAAAGCAGATAGGGTCATCCACGCATCCACTCCGGCCTCCCGAGGTCGTCTACAGCTTTATCGATAAGCCCCACGTGACGCGTCTGAATATTTGATGCTTAAATGTACGGAGTACTATGATGTTGATCACTTCAATATACTGCACCACATTTGTGGTGACTATATAACTCACCAGATGGCTATTTGATCCAGTAAACGCTATGCTACAGCCTTGGGATATTTGGTTGACTATCAAGAGGTTTCGGACTGAAGGGCATCCGAAAGTCACTGGTTACTGATCAGCTACCTAGGTGGAATTCAGGCCTTTCTGTATCTTATTTTTTAGCACAAGAGGAGCCAGCCGCATATTTGGCCTCTATCATTAATGGCGCAAGACTTCAGTAACCTGGTTTATCTGGCTCAAAATCATACAGAAGATGTTATATGTAAGGTGACACGCCGCAGTCTGTTCTGAATGGTCTTTTTAGGTGCCTTTTTTTATTATTTTTTCTTCCTGCTGGCATAACCTTCTAAAATGGTATTAAACAATGTTATAGAGTAGTCTCTAATCTATACAATTCATAAGAGTGGTAAAAAGCAGAAACCGGACACAGTACTTTTCTATATACATAAGTACTTCTCACTATGTCTAAAGTGTGACTTGCATTCCAAAAAGCAATTGCTATTAGAGATGCAAGAGCATCCCCCAGGCTTTATCCTACTATGACCAATTTATAGCTCAGATGCGAGGTGACCACACTGTCTACCTGATGAGTGACACATAGTTTCCTCCGTCAGAAACCCGGATATCCCGAGTTCATAGATCCCTATCAGGGCAGGTCCAGGTAAGGACAGTCCTTAGGATCTGCATAGAAAATCCCTCCCAGTTGTTCAATTACCTTGCACCGCTCCTCCATACTATTCGCATTGTGGATGATCCCGGAACCCATATTTCTTGCCTCCGCTACCGTAGAATGTAATACCCACACACCACCACTCGCTGGCCAGCCCACGCGGGTAAATTCTTCCGTCTCAGATTCGCCAGTCATCTCCTTTTCGTAAGCAAGGAACAAACGACGCCACCAAGTAGCACCTAGACGACGCACTAGTTCACTATTAGACATTGAAAGTGACAGTAAATGAAAAGGAACATAAGCCACTCACTATCATCACAGTGGGCGTCTTCTTTGGCTTTATAGTCTGGGTCCGACTTGGATGGCCTTGGAGTGTCTTGAAACCGGTCGTGGCGGAGAAAATCCAGCTCCACGCCTAAGCAGTCGTGAAGTACATAGATGCCGCCTTTCGAGGGGAACCCATAGACGGTCACACCTGGACCTGAACCGTGGGACACCCAATCAGTTATATACTCAGAGTCGGGGCCAAGGGCCCGACAGCTCGGCATGGTCGGGTCCACTATAAATTCGGAGCCCTGTGTCAATCCGGGGTCGGTTGACTCTAGTTCTTGTTGATGAAAGAGCTGGCGGGCAAAGTTTAGTAAAGAGGCCGAAGCGAATACGCAGCTGAAAATGAGCGCTCTCAAGGCTTGCATGTTTATTGGGACTCAACAAGTTACGGGATTTGGTTCGGGAGAAGAAGTGTTTTATGATATGTGTTTCTCTTTTAGGCAACAGTCCGCACGGCCCTTTGAAGACTTCCCTCGCCCTCAACTAGGACATCCATGTATGTTTTACTCCGTACTCCGTATCCGAATGTACAGGTACGGAGTAATCCCTTTTAGGTATAGTTTGGGGTGAGATGAGTATGGGTACACGTATGTATCCTTGGACGCGAAGCAATATCCCACTACTCCGAGCAGACACCTCAAGACAATTAGCAGGGAGAAGATGGTAAACATCACATGAAAGGCTTGATTTGTTGTTTGAACAGACTTGTATTCTATGGTTATATGTATGCTATGATGAAGTATTAAGGCCATAATGAGTTTAAGCTCGTTCAAAGTCATCATTGGACGGACTTTCAGGGTCCAGAGGCCCCTGCGTCGTGTTGAAGGCCCCGGCATCCAGCTGCACAGGAGGCCCAATCAAAGACCGACGATGATGGCGCATGTCAAGCTTCTCGCTAGTTTCCTCAGTACCCAAGAGATCATCAGTAGCTGGTTCATCTCGGGCATCGAATCCCCTCGCTTCAAGATATTCAACCTTGACAGCATGGCGCAGATTATCAACGAAGCTCTGCATCTCAGGCATGGGGAATACTCCGTCAGCCTGCAGCACGTCAGCATAGAGACGCTCGGCTTCTTCCAGACAGGCTGAAGCTAGGGTAGGTTGGCCAGCTTTAAGCCATTGATCGGCAGCAGCAATGCTCCACATGCCGGCTTTTCGGCGACGTCCACCCCATTTCGCTGCTCCAACTGGTGTCTTTGAAGCATAGCAAGCTGCTACTCTTTCAGTGTATAGGATTTGACCCACTGAGCCCACAAGACCAAAGTCCATGACCCGCATGGCCCATTTGGCTGCGCTCTCGGTGGCTGACCCGCCACGAGACTTGAGGAGTTCAACCGCTAGGGATAAACAGCGTAGTGCGTGTGGTGCATCTGAACAACGTGTGAGATAGGAGTAACAAGCAGTCTCGAACATTTGATCGACGCTCTCAAGCTTAATTTTGGCTGATGTGGCCAATGGGTTTAGAAGCATGCTGACAGCGCACATTTCGTGGGCACCAGCATGATACTTCCAGGCTTTGTCGTTGCCATAATCCGATCGAATCATGTCATATGTGGATGCGGCTAGCTTCCAATCGCGGAGCATGAAGGCATAGTCCGCCATCTTCCGCAAGATAGCCTCCGGGGAGTCTGGACTATAAGAATGATGTGTTGGGTCGTAGTTCCCGCTGTTACCACCTGATGAGCCTCCAATACTTGAACGTGAGCTTGAGCCGAAGCCAGCCCATCGCCGAGACATCGACATAAATCGGCCACTTATACCACGCCTCCGAGATGCAACCTGGTCGTTCCAGACAGCTACTTTATTTTCCATGAATGGAATTACGGACTGCACCACTAGTTCTCGGATAAATGCCTTGATCGCAGTGGCATCGGAGCCAAACAGATATGGTGTGCCATCAGTGCCGAGGTCAACCAAGGCTTCTAGCGGAAAGTTAGCTCATGTCAATGTGTCATTATGTCGCGGCGAAAACTTACCTGCTTCACCTGCTCCCGACAGATGCTCTGACGGCGAGAGCCATTCGCACTGGGGAACTTGCATGCTATCATCGTCTGTCACCACACACTGGCTGCTCCGAAGTCTTAAAAGATGACAGTGTAGCCCGAAGTGCCGCTTCATTTGATCATAAAGCTTGATAGATTCCGTGATATCGTCTCGTTCTTCGTCATGAACTAAAACGTAATACCGAAGATATTCTTGGTTGACCCAGTCGGGCAGCTGTTTGTCTCCAGTGGTACCATCAGCGTAGAGCTGCCTGAGTGTCTCCAGCGGAGCTGCGTTGCGCGAGCTGATGGCTATTACATTGGCTACTGGGTGGCCGAATGTCTCGTGAGGCGCTGTAGGCGCCGAACACAGTAGTTGTTGCAAAAAGGACTTGCTTAATGGAGTTGTTCCGGGGTATCCCAAAACATCCTTTGTCCGTACCGACGCACCAAGCATGCCATCTGAAGAGTTTAACTGCTTGGTCAACACTTCTTCCATCTGCGCCAGGGGCCCGGAGTCTCGACTAGCCGGAGCCCTGCCGCCGATCCCTCTGAAATCGGCAAAGCGCACTCCATAGTCCTCCCAGGCACGACTCGAGCCTATACTGTCCCGGATCACCACCTTTCCGGCAACTGTTTCTCCAAAGGGTCGGATCAACTCCCAAAACCCCCCCTTGAACCCCTTGTTCCTCACCAAATCGTCGGTATCCTCGGAGGCATGGACTGCGATAGTGGGTGAGAAAGACCGGATAATTAATGATCTTATATCTTCCGAGCCATCAGATCTTCCATCGAAAGGTGAACCGATTGATGACCTTGCTAACTGTGGAGTGGAAGACCTCCCAGAGCGCGAGTGCGACGAGCCAGGTCGTAGTGGTAAGTCGGCAATCGTGCCTGAAAGAGGGGTCGGCGATGACACTGATTGGGATTCTGCCAGTTCGGCGTCTAAAGATTGAGTTGTTTCATGGTCCCCGGGGTATCGTGATGGTGATGTGGATGCGACTCGCGCAACGCCGGGGGAGAAGGACGGCGGAGGTTTGACCGGAGCAGCATCTCCGGGCGATGTCATGGGCGGACACCTGCTGCTTTGTGCAGATTTAAAGCAAGTGTAGTTGATCGACAGGCCCCATCGACTGGTAGTCGCACGAGGTGTGTTAGAGCGAGTGGGATGCGGCTTCACGGAGGTGTTGTTGGGGAGAAAGCCAAGTCGACACGGATTCGGGCCGATAAGCACTGACACGGGCGACAACAAAATAGAGCGACAGCACCCGTGAATAGGTTGGGCACTAAAGCCTTTTAAGTAGGTTGATGATCGCCTTGTCGATTGTAAATTCAATACGGAGTACTCAGGTAAAGGCTGATTGTCGATCTCCAAGTGGTGATGCAAACCACGTGAGGGCCATATGCTTATCGACAATAAAATTGACTCACTTTCTCAGAGCATCTGACCTGGCTATGTCCAATGCAGCTGCGCCCTTTCGTGTGTCTATTCAAGGCTTCTGGTCTCCCTTCAGTTGAAGCTCCACTTGCCCGCACTCTAGCGAGAAGAGCTGGTCAAATACGCCCGTTTCAACAACATCTACCCCTCCGAACCTACTCTACATCTGTACCCTGTCGCAATTCCATGCGCAACCCCGAATCGGACCCGGACTTCTCAGAACGAGTCAGCAAGAGGCGACGCATTTCTTCCCCGGCGCGGGAAGGCTCATATGCAACCATGAGCCCCGCCATGCCTACCATCGAGCTCACTCCGCTTGAGAGCACCCTACGAACCCTACTCCTCGATGTCGGAAAATATATCACCGAGCAGCAAATTGCCAAGGGAGGCAGCGCTGCGGAAGATCACTCCGAGACTGTCTTGCGCTTCACAGGTGGGTGGGTCAGGGACAAGCTGCTCGGAGTCGAGAGCCATGATATCGACGTGGGCATCAGCAACATGACGGGATACCAGTTTGGTATGGCCCTAAAAGACTACCTGGATATTCCAGAGCACCTTGAAAAATACAAAAAAGGCCCGAATGGGGAAATGCACGACGCTATTGTCAGCCTTCACAAAATCGAGGCCAACCCAGAAAAGTCAAAGCACCTCGAGACCGTCACAACCAAGATCTTCGGTCTGGATATTGATTTGGTCAATCTCCGGAAGGAAACATACACAGATGACAGCCGGAATCCCCAGATGGAGTTCGGCACCGCTGTCGAAGACGCTCTGCGACGCGATGCAACCATCAATGCGCTTTTCTACAATCTTAACGAGTCACAGCTGGAGGATCTCACTGAGAGAGGACTGGACGACATGAAGAAAAATATTATTCGATGCCCAATGGAACCATACCAAACCTTCAAAGATGACCCACTGCGTGTGCTTCGATTGATCCGCTTTGCGAGCAGACTGGGGTACCAAATTGAGCGCGAAACCGAAGCCGCTATGCAGATTGAAGATATCCGCGAAGCATTGAAGCTTAAAATCAGCAAAGAGCGAGTGGGAGCTGAGCTGGAAAAGATGTTGCGTGGTGAGTGATTGCGCTCGCCCTTCCCTGGCGCTTTACATTTCTGACAAGTCATATATTTTAGGCCCCGATCCTCGTGGTGCATTGCAGTTCATCGATCGACTCCAACTGTTCCCCACTATCTTCGCTAACCATCAGGACGAGGTAAAAGCGGATACATCGACATGGCCCCTTGCCTACAATACTTTGGCACGATTGCTGCATCCAGAGGCCGGTGACAGCGAAGAACTTCAGGCAGTTACTAAGCGCATTCGTGAGATCCTATTCCGCGACGAAACTACCATATACTACGCCTGGATGATTGCAACCTTTGCTCCCTGGACTTCAATCCCCGGCCGTACCGGGAAAGGACCAAAACCCTTGCCCCCGCGAGCGGTTGAGGTTGGCAGGGACAGTCTTCGCAGTGACAACAAGACCCTAAGTGCGCTCCGCGCTGCTGCTCTGCATTACGAGGAAACAATTACGACCAAAACTTCTCTTCTCGCGAACGAGATTAGTGGAACACCGGCAGAAATTCGACAGCGCATTGGGCTGCAAATGCGGTCGTGGAATAAGGACTGGAAGCTTTGCATCCTCCTGGCTATCCTGCAAGAAAACATGGCGCACCGTGACTTCGCAGAAGGTAAGATCCATCCCTTGATGATAAAATTCTCATTCTCACGATGTGTAGTGGCCGGTGAATATGATCAGTTCCTTGCGTACATTGTAGAAAACGATCTGGAGGGTGTTTGTGAGCTCAAGCCCATTGTAAATGGCGACGAAATTATGAAAAGTCTGGGGGCCAAAAAAGGACCTTGGATGTCCAAGGCAGTTAACATGGCCTTAGAATGGCAACTTCTTCATCCTGAAAGCACCGACAAGGAAAAGGTGCTGGAGGAGATCGTGGGTCGACGAGCAGAATTGAAGTGACGTCCCAGACGAAGGTCCCGATGACAAATTAAAACCCCATTCGCGGACAACTTAAACTACTGAACTCCGAATGTTTACAAACTTCTTCTCTTCTATTTTTATTGTAAATATCTCAGCAATGGATAAATTGCGCAAAGAAGCCCGCGAGGCTCTCGTGCAGAACCCCGGCAAAATGCCGATCAGTTTCTTCCCCGCTGTTGCGGCGACCAAATGTGATTTGGCTCAATTATGGCAAGACGTTGCTGCTTACGACCACTCGACGCATTTGAATGTATGTTTCCATCAATTTAATCAAGACAAATGGACTAATTTTCCAGATATGCGAGAGCCTAGTCACTGTGACCAGTTATATCGACTACTGGGATGGGACGCTGCCGAATGACCAAGGCCCGCGACCATTGAAACCAGCTGAGGCCAAAGCCGTGAACAACTTATTTGACTGGGCCAGTGCTGCTGCTTTGCCTTCATCGGATTTTGCAATTGATTTTGATGAGACTGCCGAGATATCAGACGGTAAGTGCTCTTATACACATGTGAAGCTTGTACTAATCATACCACACAGAAATCATCAAAGCCCAGAACGAGAGTCGGTTCAGATCCGAGCTAGCTCTAGAGCTGATTCTAGTTTTAAACAAGCCCTTGGCAGGACTACCTAATGGCAAACCAGACAATGCAGCAGACATTCTTCTCGCGGGAGCATGTTTTGCTAACAAGCAAAACCCATGGGCCACATCAGACAGCTACAATGCGTCATCAATGCTCATGAACGTGTGGGTTCAGGACACTCGCCGCGACAATACATTCTGGCCTGCCATCGACTTCATCCTCAGAGAAAGGATTAGACCTCTTTTCGCAAAGACAAAGAATCCCGCCATCACCAGTGCCGGCCGCAAGAACTTCCACCCTCAAACTCTACCTCGCTTCGGTGCAAGCGATCCAGACGCATCGGCAAAGCCATGGAAGAACGCCGATGTCTACGTTGGAGCTGTGCTAGCATGGATCCTCTCACAATACCAGCCCGAGGACAAACCACAATTCGAAGCGCACTTCCAGCTTTTCGTGCCCACTATCCTAGCAATGGTTGACGACAACAACCTCCCATTCAAAGCAAATGGATGTGCCTTAATTACTCGACTGCTGCAACCGATCCAAGAAAATGGCTCGGATATCCTCCGCCGAACAAACCTCACCTCTGTCTTCGAAGACGCCGTCACGCCGTGTCTTCTATCCCTACCATCCATCACACCCGAGGATAGATCCTTAGGTCTGCTGGGAGCAGCATACCCAGCCCTCCTCTCCACCCTCAAAACCGCATACAAAGGCCCCACCCAATCTGAAAAGGATAAAGAAGATTACACCACCGGCCTCGCCAAAATCCTCCGATCAAACCTCATCTCTTCGTTCCACCACGTCAGCTCCGGTACTCCGGCTTCCGGCTCAACGGCCTCCTTCCCACACCCCCGTCTCTCAACATTCCTCCTAGAAACGATAACATTCATCGTCAACGAGTTGGGCATCCATACTACAAAGTACCTCCAAGAACTCATCCCAGTCCTCTACACAACACTATCAAACCCATTCGGAACAGCACACCCTCCACTGCTGCTAGCTGCTGCTACTGCTACGCAAGCGGTGATCAAGAACGCACACCCACGTATCTGGCGCTGGCGCGGCGAGATCCTGAGCGGGCTGAGTTCGTGCTGGCTTCATATTGCAGAGGACAGCAGGGATTCCGTGGCTGAGCTGGCTAAGCTAAAGCGCGTGTTACAGCAGACACTTCAGGTGTTAAAGCTTGTTCTTCTGAATCCTGTTGCTATTGCGGGTGATGCCCCAGAGCCGGAACAGGTGCAGGTGAAGGAAAATGTGGAGAAGGAGTTCCAGGAGCTTGTTGATGCGGATGCAGAGCTTAAGGGTCTTTTTGTTTGAGCGTTACTGGCAATGTATGTCTGGGAGGTTATTTAGGAAAAAGGGTTATAACAACAATTATGAATCTCAATTGACGATATCTGTTGTATTCAAATCAAAACTTGCTCTTGGGGTATGGCTGGTAGACAGGATGCTTAGGGCCTTCAATAACATAAAATAACATGCAATGAGGGTATCAATTTGCTGTACTAAACGCTGAAACAAAAGACAAACAAGTACTCAAGTTCGTAGCATCATGGATCAACCCGCTGCTTGAAAAGACTCTTCCCGCGCAACCACTGGCGGTACCGTTTGTACCTCTTCTTCTCATAATCCTCGCCCACGACAGTAAGACCATCCTCGGAGACATCCAAGAACTCAGCATAGGCAAGCATGTTTATCCCAGCCCTTGCCTCGAGCGCAGATTCCTCGACATTGCACTTATTCGCGTACTCTAGAAGATCGAGATTGTAGCCGTGGTCTTGCAACGACGAAGCTGTCATTTCATCTTCGGATGTGACGACAAGCGGGACCTTAAGCGGGTGGTTGATGTACCGCTCGTATTCTTCTGCCTCGGCACCGGTGACGGAGGGACTCAGCGAGTCACTGACTAGCTGGCCAAGGGTCCACTGGGCAATCTCCGCTTTGCTGGGGTTGGAGTGGGCATCAGGGGGGTTGATGGGTGGAATACGGGATACATGTGGGATTTTAAAAGCGGGCTCTTTGATGATGCCCGTAAGAGGGGGGTGTTTCTCAGATGAGGGTGGTTGGTGGGCCCATGTGCGTGGGGATTCGGGTATCGGCGTCGTATTTGATGAGGCGCGACTGCGGCTGATGGATGGCTCTTGGATCTTGACGCTACGCTGTGGTATGCGCTCGCGTTGAATTTGCTCTGGAGGGATGCGGGGTACAAAAGGACTGAGATCGGGGACTGGGTGTCCTGGGCGGACTGGGGGTAGGTAGCGGGACGTGGACTTCATTTTCAAGGAGAAGACTTTAGAGAGGGAAGACAGAGCAAGTGGTCGGTAGTATTCCAGCCAGAAGTCATCGAAATGTGAGAGTGGTGCTTTGGGATGGAATGGGAGAGGTGGAAATTCCCTGGCTTTTAGATATTCTGGTGTGTACCAGGAGATGTAGTTGGGTTTCTTTCTGTCCAAGTAGGATTTGGGGTCGGTATGGTGGAGATAGTAGTCCGTAGGAAGATCCCAAAGCATCGGGACGCCCTCCGCGAAGGCGTAGTTTCCAAGAAAGAGGTTATATGCCTCTTGGCGCTGGGCATCAAGAAAGGAGTTGTTGTAATACCGCTTGAAGCTTTCCACCATATCACGAGAATGGCTGCTCCATTGATTGATCTTGCGGTAGGTAGCCATGGTGTTCACCAAATGCGATCCGCCGTACTGAATAGCGATGGTGTCTCCATGATCATGCCACATGTTCGTGAAGAGATTGACAGCATCAGTATCATACTCTACAGTTGTGTCATCTATGACACCAAGAGCATGGAGCTGATAGCCAAGTGCCCTCTTGCCAATGACAAACTGTGCAGCATTTGTTCGGTCAAGGCAATCAATGCAGTTGGTCCTTGCGACACCGTTCTGAAGCTGCAAGCCGGATTCTGCGTCATCCCCATTCTTGAAAAAGCCAATTTTGGGAATAATATTGCCTGCAATATCTTCTAACATCTGAATGACATCCTGATCCCGGCTTTTTGCGGCACGGCTCATATCCCACGCCTCGTAAATGAGCTTCTTGTCCTCAGGAAGAAATTGGTTCAAATAAGTCACAGCGTTTGTGAACTCTTTGAGAAGTATTGACTCTCTCGGAGTTCGTTCGCGAGATTTGACCAGGTTCAGAACATAGACCGGAGCGCCATATCTTCGAAATAGATCGTCGAAATGCAACGCCGCAGCCGAGTAAAATGGATCCACGAGATTTAACTCAATATCCGGTTTTGGTGATACTCCCGTGTTTTCTTGGGTCCAATGAAGAGGAATGCTCCCACGGTGTTGAACATATGAAGTATAGTGAGGGTTTGCATGAAGTCTTGGGCCAGCAGAGTGGAATGATGTTGTTGTCTGTTCACATACAATCTGTTCGGTCTCCACGTCGTTGGCCACGTATCCCAGGTCGTTTGCGCCTCGCTTGAGGAAGCGCGCCCCGGCAAAGAATCGGGATCGACGCGCGATTATCGTGATGTAGACCACTCGTCCATAGACACTCATCTTTGACTGATCCACGTATCCATGAATGATAGGTAGACACCACTCGTAAGGATTCTTAAGGGCTTCAGCAGCCGGGGAAAGAAGATGATGGTTCCAAATAAACATGGAATGGTAATCGTGTGAAGACGGTTGTGGATGGCCATCCTGGTGGGCCTTGCGATCCCGGCAGATATTATGCTGAAGTGTGCGAGTAATGTCGTATGAATAGCTGAAATAGAAAGAGCGCGACAAGTCCAGATTATTCAAAATCGCAATGTATCGTGCCTCCTCCGAATGCTTCTCGGTCTTAAGGTGCGAAGGTTCCGAGGTGGTCAATGGGATCAGTTCGGTTTCGTCGATCTGATAGACATTGTGACCACCCAGCATGGCAACCTGGCTCCTCTTGGTAACGAGTAGCATATAGTATGCACCGGTGAATTGGATGAAGCCAAGTAAAGCCCATGCACTGCACTTCTGTTTCAACCCGCCAGAGCTCTTATTGCCATCGTCGATTGCATCCAGCAACTGAACCATTTCTCTTTTGTTGTACACCATATCATCCTCGGTGATACTCAACTCGCCGGAATCCGAGGTCCGATCAATTTTCAGAATCCGAAATCGAGTCTCCGCAAGGTTTATCCCAACCATATAGAATCGAGTCGCGGTTTCGTACAGCGTAAACTTGTGCATACGGTTGATCCCTTCGTCCTCCGAGTCTGAAGCTGATTGGTGTTTCTGCGCAAAAGTCGGCGAAGCCTCTCGCTCAAAGGAAGTTGCCACCTGTGGCTCCTCATCCTCCCCATCCCCTTCCTCTTCCTCCTCAATCCGAGCTCCAGGCTGCAACAGGAACTCCGACACAACCGAGGCGTCATCGATTATTCCAGCATCGTCGGTGCGCTCTATATGCGAAGACGACCTAGTGCTTGTCGTTTGAGTCGGAGTTGGTCCCCCTGTGGTTTCTTGTTTCGCCAAATTCGGGTCTGAAGGGCCGGATGGAATTGGAAGATGCTCATCGTGGAAAGGTGTGTCCTGGGACACTAGTCCGATGAGCGAAACATCATCAAAGCTCTCCATAGCTCAAGATGCTCAAATCTACTGAAAATGCAGCTGGAAAGGCTGCATATTCAGAAGATGTCAGGTCAAAGGCGATGTTTGAAGTTCAAAGAGGGAGGTCCCCACACATGACGTCGCAGTAAATAGCGGCCAATTGCCCATAAAGGCATTATAGAGCTATTGAGCTGTATCAGATTGCTTTTTATTGTCTCACTACTTGTCGATAGCTGTTAATTAGCCTCACTGGCCCTAAAATATTAGTTGAGAGCAAATCTAAAACAATATTATACCTTGCATATGGTCTGCTTAGTAGTACTTTTGTATGATCTGATCCCTGTCAGGGCCAGTTAGTCCACTATGGGTAGCTCGCCATATCTTAACACAACCTTTTCGTCTTATATTACTCGCGTATGGTCGTGAAATCAGTCAAATCCGATGGGGATATCAAATCTTCTGACATAAATGATACAGGAAATTACGGTCGATGATGGTGTTTTTAGACGTGCTTTTTAAATGTCTTTCTATTTGTCTTTTTAAATGTCCTTTTTCATATATTTCCTCTCCCTTCTCAGTTTCGCACGTAGGCAACAGAAGAAGGCGGAGAAAAGCTTGATCCGTTAAATGTATTTTTCGATGTATAGCCTTTGACATTCTCCTCGTGGACGTGATGGTACATGGCTGCGGATACGCCAAGTAGGCAAATTAATATAGCCCTAGAAATGAAGCGGCTTTAACTAAAATGAAGCCATAGTATCTGAGTAGGTGTATCAAGAGCCATTGCAACGTCATCGCTAAGAATAGTGTCGGGCTGTGAACCTAGTTCCATATAGAGTCGGTATTGACTCCCTTCCAAGGTTGGCTTCTAAGATGGAAACTACGAGAGACACCTGTAGTTGTCTTCTGCTCTTCTGCTGCACTAAATCAATACTCCCATTTCCAGAACTACATCCTCCAATTTTGAATGTTTCAATTCCATACTTCTTGACCGTCCTCAATTTTCACCATGAACCACAAATCCATGAGGAACTACCAGCCTACGAAGAGGCGACTGATCCAATTCGTTGGCTCTCCGCTCGATGATGTTGTCACCAAGAATGGCCCAAACGGACAGAAATGGCGAGATACGATAGAAGCAGTCTGCAATTCAATAAAGGAAGCTGTGAGTTGACTGACCTAATTACCTTTGGAAAAAAACATATTCTTACACTAACTATTTTCAGGATTCAAAGATCATCTTTGCAAACATCCGGTATGTTGAGACTTCAAACATTGAATCCAGATACTTCTATTCTAATACTAACGCTTAGGGGTGCCAACTCCCATTTGTCCTCGACGGACAAGGGTGACACGCAAGATGTTATATCAGTGTCTCTGCATACGAAGTCTGGTACTTCTGTGGGCGCGATTCATATACATCTTGATGGCACCTGGAAGTTATTTGGAACCTGTCGTGAATCAAAGGCTCGACACGCTGCTAAAATCAAAAGTGCCAATATCCCAGGGTATATCTCGACTAGAAGCACTCCCTAGAGATGCTGAGATGAAGATTCTTGGTCTCCAGGAAGAAATTTCGGAAAGGGCATACAAGTTTGGGCGTATCGGGCTGGGATTCAGAATACAACCATGCAGCGGTAGACGATAATATTCAAAATAGGGACAAGAGGACGGTAAACAGGATTTCTGTTATTGCATCGTATATACAGTTCGAGCAATAATGTACCCTCTTCCAGACTCCAATCCAAAGCAACCTGGTGTACAATGTGCGCTTAACAATAAATAGATCGAAAATTGGGACTACACGACCCCAGATCAAACCAACACCCTCCTCAATCCTTCAGTGCCTCCAAGCACTCTCCTGCCTGTGACAGGACACCTCCCCTTGCCACTCTCCCATTTACCAGATCGTTTTCGGGAGCCTGGTTGAGCGTCATCTCCACTAGGACTTTTCTTCGGCTCTTCGTCATCGCCCATGATCTCCTCTTCCCACGGCGCGCCAGCACCCTCACCAGTCATGAAATCCAGTTGGCGCTGGTGCTCACCGTTTAGCCAGTGGAAGATGCACACATAACAGAACACGTATCCCGTCTGGCAAGCAGTCGGGTTAACGAGCGCACCCATACAGACAGGGCAAGTATTTGCGCTCGGGGGATCAGCTGGAGGCAAAGAGACTGTGTAGATAGGAAGGTAAGAGGTCGCGGAGATGGGGGGTTGATGACGACGGGGAGGCTTGAGTGCTGGTTTGAGATCACCGGCAGCGTTCTTTTTCTCCTGCTCGGCCTGCTTCTTGGCCTTATCTTTCTCGTCTTGGATTGACGATTTCCGTCGTTCCGCGGGAGAAGTCAAGCCTGCCACAACGGGGGCGGGCAAATCTAGGACCTCAGTTGCCTTGCGGGCGAGCTGGCGAGAAAAGTCACTTGCATGCCACCATTCTAGGAACTTGAGAGCGAAGATCGATGCAGGAAGGAAGTAGCGCAGCGAGCCCAGAAGCTGAGTATGAATATTCTGGGGACTAAGGAGACCCAGCAGACCTCCACCGGGTCGCTGAGATCGCCCGGTGCTGGGGCCAGGCTTGGGATCTAGCACTGCGGCGATGGCGCGGTGGTCTGCGGTGTCAAGGCGGCGAATGCGCGTGCCGATAAGCCACAGGAATGGGGAGGAGTACTTTGTGTTGTCGAATAGGTAGGCGAGGTTAAATGCCAGAACTGAGAAATAGTATGCCGCATTCACGGATGGGTAAACATTGCGCAGGAACCACTTGTAGTAGAAGAATATGCGCTGGCGCAGCGACGGGTTGGCCGGCAGATCGTCGCTGGGGTTATATCGTGGGCCGCCGCTGGTGACCAGGGAAGCATGTGGCGCGGCATGAATATCGTATCCTTCGTCTAACTTGCGCTTTAGATAAGGTATGCCAACCATGATGAACAAGTTCTTCCAGATGTCCGTCGAGTGTAGCTTCAGGGCTTCGCGCACGGGGCCTGCGGCGCCGACCTGGGCGCGCGGGATCTCGCCATTCTTGGTGCGGAGAACGCGCTCACGTTTCAGGGAATAGAAGTTTTCTGTGAAGGAGCCGCCGAATGTTCGCAGGTAGTAACGTTCGACTATTAATGAAAGGAGGGCGTAGACTTCGTCGTATGAGTTGAGGATCCGGAGGAGATAGCGCGGGTGGCGGTGTGTTGCGACTGCGAGAAGATAACGCAAAGATGGAGGAAGAAGATCCGAGAGCTGCTGCTCAGCGAGGAGTTCTATTGTTGAGCAAAATCTCCGTGTTAGCGATTCCAGTCATTTATGGGGGGGGTTCCCCGTGTCTGGGGTCTCCATCTACGCGGGGAAGCATCAATCGACTTACCGAAGAGCGATGGCTTGTGCTCGTCGAACTCCTGTTGAAGACTAGGAAGGTACTCCATCGTCAGCAGTGCCAGTCATCCTTATCTGGGTGGTATTTCAAGGTGTTTGAAGAGAGATGGAGATGAAGAGTCGCCGGAACCAGTTATCATATGCCGAGGCTCAACTTATCCGAGCTGACTACGTCGCTCCGGGCACCTGGGCAGGAGTTCCATACCCTACATTCATTGCAGATCTAATTATAACAACTTCAATATTTAACATTAGATAAACATGTAATATTGTACACTGGATGATATATGCTAGATTATTTTACAAATTGACCCCTCATTCAATTTTCCCGAGCAAGTGCCTCCTGGCACTCCGTCCAGAGTGGCATATAGAAGCTCGGAGACGCCCGTTCATCTTGGTTCTGGAGTGTCGGGTCTGCGACCAAAATACAATGCATGATGGATGTCACTACCGGACCCTGCAGTACAATGGCAGGGGACTCTCGATTCATCAACGGTATCCCCGTCGACAGACACTCACGCGCTCGCACTTCCTCGCCCAACTCGGCATGCAATTTGAACAGCTGCACGTAATCCTCTTGTGTGCGATTAACACCTTTCAAGGGAAACTGGCGCCACAGTCGCCAGAAACCGTCGTAATCCCCGCATTGGAATAGTGTCACCATAAGCTGACGCGCAGCTACTGCGTCAAAAGGAACCTTGGCCGCCGCGAGTATCTTGGACAGTCGAGACAAGATTTGTTTCTGGGACTCAGTCCGTTGAACCGCAGACGAACTTGGAGAACTCTCTTCCGGGTGCAATTTGTTCAAGCTTGAAGATGCTGAATTGGGTGCACAGACTGCTTGATAGAGTAAATTGAAAATTTTCATGTTCAAAATGGGCACACCACGCAGGCTCAAGCGATCCAGCACTAACAAGGCAAGCTCCATGTCACCCTCTGGAGAGTGGGTCTTAGACTGCTCGGTGATAACACCCACTGTTTTTGGTGTTAGAAGCGCAGAGACAACATCGAATCCAAGGTCATCCGGAAGGTCATACCCGTCGCGAAGAAAATCTGAGAATGTGCTAAAAAGGGCGTCCTTGGTGTAAGCTGGGTGTTGGCGAGATACAGCAATAGATAACAGTTTCAATCGAAAAGTGGCTTTTTCCTGTGCAGAAAACCGCGCGGCGTGGTTGGTATAGAAAAGCCGTAGAAAAAGAGTGGACTGGCGATCATCTGGGCCGCTCCCAAGCTCATTTCGTGCACTATCAGCTGGAAGTTCAGCGAGAATCTGAAGCAAAGATGTCGGTGTCAGTTGGGATGCAACTGCTGCTGCGCCGCCTGGAAGTGTAGAAGACGAAGTTCCCATGCTAGGGAAACCAGCATTTAAACCAGACTCGGTGGAGTTCATGGCAGATAATGCGAGCCTACGCATGGTATGAAAGCCTCTCCTCTGGCCAGGAATGGAGCCAAATCCGTCTGACATAGACCTGGGGGGCGCAGCACCAGTTTTGGATAAATCCTCTGTGCTCTCGCGGGTATTCTTGCGTCCTTCACGGGCCAAAGTAGCCTCCCAGAGGCCATCAAGGTCAACATCAGCCCGCTTCTCCTCAGTGAAGATCTGGACAACAACACTGGTCCCAAGGTCAAGATTACCAAATCCCTCAATTCCAACATCGCTCAACTGGGTCGTAGTAGCGCCTTTGTCCACCATACCTGCATTTACACAGATCCATCCTGTGGTGATTCCATCGTCCTTTTCGTCGATCATTGCGCCTGCTGCACTGGCGGCGCGCGCTCGCTTGGCCTTGCGGCGGAGCTTAATTTTCAACTCGTTGCGTCCAAGTAAGCCGTCAGCGTAGGGCGACAACTTGTATTGACTTCTCAGCCAGCGACAGAGACGATCTGCAGACACATTTAAATGCTTCACACTGCGAGCAGTTCCGATGATCATGATAACACTAGCACCGAGAGCTGCAGGGATTTCGAGACCGCGTAGATCAAAAAGCTTGAGACCATCCAAGCCCAAGTCCTTATATGTATACTCCAATAGAGTCGAGAGCATCTCTGGCGAATCATCTGGGATCTTGGGAAGATGGGCTTCGGTCAACGAGCGCTCTTTAATGACCGGCGCCTCCTCCTGCAGATACCAGGGGACATGTTGCGATGAGGCTGGCGTATTGGTTTCTGAGTGCGCCGGTGGCTCTGCTGGTTCAGAAAGATGACTGTCAAACTGGTTCGAAGTGGGAGGGCGATCAGACCGCAGCAAGGTTACGGCGGAGAAAGCTCTAGGGTTGGAGATCGAACGGGAGGAAAGAGGAGAGGATCGTGGCATCGGGATGCCGGAGACAGAAACAAAGGACCGCAGCACCTCATGGCGACAGGTCTGGCAGGCAGCCCCTCGTAAGAGAGCCCTGCTCATGGTGATGGTTGTATTGGAAAAAGAAATGGGAATCTTGAGTTCTTCCAACAGTTCAGTTCCAACCTTGGAACGTTGATTTGTGGTGATATCAGATAACGGGTGCAAACACTGCAAAATAGCTGAGTCATCAGAAAAAAAGATTCAGGTGGGGGGGCAATTATCACAAATCCAAGGCGCTGGAAACTCTTTGAATCTTCAATACCCTGGTGATTTTTGCAGCCTTGGGTTCTTATTCCCGATTCTACTCATCAACATGTCGATGGATCTCGACGAACCCGTCTATTTCGCGCAGCAGGAGAAGGTCGCAGCCACGTGAGTTCTTATCGCAACTTTTTTTCTATATTCCAACCCCGCCGGGCCAACCTTCCAAACTCTAGGTACTAACTACTTTACTTTATCAGAATTCTCTGCTGCAACTGTGGTGCTGCTATCGATGGAACACTATCGGCTGGAGCCCTGTGCTCGGATTGCATTCGTCTTACTGTTGATGTTGCCGGAGGTGTATGTACAACTTCATTTGTGGGCTTAAAGGAAGCCTTCCTACACGCCTATACTTTGTTCTGGCTGACATGAACTCTCTTTGACTTATAGGTGCAACGAGAGGCAGTGATTCACTGCTGTAGGGATTGCGAACGGTGGTTGCAGCCCCCCAACAGCTGGGTTGTCGCAGCTCTCGAGTCAAAAGAACTACTCGCCATTTGTCTACGCAAGCTCCGTGGCCTAAACAAAGTCCGAATTATCGATGCCAGTTTCATTTGGACGGAGCCCCACAGCAAGCGACTGCGTTTGAAAATCACTATACAAAGTTAGTCTAAATCCACCTTGGTGATGAGGTCGCTGCAAGCATTCGGCAATCCAACGCACCATCTAGCACCGGGATCGAAGCTAACAACCCACAAGCGGAGGCCTTCCAAGGCACTATCGTGCAACAGCAATTTGAGGTTGAATATGTTATTGCCAATCAACAGTGTGCTGGGTATGATGGCAGCCCCCCCCCCCCCCCCCCCCCCNCCCCCCCCAACACAAAACCAACAACAACTCCCTTTAACTACTTGCAAATATTATGATTGAAAACATGCTAATAGCCGACAGATGTCAGAAATCGTACACGCATCACTCCTGGGAAGCATCGGTACAAGTCCGGCAGAAGGTCCCTCACAAGCGGACATTCTTGTACCTGGAACAGCTTATCCTCAAGCACAATGCCCATAAGGATACCGTTAATATCAAAGAAGTGCACGAGGGCCTTGATTTCTTCTTCGCAAAGAGAAATGAAGCCGAACGTATGCTTTCATTCTTGGAAAAAAAGTTGGTATTCTCCCATTTACCCAATACGTGCAAGTTTACTAACAGCCATTCTCAGTGTTCCTTCACGTTCCAAGAAGAGTCACGAATTAATTTCCATGGATATCCACACATCTAATGCCAGCTACAAATTCAATTTTAGGTCGGTTTTTGCACGTTTCTCAACTGATTTGGGCAAAAATGGTTGCTAATAGTATCGATAGTGTCGAGATTATCCCTATCTGCAAGGATGATCTTGTTGCTCTACCGATTAAGGTGGCCCGCTCATTGTCTGACATAAGCCCGCTCGTTATCTGTAACCGGGTAGGCACGTCTATCAATCTTTTGGACCCTTGCACCCTCCGGACAACCGATCTTCCTTCTGGCACTTACTGGCGCCAGCCATTCCCCAATCTTGCGGATACCACCGAGCTTAGGGAATTCATTGTCTTGGACATTGAATCCACCGGCCACTCTAATGGTCGATACCTCCTATCTGAGGCTACAGTTGCTCGTGCTTCAGATCTAGGGTCTAACGATACCACCTATTTCACACGGACTCACCTCGGTGGTGTTCTACACGTGGGTGATTCTGTTCTCGGGTACCATTTGTCAGGAACCCAGTTCAACAACGATCAATTCGAAGCAATTGAGAACAGCCACCAATACAGCTCAACAATTCCGGATGTGGTCCTTATCAAGAAGCACTATGTCCGCAGCAAGAAGTCCAAGGCCCGCAGCTGGCGTTTGAAGCGCATGGCTCGCGAGCACGAAGAGGAGGCGACTGCCGCTGTTGTCAATGTCCCCACAACCAAGCGCCAGGAGCAGGAGCAGGCTAGGATGGAACAAGATTACGAGATGTTCTTGCGTGATGTTGAGGAGGATCAGGAACTGCGCCAAACCCTTGATCTGTACAAGAACCGCCAGTACCAGGTTCGGGCCGACCAGATGGATGAGGATGGTGATGATGACATGGATGATGAGGAAGGACACGCCGTGCCGAAAATCAACATGGATGAGCTCCTTGATGACTTTGATGAGTTGAACATGCAGGACAATGAGTAGCAATCTGAATGTTATCATTGACGATCATGGCACTGGTTGGCGTTTGTGTTTTCTGGGTTTTCAATCAATAAAAAAGTTCATGATTTCAAGTTGATACGTGCAATGTACAGCATGCAGATGCCAAATTCTTATTCCAGGGTATATTGGATCGATTGCTCTGGATGAAAATTAATCAAAATCAGAGCACAAAGCTGGTTTGGGTTCGAAAGGTGTATTTGGAGTAAATTATAGGAGTATTGGTTGAAGGCAAGGGAAAACAAGTGGCAGTTTTTAGGGCTATATTGGTGGAGTTGACGTGACCCGGCATTAATGGATGAACCTCCAGGGCTGTAATTGGGTTTCGCAACCACAAGAATTTATCAAAACCTGATAGATCAGATTACCAAACTGCGTCGAGAAGAGCAAACATCGAGTCAGATTCCTGAGATATCCCAAGGTTAGCTTGGAGCGATGTTTTTTGCCGAAGTCTTACAATGGATGGTATGAAGAAGACGGTGGTAATGCTCAATGTGAGCTTTGCTCTATACGTATGTAAAAATGAACAAGAAGCCCTCTCTCTCCCTCCCCTAGTAACATCAAACAAAACAAAACAGAAAGCGTACATCCTCACCACCCACCCACAAACATGAAAGTATCTATACAGAACTGCACCGGCTCTGGGCACCCACCCGACCCCCTTCGCCTCGACAGCACAGCCCTATTTGACAGCCACTCGCGAAACATGCTCAATCCCCATATTGTCTCTGACTGCCTGGTTGGCAAATGCCACAGATTCCGTATAATTGATGACACGGAGCGGATATTGTGAGCCCAGTGTATATTCCCAGGCAATCAGAGTGGTGTTTCGCCCCCAAGGCATGGCAACGGCTGCCTGCAGGCTGTGCGAGGTTAGAGCGTCACTAGTTTTCTTTGCCTATAGGTAGAATAGGGAAGAATAGTTGCGTACGAGGTGAGTTTTGTCTTTATCTCTACGAATATGGCAATAGCAACAGTAAACAACCCCAGCGGAGGAAAGAACGAGCCAGATGTACTCCATCACGTAGAAATCTCGATGGATGGTATGAATGATATTAGAATGCCGGGCTATCAAGAAGGTCAAATGGATGAAATGGAGAGACCAGAGGCTATAGAAGCCAATAAGAACAAGAAGAAAACATTCCCCATAAAATTGCAACTTAGAAGATCTTCCCAAGTACCCGCTTGGCATCATCAGCCATAGCACCATCCTTCGACCCCTTAACAACCTCATTCTGCTGGAAATGGAACCGCCGTCTCGTAGACTGCGCAGCCTTGGGCTGCGGCAGTTCCTTATCCCCATCACCAGCCGCCTCCAACCGCCTCTTCATCTTCTCCTCATTCTTTTTCGCCATACCATCAGCAATACGGCCACTCTCAACACCCGCAATGAACATTTTAGCTTCCTTGGCTTCGCGAGCATCGGCAATCTTCCTCTTGCTTTCCCTCTCGGATCTCTCTCGTTGTACAGATTGCATAAGATCCTCCCATGAGTATCGTGAGAGGTATTTGATGTTCCACACATCATCGTGATACCCTATAAATCGTGGACCTGGTCAGGATTCAAATAGAATAAACGCATATAATAGCGAAAAGGCCGGTAAACTCACAGCTTGACTTCAAACCACCAACAATAGTCGCATTCAATGTCTCCGCGCAGATCTTGGCGGTCTTTTTGGACTCGAACTCGATCCATCCTTCCGTGTACAGCTTTCGCTTATTCGAGCGGCTTCGGTGGCCGGCTGCAGAGGGGAGAAGAGGCGCGAGGAAGATCTTCGTGATACCTCCGAACCCTCTCTTCTCTAGCATTGCTTTCAGGGCGAAGGGTTTGAGGTATGGCGGGAGGGAAGAGAAGTATATGACACCCGAGCGGGCTTTCTTGGGTGCTTTGCCGTTGGCTAGTTTGGACAGCTTGGCGAGCTTGCCCTTTGCTTTGAGCGACTTGGCTGATTTTGTGGTGGGTTTTGTTGAGTCGTCCAGACTTGCGCTGCCCTCTTCATCCTCGTTATCTTCGTCTTTTTGTTCAAGATCTTTGTCATCCTCATCCTCCTCTTCGTCAGACTGCTGCGAGAAATCTTGCGTGGTTGTCGTCCGCCGCCGCTTCACGGCCCGTCCTTTGCTCTCCGCAGCATTGGCTTCGGAGTCGTAGCCGCGGTCGCTGCCGCTGCCCTCATCATCGCTCGCCGCGATGTCTAGGAAATCGTTGTGTTTGCGAGTCGTCATTTTGTGGAATCCGAGTGGTGTTGATAGACTTGGTCGTGGGTGGCGGAAGTCTGCAACTTTTTTTATGCGGGTGGTCTGTGCCCTCGGAGTCAAGCCGCCGTTCCAATTAGATCTACTAATCAGCCACACATCAGCCACATATCGAAGGCAAAAGAGTTATCATCGGATGTATGAGCCAGTAAGGGGTTTAAAATAAATTTTAATAAAGCGGAAAGAAATGTCTTTGAAATTTTGTACCGATATATCTGAAGAAGCCATTCGGGCTCTGTATGCTAAAAACAACCGACCCAAGGTATCCACGAACGCCACAGAGAACCAGTATCAAGAGCCCTCATGGTATATGCAAACAAAAAAAAATGAATATGTCACAAGTCTAACTGATGCCCAGTGATCCCTTGGCTCGCTCATAAACGTAGAAGCTCACTGCAACCATGGGAACGACCTTGGCATATCCAATAGTCAATCCAACCCAGAATCCTCTAAACCCTCTCTCAAGCCAGATTGTGCGCGCTGTTTCAGCGATTCCGAGTCGGCGTCCGTCACCGACTGCACCGCCAACTTGCATCCGCCGACGGATAACCTCCACCGGGTATGACGAAGTCTGCGAAACTAGACCGGCCACAGCACCGGATAAAAGCTCAGACGTGGTATTGAGCTGCGGTCGTTTGGGTCTATCGGCAGGGTTTCCTGACTCGGTTACACGTCTGAGTGTATAGCGAGCCACACTCGGGTGACGGAACAAATCACCCACTGTGTCATGGGTGAGGAAAGACATTCCGGCGTACGGGAGCATCCCGAGGATCGTCGGGGAGAAGCCACGGTAGAAATTGGCAATGCCTGTGCGCGGTACAACTTTCGAAACGGCAGATGAAGCACTTTCGGCAACAGCAACGGAAGAAGACTCGGCTGCCGCGGCAGATTGGGTTGACGGGGGTTGGACACGCTCGTTGTAGATTTGCCGCCAGATGTCCACCAAGCCTGAGCGGTGCGATTGTCGGGTTTCAAATGCCATGCGCACGCGCATCAACTCTAATGGATATGTGAAACATACAGAGGTGACACCGGCTAAACTGCCGGAGATCAAGCGGCGGAACGGGGTCTCGTGTTCCCTGGAAGGAATGATAACTGCGCGGATCTGCTCGTATGCAAGGAACTTTATAGCGGCGTATGGGAAAATTCGAAGGAGGGTCACGGAGTGGCCCTTGTACAGGCCCTGGAAACCTTCAGTGCGCTTGATATCTCGAATCGCTGCTGCCAGGCCAGTCCAGCTGCCTGTGTATTTGGCGAATTGGGGATTTGACGCCTGGAAGAGAATCTTCACGCGGTCGAGGGGCGCTACCACGGTTTTGGCCTATAACGTCCGGCGCATCAGTCAGTATAAAGCTCAGAATGACCGTTAACACATGGAAACTTACAGCACACCCCGCGAGCCCTCCTGCAATTCCACTCCTTATCACATAATCCAAGCTACGCTTTTTGATCTTGTTGTCGCCGCTCTCCGGTTTGTCCATGGCGGCGGTTTTATTTGACACAATGGGTTTCGTAGCGCCGCCAATAGGCGACGATCCCAGCTGTGCGGTCTCGCTCATCGGGGCGGATTGCGGAGTAGAGACTGGGGATTTGTTGGGGTCATAGGCATAGTCCTTTGGACCAGTCGACATGGAATAGGAAGAGGAAAAGAAAGACGGGGCTGTGAGAGAGCAACCGAGGCCCAAGGAGGGGGAGAATATCCGGGGTCGTCCTCGTGATCAGTTTCGGCGATAATCAGCCAGAATTCTCGGGGAGCCGGATGATCTTCGGGACGTTTCAACTGTGCATGCAGATGTCTAATAGTTGAGCGGATAGCACAGCGAACTTCAACAACTTTTGAAAGAATTATATGACAATGCAATGGCCAAAGGTGAAAGAAGAATAACGTCCTGTGTATGTTTCCACTGACGTATTTGCGAAGTTCGGATAGTCCTAACATTGTCGTTACGAACATTCTGACATGCCGATACCAGCGGATCGCCGCGAATAACCGGCGGAATACGGTACTAATACGGCCCGCAAAATCAGCGAGTCCCGAGAAGCCGGTTTGTCATCGTCTGCTCCCTTGACTAGACCTAATCGGGATTTGTAGCCGATATTCATTCCGCAGCTTTCATTATGTTGTATAGCTGAATTTATTCTAACTATCAGGAGACTTGTTCTATGTTGTTGCATTGCTTCTAAGCTATTTAACTTCTTCCCAAAAAAAAATGCTAGTGAAAAGAAATGAACTCCCCGTCCTCCATGCAGCTCGAAATGTATACGAAGTACAAAGAATATCGTGGTCGCGTGATATTGTAGAATTAATGCCTCCTGGAGGCATCAACCCTTGCGCTGAGCGCGTGTTCGGGTCAAAGGCTTAGCCTGCTTAGTCTGTTTGACTGCCTTGGTCACTCTGGTGTCATCCGAAACCCGCTTGCGCTTGGCTGGCCGGCCGGGATCAACATGAAGATGCCCATGCTCGGACAACGCGGTCGTGTTTTTCCAGCGCAGGCAGCGGGGGCCACTCTCGTTCACATCCAGATATGTCTTCGTCCGGGTGGTCACGCGTTTGGCCGGGATGTCCTCCGACTCGGCTCTATCAGGCGTCTCGGCTAGATACGCTTTGCGATTGTTCATGTACTTAGCAATGTACTCTTGCTGGATGAGCAGCTCCTTAAGCAACTTGGACTCCCGGTTGCCGCGCGAGTCCAGCCACTCCACGAGCTGTTCAATGGCCTCGGGGTCCTCGT